CACCCCTCACCCAGGGCCTGGGCAGCAACCGAGATGGCAGTTCCAGGCCACACGCCCAGTGTGGTGGCAGCCAAAGGCCCAGAGGATCTGAGAGAGCTTTTCAAGATGTGAGCCTGGGCTGCTGGGCCGTGCTGCGCCATGCTGGGCTGCCTAGCCAGACACCTTGGTGAGGCCCCGCCCAGCCCTATCAGGACGCACACGGAGACAGGTCTGCAGGCTGGCGTCCGGGCTGTGGTCTAAACGGAGCAGGAAGCTGGGGGCAGTGACAGGGCTGGCTCTCCTCTAGCTGGCCTGCATGTGATGTGGGGCAGCAAGGGACCGTCCAGAGGCTGGCAGCTTGTGGGCCAGCAGTCGGAGAAGGATCTGTGTTTAGCTTCGTTGGTGAGGGCCTGGGGCCCCTGATGGGGGTGCCATGGGAAAAGGGGTGGTGGTGGTTAGGAGGTGGGGCCTTTCCACTTTATCTCAGCATCCCGGGAACTCTGACCAGCGGGGAGACTGGAAACCAGGGCCGGGCGGGAGCCCCGGGTGGACACGCCGGCTGAGAGGAGCACCTCTGCCCGGGCACGGCTCTGACTCACCGTGGGCGCGGTCCGGAGTGAGCGTCGCGAGAGGCGGGTGCCAGCCGGGCTCCAAGAGCGGCGTTGTGCCGCTGGCAAGGTGCTGGGGACAAGAAGCACGAAGTCCCTGGAATGCACTGTGCTGGGTGCTGCAGGGGGGGGGCGGAGGGGGCGGGGAGGCGCTCGGGGCTCACCCTTCGGGGGAGGGGGGTTTCCCACGGGGAGCGGTGTAAGGCCTGGAGGAGGAGGAGGACGTGGCCAGAGGACAAAGGGAGGAAGGGGTCCCGGGCAGAGGCACTGCCCGGGCAGAGACTTGGGCACGAAGCAGGAACAGCGCGAGGAGACGGGTGCAGCAGTGCACGAAGGCACAGACGTGGCGGGCGAGGGAGGCGGCAGGAGCCCGTCTGCGGGGACTTCTGGGCAGGAGAGGAAGTTTGGGGCTTTGTCCTATGAGAGCCTCTTTGGTGCTCGGGGAACCGGCTGGCTTAGAGACTGGGGCCTTGTTGGATGCCATTCTGGGGTTGGAGCTGCATGAGCTCTCACTCGCCCTCTTCCCGGTGTACGTTGAGGGGTAGGGGGGGCCCCGGTTGTGAGAGCAGGAGCGTAGACATCAGCTCCCAAGGTCCAGGGGGGTCCTCCCGTCAACTCTCACCCCCACCTCGGAGCTGAGCCATTGGCCGCTGGCACCAAGCTGGGCACCTCCTTCCTGGCCTGTGTGCCCTTGACTCACAGCCGTCGTTTCTCTCCGACGGCCACACGGAATGCCCCAAGCATGTCCGGCAGCGTCCTTGGTCCCCTGACTGGTCATGGCGTGGTCCCATCACACTGTGGCGAGGGCTCGCTCACTGGACTCTCCCAGCGGGTGCTGGGCAGGCGGCAGGGATGCCGAGGGCACGTGGGGAACGGTATGTGTCCGTAGGACGTCTGGCCGAAACCGGTTTGGCTCAGTGGACAGAGCGTCTGCCTGCAGACTGAGAGGTCCCAGGTTCGATTCCGGTCAAGGGCATGTACCTTGGTTGCGGGCACATCCCCAGTGGGGGGTGTGCAGGAGGCAGCTGGTCAATGTTCCTCTCTCATCGATGTTGCTAGCTCTCTATCTCTCTCCCTTCCTCTCTGTAAAAAAAAATCAATAAAATATATTTTAAAAAAAAAAAAAAAAAGCAGGACGTCTGGTCACCTTACCTTTGGGTCTCAGCTGGCCTGGGGCGGGGAGAGAATAGGTTTACCTGCCAGAGGTTCAGGCAGGGGGAGAGGCTTCTCAGGGAAGAGAGAAGGAATATCTGCGCCCAGAAACCCTTGCTCTGAGACGCTGGGGAGGGAGCGGTGGAAGGAAGGTGTCTTCGGTGGCATGCCTTGGGGATGAGGAACCAGAGCTCGGTAGTCGAAGCTGGTAGTCGAAGCTGCAGACACACCAGGGTTCAAGACCTGGCTCTGCAGCATCATTAATGCGTCATCGTTAGCTCACCTGTGAAATGGGTGTTAAAGATAATGCTTTGGCCAGACCGGTTTGGCTCAGTGGATAGAGCGGCGGCCTGCAGACTGAAAGGTCCCAGGTTCGATTCCGGTCAAGGGCATGTACCTTGGTTGCGGGCACATGGGGGGGGTGGGTGCAAGAGGCAGCTGATCGATGATTCTCTCTCATCAATGTTTCTAGCTTTCTATTCCTCTCTCTTCCTCTCTGTAAAAACTCAATAAAATATATTAAAAAAAAAAAAAAAGATAATGCTTTGGCTTCATGCTGCTTTATAAAGCTGGTGTGGGAATTAAACACATATAAAGAAAGCACTTAGGACCTGCCTGGTACAAATACGTTGTTGTTGTTGTTGTTGTTATTGTTATTATTATTATTATTAACAACTACTACTGCTACTATTTAGTGGCCTGCTGCCTTCCTCCCCTCCTTCCTGCAGGATTCCCAGGCATCTCCCACACTTCTCTCTGTTCCCCACATAATGGCCTTTCTTTTCAGGGGATCCTAGGCCTGGGAGTCCGTGATCAGCACTCTGAGCCAAGCCAGCCTGTGGGGGTGGCAGGGAGGCCTCTGCCAGAGCTTCTGGGGGAGCTCAGCCCCCCCGGAACCAGCCCCCTCGATTTCTTCTGAGCTGCTGGCCCTCCTTGAGGTGCAGGGTGGTGGAGGGAGGCAAACCAGCTGAGCCTGACCCCTCCGGGCCTGACCAGACAGCGGCAGGTGGTCCAGCCTGGGGTGGTGGGGGCCGGAGCAGCTCTGCATGGAGCCCCATCCACAGGCTCCGCTCCCATCTGCCCGCCCAGCCCAGCGTGCAGGGCCTGCCCTCTCCGAGGGGGCGAGCGGCCATCCTGCGCCTGGGGTCTGGGTGCCCTCCAGCAGGCGCACACGCACACGTGCACCACGTCCCGTCTGCCACGCGGGCTTTCCCTCACCCCCGACTCCAAGCCCGTGGCTCTCACTGGGTGACAGGGCTGTGATGGGGGGTAAGGGGGGAGGGGGAGGTGTCTGTGTACGGTGGGGGGAGGAGAGGCCCCCGTTCAGGTAAGCGTGTAAGCGCCTGAGAGGCCCCCAACCCCTGGGAGGCACGTGGACCTTCCTGCCTCCCCTCCCCTCCCCTCCCCTTCCTCCCCTCCCCTCCCCTCTCCTCGAGCACGTTCTTCCTGCCTCTGTCTTGCTTCTGCAGACACGTACTTGAGACCATTCGTGCCAGTTGGGGAGGCAGAGCCCGGCTCCTGCAGCCAGGACAGTCCCATCCTGCAGCTTCGAAATGGCACCCGGGGTCGTTTTCAGTCTGGGGCTAGCCTCTGGTGTCTGCTCCGCATCGGGTGGTCAGGGAGTGAGAGTTAAAGCAAGAGAAAGGGGCTTGTTCTGCAGGTGCAATCTGCGGCCCCCAGCATTCTGCTTGTCCACACCCTGCCCCTCCTGCCGTGCCCAGATGCCCGGGTGCCCTCCTGGCCTCTCGCCCTCCTCGTTTCCACGTGTGGAGAAAAGGGGGTGCAGGCGGGCAGAGTCGCACCCCCTTCGGGCCGGAGCTGAGGAAGGAAATGGAGGAGGAAGTTCCTCCCCTCTGGGTGCCGGTGAAAGTGAAAGGCAGGCAGGGGCTGGCGTGAGTCACCGGTCCGGGAGGGCAGGGCCGGCGCTGCGGAAGCCTGCGCCGGAGCGATAGCGCGGGGCCTCCCTGGGCCGGGGCATCTTGGGGTGTAGCCGGGCCTTCATACCCCCGCCTGCCCGGCACCGCCCCGCCCCAGCCCTCCTCCGCTCTCCGCCGGCCTCCTGGCTGCCAACAGCGACCTGCAGCCTCAAGGGGCTGAGGGCTGAGGGCTGAGGTCAGCCTGGACGTGCACATGCATTCCTAGGGCTTCTTGGCCCCCCTGGCTCCCCTCCCCGCCCGGCTGGCTCAGGACCAGCGCGTTAAGGAGCCGGGGGAAGAAGTGAGTCACGGAGCTCCCACCCTTACCCACTGCTCAGGGAGGGACATGTAACCGCTTAGGGAGCAAGTCTTTGAAAAGACATGCAAGTTATGCATGTACGTTACCACTCACACGTACGTAATAAAAAACACACGTCAGCTCTGCTGGTCTGGATTGCATGTTCTGTAGCAGGATCAGTAGAGCAGCCTGTTTTTTTTTCTCTCTTTTTTTTTTTTTTTTTTTTTTTTTGCAAATCAAGTTAGAAAACAAACACAGAAGCACTTCAGGCACACCATGTCTGTCCTGGAGAAACCCTCCGAACTCGAGTTCTAGCAGCCCTCTCCTTCAGCATCTTACGTTTGCTCGGGCTGCCAGGAGCTCTTAGGCGGGGGAGGAGGCTGGGTGAGCACTGCTGACCAGCTTCGAGGCGGCATCCTGCCTCCAGCCTGCCAGGGCGGCAAAACAGGTTCCCGTGCTCCTTTGGGGAAGACTCTGGCAGCCTCCATCCCACTCAGCGGCTCCTCCCAGGGGTGGGGCTAGGACGGCACACACTCCCATGGGGCCTCGCCTGCCAGCCTCGGTGCCAAGGATCCGAGCGGGCGGCGCCTCGAGGCCTGGACGCTGCCAGGACCCGGTGGGCTCCTGAGCCCGGGACGGCTCCGCTGGGAATGGCGCCCGTTCCCTCCGCTTTCTGTGTCTGAGATGTGCGTGGGGCGTCCGACGAGGCGTGGGCTGGACGGATGCTCCTTCTGGGTCTGCTGGGGAGGTGCCTGCCTGGGCAGATGGGAGAGGACCAGGCCGGGCCGCCCAGGAGACAGAGGCCTGGCTTAGGAGGGGGAAGGAACCGGGCATGGCCTCTGCCACCCCCTGTCCTAGTGTGACCCCAGGAAGGAGCACAGGCTGGACCACAGCCCCCGCCCCCCCCAGGCAGACGGCTTTGTGCAATTCACAAGTCTCACCACATGCAGCCAGGGCCCGAGGGGCCCCTCCGTCGGACCTGGCTGACGCCCGGGGCATCGTGGGAGGCTGTGGCTGACGCTGTTGCTCTGCTCCTTCTGTCTGCAGGCTCCAGGACCCGCGCAGCATCATGAGCCGGGAGGCGTAGGCAAGCCCGGGAGTGTCTCTGTGCAGAGAGAGGAGCCGCCAACCGTTCTCTCTGCCTGTGCCTGACCACTTCGCCCGGCCCACGTTCCTGCCCCTGCCCCTGCCCCTGCCCCGCCCCCTCTGGCTCCTGGACGAGGGGGCTCCCAGCAGGACCTCCCCCTAGGGGATGGGCAACTGGTGAAGGAGGCCTCGCTCCCTCCCCGGGCCGGCCCCGTCCGCCACACCATGAACCTCCAGGCCCAGCCCCGGGGTCAGAACAAGCGGAAGCGCTGCCTCTTCGGGGACCAGGAAGCCGCCGCCAAGGAGCAGCCGCCCCCGGCCCCGCCCCCGCCGTCCGCCCGCGGGAAGGAGGAGCCTTACTTCGGCCACGAGGGCCCCACGGGGGCCGCCCCGGCCTCCCAGCCCGTGGAGCTCGCCAACAGCCTGGCCCTGCTGAACTCGGTGGTGTACGGGCCCGAGCGGACCTCGGCGGCCATGCTGTCCCAGCAGATGGGCTCGGGCCCCGTCAAGTGGCCCAACGCGGTGATGGCTCCGGGGAGGGGCCCCGAGCGCGGAGGGGGCGCGGGCGGCAGCGACAGCGGCTGGCAGCAGCAGCCGGGCCAGCCCCCGCCCCACCCGACGTGGAACTGCCACAGCCTGCCCGTCTACGGCGGGCACAAGGGGGGCCCCCACCCGGGCATGGTCTCCGCCTACTACAGCCACCCCGAGGCGCTGAAGCGGGAGAAGGGGGGGGGCGCCCAGCTGGACCGCTACGGGAACGGCGTGCGGCCCGCGATGCCGCCGCAGAAGGCGCAGCAGGAGGCGGGGCGGCCCCAGGCGCCCTTGAACTCGTTCCACGTGGCCAAGAAGCCCCCGAACCAGGCGCTGCCCCTGCAGCCTTTCCAGCTGGCGTTCGGCCACCAGGTGAACCGGCAGGTCTTCCGGCAGGGCCCGCCGCCCCCCAACCCCGTGGCCGCCTACCCGCTGCAGAAGCAGCCGCAGCCGCAGCAGCAGCAGCAGCCACAGGCAGGCCTGCCGCAGATGCCGCTCTTCGAGAACTTTTACCCCATGCAGCAGCCGCCCTCCCAGCAGCCCCAGGACTTCGGCCTGCAGCCCGCGGGGCCGCTGGGGCAGCCCCACCTGGCGCACCACCACGGCATGGTGCCCTACGCCTTCCCCCCCAACCCCGACCTGAACCCAGAACTGCGCAAGGCCCTCCTGCAGGAGTCCGCCCCGCAGGCCGTGCTACCTCAGGCCCAGATCGCCTTTCCCCGCCGCTCCCGCCGCCTCTCCAAGGAGGGCGTCCTGCCGCCCGCCGCCCTGGACGGGGCCGGGGCCCAGCCGGCGCAGGAGCCCGCCGCCGCCGCCAACCTGTTCCTGCATCACCACTGGCCCCCGCACCAGCCGCCGCCGCACGGCCCCCTGGGGCAGCCCCATCCCGAGGCGCTGGGCTTCCCGCTGGAGCTGAGGGAGGCGCAGCTGCTGTCCGACGGGGAGAGACTGGCCCCCAACGGGCGGGAGCGGGAGGCCCCCGCCATGGGCGGCGAGGAGGGCATGCGGGCCGCGGGGGACTGCGGGCAGGTGCTCCGGGGCGGAGTGATCCAGAGCACGCGGAGGCGGCGCCGGGCGTCCCAGGAGGCCAACCTGCTGACCCTGGCCCAGAAGGCAGTGGAGCTGGCCTCGCTGCAGAACGCAAAGGTGAGAGTGGCGTGGGGTGGGGGCCGGGCCAGTAGAGGGTGTGGGGTGAGCTCTGTGTGGGGGGAGCGAGGACACCAGGCCTACCAGGGCCCTCGTCCCACTTCATGAAAGGAAATGAAAGGACCTCTACGTGTCAGGGAATTCTGAACGCCCTGCGTGCAAAGAGCCGCTCCCCAGGGGCACCCGGAACCTGGAGGGAGGGGAGGGTTACACAGGTGCAGGGCTGCAGGCGGTCAGTGCCCCGCACCTTCGTTTCCAGACTCAGCGTGCTGAGTTTTAGCAGCTAAGAGACAAGAACGCATTAGTCATTATACAGGTGATCTTACTTGTCAAAATGCATCGCACTGTAATTAAAAATAGCTGCATTTCGTTGTGTCTGGGACACTGCCGTAAAGCTGATGTAAAAGAGAAGACAGGAACAGTAGGGGGAAAGCATGAACGGAGTGCGAGCACCCACCTTGAACTTGGCGTTTCTTACGCTTAGTCACAGATCGTGTGATAGGGACGTATCCTGCCTTTTTGCTAAAGAAACCCCACATGGGATTTCCCAGGGTCATGAAGCCGGCACGGAAGCCTAACATCTGACGGCAAAGCCAGTGTTTGCGCCTTCCTTTACCTGAGGACTTAGCCCCAGAGGCCTGCAGGGCCAGGCTGATCGGGAGAAGACTGTAGGATTTTTAAAATATATATATTTTATTGATTTTTTTACAGAGAGGAAGGGAGAGGGAGAGGGAGGTAGAAACATGGATGAGAGAGAAACATCCATACACTCCCTATTGGGGATGTGCCCACAACCAAGATACATGCCCTTGACCAGACCGGAATCGAACCTGGGACCCTTGAGTCCACAGGGCGATGCTCTATCCATTGAGCCAAACCGGTTAGGGCAAGACCATAGGATTTGACTTCACTCCAGCCAGTTGCCACTGAGGAATAGCTATACAAAGACCAACCTCAGCTGCCACCAGTTCCTTGCTTGCTTGCTTTTTACAGAGCTACGTTTACATATATATAACAGATAAATTTTCACAGGCCACTCACTCACTGTGCAGGCCAGGCAAAGTACATCTGCCAGGCACCTGTGGCCTGAGCTGGCCATCTGGGGACCTCCTCCAGGCTAGGATGGGGAACCTGGCGGAGAGGAGGTGGTAGAGGATATTTGGGGATGTGGTGGGAGAAAAGGTGATCAGGGAAAGGCCATTGGGAACCGTCCTAGGTGTGTGAATCCCCGGGTCCAATGGGACTGGGAATCCTGCACCAGCAAACCGGGACTTACCTCTGGACCTCCCCTCCATTCCCCTCCCCTCCCTTCCCTCCTGCAGGATGCCAACGGCTCGGAGGAGAAGCGGAAGAGCGTGCTGGCTTCCACCACCAAGTGCGGGGTGGAGTTTTCTGAGCCGTCCCTCGCTGCCAAGCGAGCCCGAGAGGACAGCGGGATGGTGCCCCTCATCATCCCCGTGTCCGTGCCGGTGCGGACCGTGGACCCGTCCGAGGCGGCCCAGGCCGGGGGCGTGGACGAGGACGGGAGGGGGCCGGAGCACAACCCCGCGGAGCACAAGGCGTCCGTCATCGTCACCCGCCGGCGGTCCACCCGGGCCCCCGGCACCGACGCCCCGGCTCAGGTAGGAGACTCCCCCCTGCAGAAACCTCCGGGACCTGAGTGCTCCTGGGACCCGGACCCTCTGGGGAAAGGAGCCATCCAGCAGCCTGAGGGGTACTCTCTGTTTTCCAAAGCAAACTGGACAGACGTGCTGTGGGGGACAGTGAGACAGTTTTATATTTGAAATACCGTATGCGTGAATCATTTCAGGCCACCAGATTTTGACAGGGCCTATCATATGGGTCAGGCCTGTGCTAGGCACTGGGATGGAAATGTTTGCTTGTTCTGTCAGTGCAAATATGCTTGTTGAAATATCTTAAAAGATGAGGTTTCGTCCATATCTTCTTTTAGTTCTGATGCTATATGTTATATATATATATATATATATATATATATATATATATATATATCGATGAGAGAGAAGCATTGATTAGCTGCCTCCTGCACACCTCCTATTGGGGACGTGCCCACAACCAAAGTACGTGCCTTTGACCGGAATCGAACCAGGGACCCTTCAGTCCGCAGGCTGACGCTCTGTCCACTGAGACAAAAAAAGTCAGGGCTGTCATCTACTTTTCTATATTTTTCTTTTTTTTAGTCTGACCTATCTTTCAGTTTACCAGTTAAGTTTAGCTGGATTTAATGTGTTGTTAAGCCCATTAATTGAGTTATTTTTTAGTAGTTTTTCAGTTACCAAATTTCCATTTGTTTAATTTTTAGAGTGTCTAGTTCTTTGTTGGAATTCTCACCTTTGCCTTCTATCTTATTGCATAGTTTAGTTTATTTCTGACAACTCCATTAATGGCATCCCTGTAGGTCTGTTTCTATCATCTGTTACTTCTTGCATTTAAATCACATCTTGCTTTCTTGTATGTTCAGTTGTTTTTGTTGAAAGTCAGATATTATATGCAGAGACGTATGGAGGTCATTGAAGGCTCTGGATGAAGTTCCCTTCCAGAGAGAATTTGTCGCTGCCTCTGACAGGTAGCAAAAAGCAACAGCTACCCCGGATTCCTTTAACTTAACCAGAGATTAAATGGTGACAGAGATGAGAGGAGTTGAAGCTGGGCCTTATTCCATGTGAGGACTAGTCTACTCAGAAGTATTTATTCTCCTTTATTCTAAGGAGATAGCCTGTTGGCACTTCAGGCCACAGCCAGGGAGTTTGCCAGGCTCTGCTTCCTGGACAAGCCCCAAACGTCAAGTTTACTCAAAGGTCTGTCTACTCAGGTTCCTGGCCTCTCGGTCGCCTCTTCCAGTCATAGCAGCCACTCAAGGGAAACACACCTCCAAAGGCTGGTTCACCTCTTTGGCTTTCCTTCTGTTCCTGGATCTTGGCTTTTTAATTCTTTGCCAACTCATTTGCTCTCTGATAACCTTCAGAAATGCGGTTTCTATAGTGAGTATAGATTTTTTTTCCCCATTATTCTCAGCTGGACAACCAGCCTCAATGCCTGTCCTCCAGAGCAGAAAGGGGAGCTCCGAGGTTAACATGCGCGGCACAGCCTCTGCTCTCTGGAGTCTCAGTCTCTGGTTGGTGGAAAATTTGTGGTGGGGCCCGAGGCCTGGGAAGCTTGTCCTGAGGAAGGGCAGAAAGGAGCCTGAGCAAGTGCACAGCTCAGCACACTCATTCTAACGATGAGGAAACAGATCCAGGAAAGGCAGGAGGCGTACCTCAGGTCATTCAGTAAAGAACTGGCCCTGGAATGTGAATCTCCTGAGACTGGTCCATGAGTATTTCCAAGGTCTTGGGGGGAGGTTTAAATGTGGTTATTGAGTTATTTTTTTCTTGGTAGTACAGACTTTTTCAGTCTTGCACAGAAATACGGAGAATGCTATTATAATCAACCCCAGTACGTAGCCATCAGAATCTAGTCGATCTTTTTTCATTTGCACCTCCACGTCTCCCTGCCACTGGATATTTAGAAGCAAATCCCCAACATCATATTGTTGCAGCTATAAATACTTCGGTTTGTATCTGAAGTACATCACGCATTCAATTCCCGGTCAAGGCCATGTACCTGGGTTGCAAGTTCGATCCCTGGCCCTGGTCAGGGTGTGTGTATGTGAGAAGCAACCAGTCGATGTATCTCTCTCACATCGATGTTTCTCTCCTTCCTCGTCCCTCCCTCCCCTCCACTCTGTCTCTCTAAAAAAAAAAAAAGAAAAAAAAATAGGGGGAAAAATTATTCAAGGACAGGATTCTCCTATTAATTTTGTCAGACATGGGTCCCATGCCCAGTTCCGGTCTGGTCGCATGGGGGAGGGGGGCTTCTGTTGATGCCTAGCGTTTGCGTAGTGATAGCAGCCAGTGTTAGTTACTGAGTAATCACTATTACCAGGTACTGTTCTCAGTGATTTCCAGTATTCATTCATTTAGTCCTCATAGCTACCCCATTAAGTAGACACTTAATTCAGGTGACCAGATGTCCCGCTTCTGGCGGGACAGTCCCGATTTTTCTTTCAAAAATCGGGACGTCTGGTCACCTAACACTGAATGTACCCATGTTAAAAATGATGATGCACAGAGAGTTAAGTCCTTTAAGTGGCAGATACGGGAGGTGGATCTCAAGCCAAGCGATCCAGCTCCAAGGCCTGCGCCCTTCACTATCGTCCTCTGCCCCGTAGCATCCTTCACAGCGGGAACTGCGGACTGTGGCCCAAATTCAGACGTGAGAATTGCTTTAATATCTTTAAGGGATCCTTTTTGAAAATGGGGGTGCGGAGCCGAAACCGGTTTGGCTCAGCAGTAGAGCATCGATCTGCGGACTGCAAGGTCCCGGGTTCGATTCCGGTCAAGGGCATGTACATTGGTTGCGGGCACATCCCTGGTGGGGAGTGTGCAGGAGGCAGCTGGTCGATGTTTCTCTCTCATTGACGTTTCTAGCTCTCTATCTCTTCCCTTCCTCTCTGTAAAAAATCAATAAAAATATATATATATATATATATATATATATATATATATATATTTAAAGAAAGAAAGAAAGGGAGAAAGAAAGAAAGAAAGAAAGAAAGAAAGAAAGAAAGAAAGAAAGAAAGAAAGAAAGAAAATGGGGGTGTGGGGACGGGGGAGAAGCAGCATCTGTAACAGAGACGACCTGTGGCCCACAGAGCCTAAACCGACGGTTTGGCCCTCGGCAGACAGTTTGCTGGGACCTGCCACCTGTCTCAGGCTTGCCCGGATGGGTGCGGTGGGCAGACTGAGTTTCAGAGGGGAGGCCAGACACCGGGGTCCAGACGCTGGGACCCCAGGGCGTGGGAAGCTGAGCCATCCTGGGTCTCTTTCCGTCTCCAGGCCGAAGACATGGACGTCAAGTTGGAGGGGGAGCCTTCGGTGCGGAAACCCAAGCAGCGGCCGAGGCCCGAGCCCCTGATCATCCCCACCAAGGCGGGCACGTTCATCGCCCCTCCCGTCTACTCCAACATCACCCCGTACCAGAGCCACCTGCGCTCTCCCGTCCGCCTGGCCGACCACCCCGCCGAGCGCAGCTTCGAGCCGCCGCCCTACACGCCGCCCCCCATCCTCAGCCCCGTGCGGGAGGGCTCCGGCCTCTACTTCAACGCCATCCTGTCCACGAGCAGCGTCCCGGCCCCGCCTCCCATCACGCCCAAGAGTGCCCACCGCACGCTGCTCCGGTCCAGTGAGTAGCCCTGGCCTCGGGGGCGGGGACGAGACTCGTTTTGTGGGGCTGCGAGGGGTGGTTGGGTTGGCATGCTGCAAGAGAAGGGGCTCCACTCTCTCTCGTCTCTGAGGAAGAGAAGGAAGTGGTCCTGGTTCAAGAATACGTGTGGGCGGAGGAGGGGTGTCAGCCCAGCTGCCTGGGTTCAAATCCCAGTGGCACCATTCGCTGTTACGTCGTCCCCTGTGCGAGTCATTTAAACGCCCCGGGCATCAGCTGCTTCAATGCTTAGGTGAGAATATTAGTCGTGTTTGGTAGAGGATGAAGTTGCCAATATTCGGCTGTTTTCAGATCCACGTAGGGTAGTTTTCTGTGCTTCAACCTAATAGCTACCTCCTAGGGTTGTGGTGCGGCTCAGATGCGTTCACAGAGGTACAGCACGCGACTTCATGCCTGACTGCGTCGTGTTTGTTCTCAATATCGCGTGGCAGATCCTTTCTCCTCAGGCACTTTGGCCAAGAAAGAGCAGACGTTTCGGCTCGCGCGCGGGTTTGAATTGTTGAAAAAAGTTGCCCGCTCCACAAAAAAAGATCCATTCCCCAGAAGAATGTGATAATGCTATCGCTTGGGGTGGGGAGAGGATTCCTTGGGAGTAGACACTACCAGACCTGCACAGGGGTGAGGCAGTGCCATCACCAGATTAACCTCCGAAGCCTGACCTCACCCACGGCTTAGCTCTCTGGCGCCCCCTCGTGTCCGCGAGTGAGAAACGGCTCACCTGGGCTGGCTGGCTGGCCTTCTGCCCTCACACTGCCACCCCAAGATTCAAAGCTTCTCTCCCTGCCCGGGTTGTGCGGGAAGAAGTCACTGTAGGGGCGAGATTAGTCGCAAAGAAAAGGTCTGTCCATGCATGGGTATTTACCAAGAACTTGGGTGGAAAGCCTCGCATCGGATCCTGTGAGGGCTTCAGCGATAGATGGGGACACCGCGGGCTGTTTTAAGGAAAGCACGGGGTCATTGGAGAGCTGACGCGGAGGCCTGGGAGGCAGCAAGGCTGGGGCTCCTTGCGGTGTGGCGTCAGCAGGCATCGGGAGAAGCAGACCCTGAGCTCCAAAGCCTGCAGAGGCTGCTAGCCTGTCGGGGGGGGGGGGAGGAAAGCCTTCCAGAGAGGGTGGGGCTAGGACGGAGCCTGAGCTATGAGGGCGGGGAAGACGCGCCAGGCGGAGGAAATGAGTGTGACAAGGACATGGAGGTAAGACTGTGCAGGGAACATGCCGGGCCACGTGTGCCCGGCCTGCTGGGAGCCAGGGTCCAGGCGAGAGGCCGGTGGGCGGCCGGGATGGAGGGGGACGGTGAGGAGCTGCAGGAGAGGCTGCAGAGGAGTCAGCAGAGCGTTTGTTGTTGCAGCGAGGGAGTGTCTCTCGATCCTGTGAGGCATGAAGAGATTAGCTCAGGAGAAACTGAGGCAGGGAACCCGGCAGGGAAGGGAGAACATGACTGTGCAGCAGCGATCTCCTTCGCCACCTCACCGGGGAGCAGAGTGTTTCGGCCTCTTGGCCAGCACAACCACAGCTTCATGTTGGAGTTGACCCGGTGTGTGGGAGCTCCCGGGGCTGGGTTTTGTGCATGATTTCATTCACCGCTCACATGGTTAACCCTCGGAGCCCCTCTCAGTAGGAGCGAAAAGCGGGGGCACCCACACCACACATTTAGTAAAGTTACGGTGAGCTGTCACCGCTGCAGGCTCAGGAAGCCCGATGTCCACGTGTGAACCCTGTGAGTCACCGCCTCGGTTCTGGTGCTGGAGAGCAGCCACCTCAGGCCGGGCGGAGGGCTTCGCCGGAGGGAGGAGGGTACGGCCCGCCAACCTGCCTTTTGTCCCGTAGATAGTGCTGAAGTCACCCCACCTGTCCTCTCGGTGATGGGGGAAGCCACCCCCGTGAGCATCGAGCCGTAAGTGCAGCCCTGCCCCTGGCCCGTGGTGTGAGGGTGGCTGAGTGGGGTCCAGGCGTTGGGCAGGCCCGCGGAGCAGCAGAGGGCTCTGCAGAGGGCTGAGCGGCCTCCCTGGGTCACCGGGAAAGGAAGGGACGGTTCGGTTTGCATTTGCCTCTGCGAATGAGAGGCTCCTTCCCCGCCTGTGAGCCTGGAGCTCCTCCTTCCCTGCCCCACACCTGGGCCTGGCCTTTCTGGCAGCACTTGGTGCCGATGGCCAGGTGTCCTCACAGAAGCCAGATTCCCTTGTGCCCAGCTGAGGCCTTGCCGTGCTCAGCCTCTGTCAGCTGCCCTCTGCGTCGTCTCCCATCCCCCAGGGAGAAAGTCAGATTCTGCCGCCTGCCCTCCCCCACCCGCACCTCACCCCACCCCAGCAAAGGAAGGCCTCACTCTCTGCCCTCTCCACTCCTGCAGACGGATCAACGTAGGCTCCCGGTTCCAAGCTGAAATCCCCTCCATGAGGGACCGTGCCCTGGCCGCCGCAGACCCCCACAAGGCCGACCTGGTGTGGCAGCCGTGGGAGGAGCTGGAGAGCAGCCGGGAGAAGCAGAGGCAAGGTGAGAGGGGACTGGAGCCGGCCAAGGGCGGTCCTGGGGAGGTGGGTGGGCTGGCTCGTCCTAGCCCCGCCCCGCCCCGCCCCGCCCCGCCCCGCCCCGAGAGTGATTTCCTCTCCTCCCTTCCCCCTCCCTCCCACAATGCAGTGGAAGACCTGCTGACAGCCGCCTGCTCCAGCATTTTCCCTGGAGCTGGCACCAACCAGGAGCTGGCCCTGCACTGCCTGCACGAGTCCAGGGGAGACATCCTGGTGAGACACCGCCCCCAACGGAGGGACGGGCCCTCGGGGAGGCCCGCCTGGGTCCATCTCTGCTGCCCAGGAGCCAGGCCTGCTCACGTGCTGATCTGAAACAGGCTGGAGGGTCCAGCCAAGATGGGGGTATAAGGGGCTCAGCCCAAGGAAACCCTAGTTCTAGACTTTGCAGCGCAGGGCGGTGCCATCCACCCCAGGCCCCGATTCTGGGCCACTGGGTCCCGGCTCGGGGCTGCACTATGACGACCTGAGGAGACCCTCTGAGATTTTCCCACCAAAACCCTGCCCGGGCCCTGACTTCTCTTCACTCCCCTTTAAGGAAACGCTGAATAAGCTGCTACTGAAGAAGCCCCTGAGGCCCCGCAACCACCCACTGGCAACGTATCACTACACAGGTGGGCCTGGCGGGGGTGGTCCAGAGCCGGGAAGGGTCTCCCGTCAGGGGGCCTGGTTAGTGCTGAGTCGCCGCAGCCCTGGATGGGGAGATAGGGGGGTGGGTAAGCAAAGAGCCAAAGCACTGGCACCAAAGCTGGGGTGGCTCTCAAGCAGCTTACCGTGCCCCGGAGAGGAAGACGGGAGGGCGTGGGCAGGTGGGAGCCGTCCAGGCAAGGAAGCCTAGGACTCAGGACAAGGGACAGGGGTCCAGGGAGTGCCATCCACACTGGCCTCGGGTACCCGGACCTTAGACAGCCCCTGGAGTGCCATGTCCCGTCCTGGACCCTGTGCTGTAAGAGGGACGTTGGCCGCTGGGCATCGTCATAGCAGCTGCTGTCACCGGCCCCTGTGCCAGGTTGTAGACTAGATCCATGTAGTCTGTGCCAGGCTGGGCACCAGGGTTTCACACGCATGATCTCATGTAGTCTGCACAGCGGGGGAGGTGGCTTCTATTGTTAGTCCCCACTTCACAAGTGAGGAGAGTGAGGCTCAGGGTCGAGAGACAGGGCTAGTTACGTGGCAGAAGCAGTGTGCGGAGCCAGCTCTGACTGGATGGGTCGCACTCTTGTCTGCTGCTGGTCAGAATCGACCCCCTCCCTCCCGTGATGCTCACAGCCCCACCCACCTCACCACCCTGGCTCCCTGTCTGCCCCGCAGGCTCAGACCAGTGGAAGATGTCGGAGAGGAAGCTGTTCAACAAGGGCATTGCCATCTACAAGAAGGATTTCTTCCTGGTGCAGAAGCTGGTGAGCTGGAGCTCTGTTTCGGGGAAAGGGAGGGCAGGAGCTACGTGTAGGATTTGGGGTCCCCCTACAGTGGGGGCCTGCAGTCGCTTACCAAGCCCCCTCCAGAAGCACTTAACTCAATGCGCTAAGTAGCCTCAGAGAATGTTGTAAACCACATGTGTCAAACACAAGGCCCGCAGGCCAAATCCTTCCCGCCAGGCCTTGCAATGTGGCCCGCACCGCGCTGTCATCACTGCACTCCGCTGCGTTTCCATCACCATGACAGTTTATGACTGTTCAGTAAACCATTCGGCCCACGATTTAGGCTGGATTTTAGATTTTGGCCCCTTCTCTGATTGAGTTCGACACCCCTATTGTAAACAAAATAAGCAGGCCCCGCCCCTTCATTCTAAGCCCCTCCCCTCCCCTTGGATAGTGTGGCCACACCCTGGTTCTTAATCCAGAGAGAGGCCTTAGTGGGTATCAGGCTCAGTGGCATCAAACTTGAAATAGTGGTGCCTGGCTGGCGTGGCTCAGTAGTTGAATGTCGACCTATGAACCAGGAGGTCTTGGTTCAATTCCCAGTCAGGGCACCTGCCCGGGTTGTAGACTAGATCCCCAGTGGGGGGAGAGGGGGTTGCAGGAGGTGGCCAATCAGTGATTTTATCTCATCATTGATGTTCCTAACCTCTCTCACCCTTCCTCTCTGAAATCAATAAAAACATATTGTAAAAACAAAACAAAACCTAGGCGGCTTGGCTCAGTGGCTAGAGCATCAGCCTGTGGACTGAAGGGTCCTGGGTTTGATTCTTGGTTTCCGGTTCCCTGGCTCCGGTTGGCGTGTGTGCAGGAGGCAACCAATCAATGTTTCTCTCTTATATCAGTGTTTCTCTCTGTCTCTCCCTCTCCCTTCCACTCTCTCTAAAAATCAATGGAAAAGCTGAAACCGGTTTGGTTCGGTGGATATAGCATCGGCCTATTGGACTCAAGGGTCCCAGGCTCGATTCCGGTCAGGGGCATGTACCTTGGTTGCGGGCACATCCCCTGTAGGAGGTGTGCAGGAGGCAGTTGGTCGGTGTTTCTCTCTCATCGATGTTTCTAGCTCTCTATCCCTCTCCCATCCTCTCTGTAAAAAAAATCAGTGGAAAAATATCCTCAGGTGAGGATTAACCAAAACAAACAAAACAAAAGCCCACAACGACTTAACTTAGTGGTCACCAGGGGAGAGCCAGAGGAGGAGGGGCTGCTGCTGAGGGGAGCTGTTCCCCAGGGCGGGAGCACTCCCACTGAGGCCACAGTTAGTGTGTGGGAGGAGAGGCCACCCTACGATAAGAGGAACTGAGAGCAGCCAGTGACTGTAACTGAACTGGGTGGGGGCCTCCGCCCGCATCTTGTCAGACCCAGGGTGTCTTTCCAGTAACAGCTGGCCGGCTAGAGGAGGCCGGAGCCTCCTTGTCCTAGGTTTATCTTGTCCTCCCCCTGTGTTCTTCTGGGGGACTAAAGTGCTTTGCTAATTTGCAGCCTTGCATCTTCCCACCAGCCCCCTCTGGCAAAGTCTGCGCAGTGGGGGAGCACGTTGTGCGCACCGCTGAGGGGAAAGGGCTTCCAAGAACGTGCTTTCCTCTCGGGGTGGTATAATAGATGGGGCCAAGGGTGGCTCTGGGAACTGGACAAAGTGCTGCTGCATTCTCCTACAAGGGCCCTGCTGTGAGGACGGACATCCGCCGGCTTCCTGATTGGGCAATACTTCCAGGAGCCCCTAATGTAGGGGTGTCGAACTCAATCAGAGAAGGGGCCAAAATCTAAAATCCAGCCTAAATCGCGGGCCGAATGGTTTACTGAACAGTCATAAACTGTCATTGTGATGGAAACGCAGCGGAGTGCAGTGATGACAGCGCGGTGCGGGCCACATTGCAAGGCCTGGCGGGACGGATTTGGCCCGCGGGCCTTGTGTTTGACACATGTGCCCTAATGCCTTATGAAAAGCACAGGCCAGTAGTCAAACAAGATGATCAGACAGAACTGGCGGCAAACGTGCAAACGGGATCTAATTAATGAAGCTGGGATTTGGCCCTTCCTGTGAGCTGGAGCGTGTCTGTGTCTCCTCGGGCCCAGGAGTTGGCTGAGCAGGGAAGACAGCCTCTGTGTTTTGTGTGTGTGTGTGTGTGTGTGTGTGTGGGAAAGTAACTAAACGCAGTGGCCAAATGGGTTTGTGAAACGGGAGGGCTAGGACTTCAGGGCGTGGGAGGCCCGTGGAGATCGCCTGGTCTCACCCCACTCGCTATTCACACATGAAAAGACTTGTCTCAGGCCACCAGCTATTCAGTGGCAGAATTAGGAACAAGATTTGGGAATCCTTCCTTTCCAGGTTTCCCGGGCTTATTAGCCTCCCATGGTAATTTGACATTCCTCCGTCCTGCTTACCGGTCGCTGCTCCCTGGAGAGGAATGGAATTGTTTGTCCACACGGATGGAGAGAGTTTACGTTGCAGGGTCTATCCTGGCTTTGAATAGGAAGGGTGCCCAGACTTTTTTCTTTAATGAATCTTTAATAAATAAATAAAAAATCTGCCGAATCTGGTTTGGCTCAATGGATAGAGCCTCGGCCTGTGGACTGAAAGGTCCCGGGTTCGATTCCGGTCAAGGGAATGTACCTTGGTTGCGGGCACATCCCCAGTAGAGGATGTGCAAGAGGCAGCTGATCAATGATTCTCTCATCGATGTTTCTAACTCTCTATCCTTCTCTCTTCCTGTCTGTAAAAAATCAATAAAAATGTATTTTTAAAAAAATCTTAAGAGGAAGGAGGGGTGAGGGTGGGGCTAGAGAGAGAGACATATCGATGTAGAGAGATATATTGATCGGGTATCTCCTGCACACGACCCAACTAGGAATTGGACCTGCAACCTGGGTATGTGCCCTGACTGGGAATGGAACCCGCCACCTTTTGACGTATGAAATGACACTCCCAACAAGCTGAGCCACACGTGCCAGGGGCAGATTTTTCCCCCCTTTAACTTTTTGTTTTGAAAAAGTTCAGACCTAGAGGAAAATTGAAAGAACAGTATAATGAACACCTACATACCCCTCACTTAGACATACCAATTGTTAACATTTGCCACATTTGCTTTCTTTCTGTCTATATATAAACTTAAACAAGCACCTGTTCTCTCTCTCTGTTTTAATTAATAATTAAAAGTAAGTTACAGACATCATGACATCTGACCCAAATACTATCTAAAAACAAAGACATTCTCCCGTAAAACCACAGTAGCATTATCATCAAAGAAACGCACGCTGGTAAATAACACGCTCTCCTATGCGATCCACACTCGAGTCTCCCAGCGGCTCCGTGTTGTACCTCTTAGCCTTTTAGAAGCTCGGGTGAGTTGAATTGGTCCGTGGTTTGTCAGGGCAGGCGTTAGAGACATGCTCATACTTGGGGGGGCTGATTGAGCTTAGTGTCGGCTGCGTTTAAGGGGAGACACGGGGTAGGCTGGCATCTGTCTCCCCAGCGAGGTGGGCTGAGCCAGGAACGCTGACCTCACTCTCATTTCAAACCAGATCCAGACCAAGACGGTGGCCCAGTGCGTGGAGTTCTACTACACCTACAAGAAGCAGGCGAAGATCGGCCGCAACGGCACGCTCACCTTCGGCGACGACGCGGGCGACGACAAGTCAGTCCAGGACGAGGTGGAAGTGGACATCAAGGTGATTCCCTTCCCATGCTCAGCTGCCGAGAGCCTGGGCTGGGGCTGGGTCCAAGGCAAGGCCTCCAGGAGCCCCTGGAGGGCAGAGAGAGGAAGGCTGTGCCCCTGGTGACCCCAAGCTGTTGGTGTCCTGGGCTGGGCACTGGCCCTAGGCCTTGGGGACCCCCTCTCTGTTGGCCATTGACGTAATCATACCTTGTGTGGATATGGTGCCCGGGGGAAATGTCCCAGTGTTTGCACCAGCGTCAATGTGTTGTCCCCTCATCGCAGGCCTCTAACACCGGTCCCGAACATGAGCCATTCTCCTATCACCCTTATGAGTTTCCGCCATTCCTGCATCCTGCCGTATGTTACCATTGCTACTTCTGTCATCTCCACATACCACTTGTGCTGTTCATATTTTTAAGTCAACTCAATTTTACTCCAAAGGGAAGTTTTGTATTACAATCATGCATCAGAAACAATCCTGCTTGGCATGGACGGTGCTAGTAAAAATAAATATAGGGTATGAGAGTCAAACAATATTGTTACATTCTAGCTAGATACGGTTATCTGCCAAGGCTCTGAAACTGAGGCCTGGAAAAGTACAAAAGACACATCAACATGAACTGGAGACTGCTCCTTAACATAGTCAGGATGGAAAGAGAATTGAAAAGAGAATGTTCGTTCTGTTTCCGTGTATCCATTTTTGGGGCTCCAAGCCCACACGTGGTGACATGCTGCTCTGAGCTGGGGAGTGGTTCGGCCCCCTTTCTGCAGGTGGGAAGGGAGTGGAGCTACAGAAAGCGATAGAAGGTGGTTGAGAATGGAGCTCGAGTTGCTGCCTGGCTCCGCCAGACCACCCTGCCCAGGGATGTGTCCCTGAGCACATCCAGGAAGACCGGTGGCCTCGGGAGGGCCCGGCAAGCTCTCTCCCTGCCCCTGGCTCCATTTCAAGGGCTCCGTCTCATCCTGCAGGTTCCCAGGGCTCCAGGCTCGCTCTTCTTTGCCAGGCAGACGAGGGGAGGGTGGGTGTAGAAGCCGGCACAGGAGGCCAGGCCGGGACGAGCAGGGACGAGTGGGCCCTGCTGGCGCTGTGGCTGCATGACTGACGCTGGGGCCCCTGCCCCGTTCTTGTCCCCCGTAGACTTCCCAGAAGTTCCCCAGGGTGCCTGCTCCCAGAAGAGAGCCCCCCAGTGAAGGGAGGCTGGAGCCCGGGAAGGAAGGGGAGGAGGAGGTGCCAGAGACCCAAGAGAAGGGGGAGCAGGAAGAGGGGCGAGAGAGAAGCCGGCGGGCCGCGGCTGTCAAAGCCACACAGACACTACAGGCCAATGAGGCGGTAAGTGTGACCTCCCCTGGGGGAGCCCAGGGCCAGGAGAAGGGCTGGAGCAGGGCCCGAGGGGGTGGGCGGGAAGGCAGAGCAGGAACAAGACTAGGATCATAATAGCAGGAAAGGTATGCAGTGCCTGATGCTGCTAAGTCATTGAATCCTCCTAACCCTATGGGGTAGGTACTGCCATTATTCCCATTTCACAGATGAGGAAATCGAGGCCCACGATCAGATAGCTGGTAGGCAGCCTGGCTCCAGAGACTGCCATTACATTTTACACTCTGCCTCTTTTGTCTCTGAGACTCGGGGACCGGAAGGAGTATGGGACTTGGGGGAAGCATTCGAGAAGCGTGGCTCAGGCAGGGCTCCCCTAAGAGAGCCGTGTCCCTGACAAGAATGTCTGAAGCTGAGCTGAGGTCACAGGCGTGATGATCATGGCCCCTCCGCCATGTTCTCTGCAAAGGGCTGTCTTGTCCGTGATCTCATTAATCCTGCACAAGAGAACCCCACAGAGTGTGAGCCCTCACTTGGCAGAGGGAGGAAACGGGGCTCAGAGGCACTCAGTGACTTGCCTGAGGCTCCACCCCAGATCCTACTGCAGTGCTCTGCCAGCCACATCACAGGCCAGGAGGCAAAGCCTGCCGGCCAGAGCTGGAGTCCAGGGCGGGGTCCCCAGGAGAGGGCAGGGATGGGAGAGCCTGTTGGGGGAACTACTCTGAGTTGTTTATTTTGGTGTTGTACACTTACGCTTGCAGGAAAGCCCCCCACAAACTGTAGACACACAGCTGTTGGTTTCCTTTTTTTATACATATTTTATTTATTTTTTAGAGAGGAAGGGAGATGGATAGACAGTTAGAAACATCAGTGTGAGAGAAACATCGGTCAGCTGCTTCCTGCACAACTCCCCACTGGGGATGTGCCCGCAACCCAGGTACATGCCCTTGACCAGAATCGAACCTGGGACCTTTCAGCCTACAGGCAGAAGCTCTATCCACTGAGCCAAACCAGTCCTGGTTGGTTGTTTTCTTTTGAGCTTTGGCTGTGCTCTTCCCAGAGCTGTGATCTGTGTACAAGCTCAAGGGAGTTCTGCTGACTTGTCAGCATTTTCCTGTAAGGTCGACCCAGTGCATACACTTCTGATGGCCATCCGGAGCTCCCTGGCTGAGGGCATGCCCTGAGCACCCCTCTCCGGGTCAGCACAGGTGTCCTCTGCTCTCCGGCACCTGCCTGGCCTTGGCCATGGCAGCTCGTCGTGTCATGCGCTAGATGCCTGCCCATCTCCCCGGGCACTGGACTCCGCTCTCCGAGGAGGGCTCCCGTCTGTCACCTCTGCGTCCCCAGCACCTTCGAATTTCACTCTGAAACATGGCAACGTGTGTCGTTCATTGAGACACCACCTCCCGTCAGATACATCGACAGCTAGGGCTGCGCCACCACTACCATACCAGCAACTTGGTAAAGACAGAGCTGGCCAGAGATGGCATGGGTTGCTGAAAAGGCAGTGAGTGCCTTGTCACTGGAAGGATTCCAGAGAATGCCAGGGCAGGAGTGTCAGCCTGTAGGAGTCCTCTGTTCCCTGAAACTCCGGAATTTGGGATCCTGTCTTCCCCAGATCCCTCAACTCCTCCTTGTTTGATCCTCTCCAGGCCAATGACATCCTCATCCTCCGAAGCCACGAGCCCAACGCCCCCGAGTCGGCCGGCGGCCAGGCCTCGGAGAAGCCGAGGGAGGGGCCCGGGAAGCCACGGAGGACACTTCCTCTCGCAGAGAAGAAGAAAAAAGCGGAGGCATTTAATAAAACCCAGAATCAGGAGAACACGTTCCCGTGTAAGAAATGTGGCAGGTAAGACGTGTCTCCATGGGGACGGAGGAGGGAGCGTGTGGGTGGCTGGTGGGCGGATGGTGATGGTTGTGAGCGGGCAGGAGGAGGAGGAGGGAGCCTGAGCTTTCGCCTTGCCTTCTGATTGGCTCGGGGGGTTTCTGGGGCAGTGATGTCACTCAGCAGAAGAGGGAGGGTGGCCTTGAATTAGGAGCTCATTTCTGCATTAGTTGGAGGGTGGGGGTAGGCCCAGAGGCATTCGCCCAGTCAGGAAGAGTCGGGGACACACACACACACACACACACACACACACACACTCTCTCTCTCTAGCCTGGTGGCCCAGGGGGTGGGCACAGATCTCTCACTCGAGCCCCTCTTCCCGGCTGCAGGGTGTTCTACAAGGTGAAGAGCCGCAGCGCCCACATGAAGAGCCACGCGGAGCAGGAGAAGAAGGCTGCAGCTCTAAGGCAGCGGGAGAAGGAGGCTGCGGCCGCTGCGGCCGAGGCCGCCGCCTCCCCCCAGCAGACGGAAAGCGCCGGGGAGAGGGGCTGAGGCCCAGGCCGCCGGGAGGCCCGGGCCGGCCCCTCGGCCTGGGCGCCCGCCCGGCTCTCCTGCACCAGCCCCTCTCCCTGCACCAGCCTCGTCAAAGCGCCTGCAGGCGCCCAGGGACTCACAGAGGGACGGAGGAGCCATCCCGTGGACTTCTCTCCGGAAAAACAAACAAGACAATACAATAAACAGCTCTTTTATTTATAAAGGCCCCGGGAGCAGTGTTCAGGGCTGCAGGATCCAGTTCTCTGTGCACTCGGTCTGTCGGAAGTCGTCCTCACCTTTTCCTCGAACCAGGAGCGCCCCCGCTTGCTGGGGCCGCCCTCTGGGAGGGGCTCCAGCCGCGGCCACCGGTGCTTCTCACCCTGGGACCCTGCTGCTGAGCAGTCTCTCCTTCCTCTTCCCCAGCTCCCGGAGAGCCAAGCACAGTTCACCCGGATGTAGCATTACCCCTCGGCTCCAGAGGACCTCGAAGGCCCTCCCCTCAGCCCTGGAAAAAGGGAGCTCACCCCTGCACACAGCGCGTCTGGGCCTAAGCTGCTCCAGCGCCCCTGTCCTCACTGAGGCCTCCCCCTCTGCTTCTGGCTGGCAGCCTGCTCCGGCTGCAAAGTTTTCTCAGATGTTTGGGGGAAGCTCTCAGCCTGCTGGAGGGGAGGGAACTGTGAGGAGGGAAGCCCTGAGGGCATTTAGATAAGGCTGGGCTCTTCTGCTTCCCCCTTCTTGCCAAATACCTTTGGGCCCTAGAGACCCAGGGAGCCCCTCCTTGCACAAGTTTCCTGCTTGTCTCAGTCCTGACCTTGGCAGCTGCCACCTGACCCCACCCCACCTAGTCCAGCGCTGATAGCCACCGCCCAGCCCCCAGCCCTGCACGCTGGAGATTTCTGGATCCTTCCCTGGGAGGAGGAGGACTAACCCAATCGGGCAGGAGCCTTCATTCCTTGACGTGTGACATTTGGGAGCTATTTATTTATTCTTACTATTTAATTTTTTAACATCCTCTCAGGGACCAGGGGCCGCCTGCTTTCCAGAGGCCCAAGTGCATTTATCCCAAAACAAGGCACCTTCTTGGCATCCGCCCCACCCCCATTCCCAAGACCCTGCCCGCCCCTCACCACATTGCTCTGGGAGCCCTTGCCAATAGGAACGATAGTACCTGCTGACAGAGGGGGGAGGAGGGGAAAGGTGTCACACCCAGAGGAGCAGGAGCCAGGGGGTCAAAGGCAGTTCTTGTTGCTACCTCTGCTCCAGCTGTGCTTTCCAATTGCCTGGGAGGATTGGCGGGAAGCCAGAATCCCGGCTTGTCTCTGGCTGGAAGAAGCCATCTTTGGCCCGGAGTTCCTCAAGAAAGGACTGGGAGATTCTGGCGGCCCCTTCACTTGCCAGTCCCACAGGAGGGCTGAGTTACTTTTCCGATCTTGTCACTCAACTTTTCATTGTCTAAAAGGAGTTCGAAGTGAATGCAAGTGAACGGCAGGCCCACGTGTTAGGATTTTGCTACTCATGAGATCGCCGACAGGCATCGTGTTGGTAGCTGGGGGTAGGGAGAACATTGTTTTGTTTCTAAACTATGCACTATCAGGTATTTTTCAGCCTTCATGCATTAATATGGTTCTACAAGATCCCAGCTACAGGAGCAACAAAATCCACCCCCGCCCCCCAGACTCCTGGACAACTGCCTAGATTTCCAACTTTCCCAGCTCATTTCCTCTGTAAGCTTCCACAAACTCAGCATCCCAAGATTGCAAAAATCTGGAACCCCCTCCAGAAACAGGAAGGTAGCAAATTTAGTCTCTCTTCTGAATCACTTGTGTAATAAGAGTGCCTTTGCAGCTTTGCCCCAAAGTGCTACTTATGTTTCCCAAGGTCTTTTCTATTTAAATTATATTTTTGTTTCAGGCCCTTTGGTGGACATGCTGTAACAAATCTCCTTTGTCTAGAGTGATCCTCCTTTTTCTAAACTCTCGGAGACAAGACCAGGTGAATGTAGGTGGCGAAACAAAAATGGTACCTGTCTGTGTTCATCCCACCCGAGCATGGCGTTTTGGAAGGAAGGGTTCTTGCTCCAGGATAGGTTTATATCTCGAATGTGTTGTGAACGTGAACATGTTCAGAGGGCAGATCCATTGTGGCGTGTGACCTGCCAGTTAAGTAGGTTCAGCCATAGAACCTGGCACAAGTCTATGTCCTTTATGGTGCTTTCTCCCTGTGAACACATTAGGCTCATCTTTAGTTTTTCTTTTCTTTTTTTTTCACATATATATAAAAATTGATTTTTCACAGAGAGGAAGAGAGATAGAGAGTTAAAAACATGGACGAGAGAGAAACATCCATCAGCTGCCTCTTGCACACCCCCTGCTGGGGATGTGCCCTCAACCAATGTACATGCCCTTGACCGGAATCGAACCTGGGACCTTTCAATCTGCAGGCCGACGCTCTATCCACTGAGCCAAACCGGTTTCGGCATCTTTTCTTTTTTTCTTCTACTCAGAACTCTTTGCTTTAAGAAGTTAAAAATGACAAACACCTCCGGCTTCATCATGCCCTTCCACCCCGTCTCACAGAGCCATCTCCCCACCTCCATCTGCAATTCGGCAAGGGCGTGAAACTACCCTAGTGCCTGTAATTCCAGACCACCTCTGAGGTCTCTCACCCACCTGAGGAGGCAGTGCTTCGGAACTGTCCTCCACGCCTTCAGCAGCCCCTTCCCAGCGAAGGTACACACCCGTCCCTCCTGCCACCCGCCTCCACCCCTGGCACAGAGGTCGCGTGCTGCTTACGTCTAAAGGGATCCCCTGTATTTAACTGCCTCAGTGACCTGACCTTTCTTCTCGTGTGCCAGAGGTTCCGATGACGAAGGAGGAATACGACATATATTCAAGCCCAAACTGTTGAAACACGCTTTCACTGGGGCTCATTTGGGTGGTATTTATTGCCAGACTGGCAAAGCCTAACTAACTCCTTAGGTTTACAGGAAGTACGCATACTTTTATTGAACAATTGTATGTCCTCCACTCTTTCGCTGAAATGTTGATCTTTGCCTCTAATAATTTGCAGCTGTTTCACCTTTTTCTCACTTGTCTCTCAGTTGAAGGCCTTGTTGGAGGGAACAGCACAGGAACAGCCTTGACAGTCGATCTGTAATTATTGTATAAATATTTTAATAGCATATAAATAACTATATTCCTTTTATTTTGAAGAAAAAAATGATCAGACACTGCCTTTTGTGTGTTTGCTGCCTGTGGCACCCTTTTTTAAAAAAGACTGTTACATATTAAAATAGTGTACATATATATAAATATGACCTCTTTTGCTGTACAGTTGTGATAGACCCAGACTGAAGATTTTATTTTTTGTGTGCTTTTTATATAAAAAAAAATTAATACACTAAAGAAAATCTTGCTGATGTGATTGTAATGTATCTATGTAACTTATTTACTTTTGAATGTTCTTCTGTATCTTTAAACCTTTTATTAAATAAGGTTTTAAAAATTCAGCGTTGCAGGCTGTGTTCCTTAGGGGAGATTTTCACCATCTGGGATTGACGTAAGTAGGCCTTGTTTTGCTTGCGGGGGGGATTATTGGACATTTTTGAACCGTAGGGATTCTGTTTTCTCACCTCAATGATGTCAGAACTGGAGAAATGAACACTCCAGCATTCTCCTGGTTACAAAGATTACTGGATATAAATCTTTTTACAAAATTTTCGAGCAATCTCAACTCACTGTCTCACGCGAAAGCATGTAAATGGCACTCTTCCACATTTCAGTTCCATTCGGATGAAATACGGAGGGTGGAGAATGCGATCCGGTGGCATCAGGAAGCCCGGGTGGCTGAAGAGGGTGTCTCATGTTGAACCAGCCACAGACGGATGCATTTTCTTTAAATATATTTTATTGATTTTTACAGAGAGGAAGGAAGAGAGATAGAGAGCTAGAAACGTCGATGAGAGAGAAACATCAACCAGCTGCCTCTTGCACTCCCCCTACCAGGGATGTGCCCGCAGCCAAGATGCATGCCCTTGACCCGAATCAAACCCGGGACCCTTCAGTCCGCAGGCCCACGCTCTACCCACTGAGCCAAACCGTAGATGTATTTTCAACAGCATCATCTTAGATCCACTGTATTATTATTATCTTTTCAACGCGGTGCTTTGTTTAAAAAAAAATCTGGAAAAAGAAATGAGCCACCAGAGAAACCAGAGACCCTGGCTGGCACCATAGCAACCGCTGGACACACACACACCCCCGCCCCCGCGGGCTGCGGCAGCGCGCGGAGCTCCGGTCCCCGCCGCTGCCGTTGCCATGGCTACCCTGGTGCTGCGTGGGCCGCGGGGCGGGGCGCGCGGCGGCCACGCACCGGGCGGCCCCACCGTGCAATGCGGCAGCAACTGCTCGGCTGGACCACCGGCACCCGCAGCCGCAGCCTCACCCGCCACCTGCCGCTGCCCGCGCTCCCCGTGTCCTCGGAGCCCCCGCCGCCCGGTGGGCTCCCTGCACCCGCCAAGGAGCTCCCGGCGGACCGACCCTCCAACAGTCACTCCCTCCGGGGACAGCGCGGTCCTCGCCGGCGGCTGAGCAGCCACCCCCCGGCCGCCCGAGCGCCCGGCTCCGCCGCGAACGCCGGATCCGCTCCGGGAGCCACGACCGCCCTGCGGCCGCGCCCCCGCTCCCAGCCTTGGCGCCCCGAGGCCGCACCGCGCCTGCAGGCAGAGGACCCCGGCCGCGGCCCCCGAGCCTTCCCGACGCTGCGCTCCGGGCACCGCTGCGGCCGGTGCGGGCTGTGAACGGCACGCCCGCCCCCCTCGGGCATCTCTGCGGGGATTGTCTGCAGCCGTCTGACCCGCGTCCGTAGAGCCGGGAAGATGGCGATGACGCTGCTGGAAGACTGGTGCCGGGGAATGGATGTGAACGCGCAGCGAGCCCTGCTGGTGTGGGGGATCCCGGTGAACTGCGACGAGGCGGAGATCGAGGAGACGCTGCAGGCGGCCATGCCCCAGGTGCCCTACCGCGTGCTGGGGCGGATGTTCTGGCGGGAGGAGAACGCCAAGGCCGCGCTGCTGGAGCTCACGGGCGCGGTGGACTACGCCGCCATCCCCCGGGAGATGCCCGGCAAGGGCGGCGTCTGGAAGGTGGTGTACAAGCCCCCGACCTCCGACGCCGAGTTCCTGGAGAGGCTGCACCTGTTCCTGGCGCGGGAGGGCTGGACCGTGCCGGACGTGGCCCGCGTCCTCGGGTTCCAGGCCCCGGCCCCGGCCCCGGGCCCGGACATGCCGGCCGAGATGCTGAGCTACATCCTGGACAACGTCATCCAGCCCCTGGTGGAGTCCATTTGGTACAAGAAGCTGACGGTGTTCTCGGGGAAGGACGTCCCGGGCCCCGGCGAGGAGTCCTTCGACCCCTGGCTGGAGCACACCCACGAGGTCCTCTCCGAGTGGCAGGTGTCCGACACGGAGAAGCGGCGGCGGCTGATGGAGAGCCTCCGGGGCCCCGCCGCCGACGTCATCCGCATCCTCAAGACCAACAACCCCGCCATCACCACCCTCGAGTGCCTCAAGGCGCTGGAGCAGGTGTTCGGGAGCGTGGAGAGCTCCAGGGATGCGCAGGTGCGGTTTCTGAACACGTACCAGAACCCGGGGGAGAAGCTGTCGGCGTACGTCATCCGCCTGGAGCCGCTGCTGCAGAAGGTGGTGGAGAAGGGCGCCATCGAGAAGGACAACGTGAACCAGGCCCGCCTGGAGCAGGTCATCGCGGGCGCCAACCACAGCGGCGCCATCCGCAGGCAGCTGTGGCTGACGGGCGCCGCCGAGGGGCCGGCCCCCAACCTCTTCCAGCTTCTGGTGCAGATCCGCGAGGAGGAGGCCAAGGAGGAGGAGGAGGAGGCCGAGGCCGCCCTCCTGCAGTTAGGCCTGGACGCGAGCTTCTGAGGCCCCGGAAAGGGGGGGGGGGGGTGTTTAGTGCAGACCTAGGTAACAGCTTCTTTGTGGTGTCTTATAGGCGTGTTTCTTAGTCAAGTCCTGTGTGTTTTTGTGTGTTTTGGGGGGAGGGGCGGGGGGAGTCAGGCCTTGCATATTCATGTAACATTAGTAAAATTGTGCCAGAGAGCGCCCTGAGCTGCGACACGTGCCATGCTAGCATGCTAAAACGCCAGGGAAAGGCTTGGACACAGGTGCTCAGTGCAAGCTGTCATCTTGACACCATCAGTTTGGGGGGAAATGTGAAACTTGTGAGACTTTCTCACCGAGATACCTACATGTGAAATTGCATGTTCAGTTGTTTAGTTCAGAGCCTGGCTAACACAAGAAGTGTTCGGTAAAAATATGAACTGTTGTTATTAACATGAATAGTTCCTTCTGTTTACTGCGAATTGTTCCTGATTTATATTGATGGGAAGAAATGTGAATTAGATATTCTTAGTGATTCAGCTTTACAGTGCTAATTTCTTATTTTTCACCTGTTAACATCAGGATCAGTTTAATTGCAAAGTATCCTGAGACTGCAAAATAGTGTATTAGAAAAGTACAGTTATAAAGCTGTGTACATTAAAATTTTCACTGTACAACATATAAATTGCATGGGGAGGTTAATATGAACCAGTGACAGTATTCATTCCCCCATTTCAAATCTTTGTCATTGATTTGTATTTCTCTTTACTTGTGCTGGTTCTAGTGTTCTAAGTTTGAAGTTATCAAATACACGTATACAAATAAAAATTTAAAAAGTTCTAGTCTCACTTTCTGACATACATAAAAAAAATTTCAGGTAATTAAGATCTGTATCTTTTCTTAGACTTCAAGTCACTAAAGAAAATCAAACCTCAAGTAAATATTAACTTACTCTAAAATGTTAGGAAATCCAGAAATGGGGCTGAGGAAGTCATTGAGCATTTTTTCCTCCCCTTTTAAAAAGTTCCTTTCAGCTTAAAGTGTTTATTTTGCTGCAGGGGTAACTCGCACCTGTGTAAAATGAATGCTTCGGTTTTACAGCAGCCATTTTATATCAAGAGGATATAAAAAGGGAAGTACGGCTTTAAAACATGTTTATTTGGCTACAGAGATTCAGTGACAGAAGATCTTTGGAGATCCAGGTCCTCGTAAATCCAGAAGTGGTTACATGAACATAGTGTTCAGTGGAGATTTCCTCCAGTAACAAACTTTAAAATTAAAGCCAACCAACCAAATAAAATGATAGCCAACCTATTCTAACAATCATAAGGCAAAAATGATTCCTAAAGGCTAATACTTGTATATGTTCTAACAGATGTCTATACACTCATCTCACTTCCTTCACTCTCTTTACACGGCTCCACAAGTTTGACTCCCACAACAGAAAGGCAAATCTCCCCTCCCCACAAACATGTCATTTCCCCCTCCCCCATTCACATCTCACATAGCTTCCCTGTCCATTGCCCCCTCATACACACACAATGTGTTGATACACACACACTCCCTTCACCTCTCACAATCCTGTTTCATACATTCACTCCCACCTTCCCCAGAACACTCTACCACAAACATGCTTCCCCCTCTATACCAGTCTCCCATTCATCATTCCCATTTCTCCACATACTTACACACAACCAGTCACCACATACATGTTCACACTCCTACTCGATACCTACACTCATAACAAAAACAAATAATGGGTTCATTTTTTAACCAAATATGTAATGGGCATCCTATATCTGCACATAAGGAAAGATACATCTTTTTAAAAATCAGAGTTGATTGAATTTTAAGAGGGAGAGTCATCACCTAGGATTCTTTTATTATATACTAGAGGCCTGGTGCACAAAATTCGTGCAGGGGTGGTGGTGGAGGGAATGTCCCTCAGCCCAGCTTGCACCCTCTCCAATCTGGGACATCCCCCTCACAATCCAGGACTGCTGGCTCTCAACTGCTCTCCTGCCTGCCTTCCTAATTGCCTATAACCGCTCTGCCTGCCTGTCTGATCACCCCCTAACTAATCCTGTGCCAGCCTGATTGATGCCTAACTGCTCCCTGCCAACCTGTTTTCCCCTAACTGCCCTTTCCTGCAGACCTGGTCCCCACCAACTGCTCTCCCCTGCAGGCCTGGGTCCTGCTCAACTGCCCTTCCCTGCAGGCCCGGTTCCCACCCACCCCCAACTTCCCTCCTCTGCCAGCCTGGTCATCCCTAACTGCCCTCCCCTGGCTTGATTGCCCCCACCTGCCCTCACTTGCAGGCCTGGCCCCTCCCAACTGCCTTTCCCTGCTGACCTGATTGCCCACAACTGCCCTCCCTTGCAGGCCTGGTCCCTCCCAACTGCTCTTCTCTGCTGGCCATCTTGTGTCCCCATGGGGGCAGGATCTTTGACCACATGGTGGCAGCTATCTTGTGTGTTTGAGTGATGGTCAACCTGCATGTTTCTCTTTCATTAGATAGGATAGAGGACTGTTGCATGGGAGGGGGCCAGCTGGTTTGCCCTGAAGGGTGTCCTGGATCAGGGTGGGGGTTCCCTTGGGGCATGGGGCAGCCTAGGTAAAGGGCCTGTGGTGGTTTGCAGGCTGGCTACACCCCCTGGCAACCCAAGCACAGGCCCTGGTATCTGGGATTTATTTATCTTCTACAATTGAAACTTTGTAGCCTGGAGCAGTGGCTACAGTCAGGACTGCAGAAGCTTGGCTTCCTTCATCGCCAGGGGCAACCCTAGTCTCCTGCTCTTTCAGCTCTGTGGCTGCCACCATTTCTGTTGAAATTTATTTACCTTCTATAATTGAAACTTTGTATCACTGAGAGGAGGTCTAGGCCAGCAAGGACAGGTGGAAAGCTTGGTTTCCTCCATTGCCAGGGAAATCCAAGCCTCCCTCCTGCTCTCTGTGGCCACAGCCATCTTATTTGGTTTATTTGCATATTTGCTCTTGGTGGGCATGGCTTGTGGGTGTAGCAGAGGTATGGTCAATTTGCATATTACTTTTATTATATAGGATAACAATTATATATCTATGTGTTCACCCATAAGTATTTAATACAACACATGAAAATAGTATAAAACAATATTAGGATTCTAAATGTCCATCCTTTCTTCTAGAAAACAATGAACTAAAAATAATTAACTATGATTCAAATTAAGGTTTTCTCTATGGGTTCATTAAAATCTGCTTTTTAAAGGAGGGCAGTAGCAAGAAATATATCCTTATAACCAAAGAACTATGGAATAAAGAAGTAGACTGTCATACTACAGGGGGGAAGGTAGGGGAGGGTTGGGGGGGGCGTAAAAGATAAACCAAAGGACTTGAATGTATGTATATAAGCACAACCAATAGATGCAAGACACTGGGGGGAGGGCAGTATGGGGGGGAAAGGTAGGGGAGACCAGGGGGAGTCAATGGGGGGAGGAAAAAGGAGACATGTACTATAATACTATTTGTAATACCTTAAATAATACTTTTTTTTTTTTTAAGTAAAGACATAGAAACTGCAGTGTAGGTCCTATTCTGTGACCAAAATAACATTTGGCTGACAGCGCAGAATATGTGCTGGGAAAATGTAATGATATTGCTAGTGCTCAGTTCTTCCTGTTTCTTGTCTGAGGTTATTCCAGACCACAAATCAAGGGCTCATCAGCCAACCTTAACCTTGTACACTCTGAAACTAAGAAAAGGAATAGGAATGGTGAAGTGCAGCAGTAACTTGCTGTACCTGTAGCACTCTTTCTAGGATCCTAATCATTTTTAAATGGTGCCCAGAGAACTGGAGAAGACTTACAGACCCAGAGAGAACATTATCATTGGAAATGAACTACTGGGGAGTATGGGGGTAAAGAAATGAGTCAGCCCTAACCGGTTTGACTCTGTGGATACAGTGTCAGCCTGTAGACTCAAGGGTTCCAGGTTCGATTCTGGTCAAGGGCATGTACCTTGGTTGCAAGCACATACCCAGTAGGGGTTGTGCAGGAGGCAGCTGATCAATGTTTCTCTCTCATTGATGTTTCTAACTCTCTATCGTTCTACCTTTCTCTCTATAAAATATATAGATATATATATATTAAATGAGTCAGTCTGTCACACCTGCGCGCGCGCGCACACACACACACACACACACACGAAGCTATGGAATATGTTATCCAAATACAATTTTTTTGGAATTGAATGTCCAAAGTTCAGATAGTTGCTCTTTATTAGCTAAAACTATTGGTTATGTAACAAAAAAAAATACAAATTAATTTTTTATAAAATAACACAATTTATTACTATTTTAAAACAAGTCTCACAAAATAACATTCAGAAACTCAACATTTCTAAATAATTTAACACAATAACTTTAGTCATAAAGTTCATGCTACAAAATTCCTGCATATAAAAGATAATTACCAAAGTATTAATAGATGTTAATGGATGTTAAAATGTTCAGAATGGAGCTGGTTCTAGACGCCAAAGATTCTGGAATGATGCTCGTGATCATGACTGCCACGCTGGGAGAAGTAGCTGGCAAAACGTATATTCCTTAAAGCTACCAACTCCCCAGTCTTTTGATGAGGTTGATCCCTCTAGGCAATCACACCTCAGAGGCAGGGATCCTGCTGATCAAAGCAGCAAATAATTTCCTACCCTCCCTAACATTAGCCACAAGTTAATTTAGCCAACATCTAAATTGTTAAAATCTAGATGTAGGAAAGAGAACTCATAAAGTTTCTAAGCAGGAGAATTGTACTTGACATGTCCCACAAGGCTGACTGCCAACGTAGTAGACATGGAAGGCAACACCAACTAGGGAAATAGGGAAATCCCAACTCTGATTATGTCAACAGACAACTGCTGCAGAGGCGGGCTTAATGCGAGCAAGAATGGGGTTGACTCTAATATCCACATGCAGGCAAAGTACTTACCTGTCTGCCCTTGGGGAGTACTTTCAACCAACATCCATTTCACAATATTAAAGTGCAAATCTACTGAAAAATAGTGGCTCTCCCCATCCCCTTGTCCAATTTGCAGATCATAATTTGGGTGGCTGGTTCCTCTCTAACCGCCCAATATGGGAAATTAACTAGAATCCAGTTATGACCTTTCCACGTGTCAAGTGAAAATTTATCTTAAGTCAGGAAAGGTAAGACTCAATTTAGTTTTTCCTTTCAGTTTTCTTCCTTTGCAGTCACTGATTTATAAAAAGGCAGGAATAGAGATATAGATGTGGAATTTCTAAAGTTCAGAGATTAAAAAAAATACCCTTAAATCTTTTTATTGCACCTATTTTATGGTTTTACAAAAAACAGCTCAAGGCGGAGGGGAGGAGAAACAAGTGTAATAATCTGGGCAATAAAGATTTATTTTTTTTAAAAATTAAATGATTAAAAAAAAACACACAAAAAAACCCTCAAGCTAGAGTGAAGATAAAGGAATATGGTCAAGTTTAGCTGTGTCAGAAACACCAACTTTGCCACACAAAAGCTTGTTTTATACTTAAATATTTACAGACACATTAAGCAGCCCAGGTTAGCTGTTAAGTTTTCTCCCTTTACCGCTACTTACAATATAAAGTCTTTGTGACTAACAGTCAGACTGCAGTTAGACATAACTTGTGATCGATGCTCGACATTTCCCCCAATCTTTAAAGTTAATGATGAAATCCAACCTTTCTAGCCCTACACTTTTCCCATTTAGTCCCAAGAAAAGCCCAGGCAACACATTCTGGGTCACAGATAACTTCCTTCAACTCTACTTACATATCACCAATTCTGACAATAAGTCAACAATTAAGATTCATCTGTTATTCCTCCTTATTCTACTTCAGCCCACCCGTGAAAGGTATCAGAAGACGCATCTGTTCAAGTCAAAATTTCTCTTGCCAAACAGGAACCACATTTCAGTGTCTTAATCCACCCCTACTTGCAAGATGGATCCAGTAACCAGACATGCTTATGATCACATCCCAAACTGGTGTCTACACCAGCTAACTTTCATATATGATAACCAAATTTTATACAATATTTTTCTGTATTTAATAACTGCCAGTCTGAAAAATGCTGTGCACGTCTACGGCCATACCACCCTGAACGCGCCCGATCTCATCTGAAAAATCCTGTGCATGACTCGACAATGAATGAACACTTAAAAAATGACATGCATTTTGTAAAGTATACTTAAAATGTTAAATTTTAGAGACAAAGCAAAATCTACCATAAACTTGGATTCTGTTGATAGTAAGAGAGAGGTAGGTTAATAATCACTTCCTAAGATGAGCAAAATGCTAACATAAGACATAAAAGTTGAAATCCTGCTGAGGGGAAAATAAGTTGAACTTTCCAGTCCTGAGTTTCTAGTGTGTTGTGAGAACTGTTAAAGTGAGCATTACAAAGAAGGGAAACATAATGATCATTTCATTCCACCCATGATCACTAAATACACCACCTTCTCTCCTATAATAACTCAGGTGCCATATGGCTACAGAGTGAGAATAAATGGACACTGGACAAAAGGAATGTTGGTATAAAGCGCTGGTTCTTAACTCTAGGTGAATTTGTTCCAACCCATCTAGCCCATGGGACAAATGGCAATGTATGAAGACATTTTGGTTATCACAGCTGAGAAGGAGGTTCTTCTACTAAACAGAAGCCAGAGATGCTGCTACACATCCTATAACACACAGCATAGCCTCCACAACGTTATCAAGCCCAAATGTTGATAGTGCCAAGGTTGACTCTGATTCAAAGGAACAAACTCCTATTAACAGAGAACACAGAAACTTTCAAGGCCTGACTAGGTAATACAGATAGCCGTAAGCTTAGAGCTAGGGAACACAGCAAAGGTTAATTACTTGGTAGACTAAAATTTCCTGTGGAAAGATTAAAACACTGAACTGATTCCATCATTACAAGAATAGATGAAATTTAAATGATCCACTAAAATGGCATAATGCTTCAAACCAGGAGCACAGAGAGAATCCATTACAAGTAGGTTAAAGATTAATCCAAAAGCACTAATCAAAGGCATTTAGTATCAACTAAATTTGCAGCAGTAAAGGATGAGTTAAGAAATGATTTGAGAGAATATTCTTAACTTCTTAATACACTCTATCTTCTATTTTCTATCTTCTGTTTCCTAGTGGATTCTTAAGTTTCATTCCATGCAAAGCATGTATAGAAGTCATTCAAATATTTGTTGAGTAGAACTGACTATGGATATTTTGTGAAATGGACACAGAAAAGCATCTTACATTTCTCTGAGAACTACCGGTGATTAAAAGACATTTAGAAACAAAGGGGCCCAGCTGGTGTGGCTCAGTGTTGAGTGTGGACTTATGAACCAGGAGGTCACGGTTCAGTTCCTGGTCAGGGCACTTGCCCAGGTTGCAGGCTCAGTTCTCAGTAGGGCCATACAAGAGGCAGCTGATCAATAATCTTATCATCGATGTTTCTATCTCTCTCCCTCTCCCTCTCCCCTCCTCTCTGAAGAAAGAAAAAAAGAAGGAAGGAAGGAAGGAAGGAAGGAAGGAAGGAAGGAAGGAAGGAAGGAAGGAAGGAAGGAAGGAAAAAAGTAAGGAAAAGGTGAAAGAGAAAATTAGTTTCTCTATTGCAGAACTAAAACAAAAAGAACTAAAGACTATAAGCCATTAAAAAATAGTAAATATGAAGTCATCCATTCCCTAATATATTCACTTCCAGAATAACCTTTAGAAAATACACCCATACATAGCAATATGGCTTCAAGTTTGCCTATTAGATGAAGTTCATACTATAAGAAAACTTTGGGTCCCAGAAGCTAAGACCTACAGGCTTTGAAAGTATAAGTCAGTCAGAGTAAAGATTTCTTCCTATCAGATTGTGAGGAAGAGCTAAAAGGAAGCTAAAAAAAAATGTTGGGTTAATTTTTCCTTTTTAGGATTGATTGTCGAAGCAGTGGTCCCTTTTGATCAGCATAACTGAGAAATCATATAATTCCTATTTAAATGATAACTGAAAAGTTCTGAAACCCAGTACCACTTATATAATCACTTTTTGACTCATTTTTACACAAGTAAATGGGGAAATGAAAATCAATAGTCTCTGGTTGAGGGACTTCAGGCACAATTTGGCAGAGGGCCTCTGACTTCTGCAATCTATCACTGATTTGGTCATGGCCTACTATGGACTTCATCTGGCTACTGACTACCATATCTTGCATTCGCAAAAAAGAATTTTTTTCTCATATGATAAATTCTAAACTCTGCATCCAACTATTGCTCTGCAATTTTGAGGTTAAATCACCTACAATGCTTTACAGAGGAAGCAATCCTCAAAAATATTGCCATTTGCCTGGGATCCCATAATGAAACATCTCTTTTCCCTCCAACACCACTTACATAATTCATTTTAAGAGCTGTTTAACTTAAAACTTTTCTAAAATATATATTTTGAAATACTAAATTTAACTTATTGAAAGGTAGTAGATCCAGTCTTTAAGTTCTATACTCTTAGAACAATCATTTCTCCCAATATGGTGGTCAACAGACCCAAGTTATTTGGGCAAATTTTAATATATATGAATGGCCAAGATTTAGACTAGGCATCCAAATATAACTAACACTTATATATATATTTCCTTATGTAACACACAGAGAACTATAAACCCAAAAGTGTGCCTATGATCAGGTCCACCTGGGTAACATGGCCAGCGTGCTAGTCAAAGGAATAATCAGGACAGTCACTTTACCCACGGAGCTGGATCACGGAATGACTGCCCGACTATGCACAGTGACTCGAGTGGCCACACATGTACACACAACCTAAATTCCAGTTGACAATGTACATATTTTTTGAAAACCAAGTAAGTAAACATAACATGGGCTCTAAGGCCTCCAAAATATTACTTTTTCTTTTTTTTTTTCACCACAGCTTTTTCACTATGACTTCGGAGTCTTGCTTCCGCAGCTGCTGCCACTGCGCTGCCTTCGGAACCAAAGGCATGACACATTTGTGCTTCTGAGTCATAAGGGGATGGATCTTTAGGAAAGATGTTCTACAGATTCAAAAGTTAAGTATACATATTTAACAGCCTGACCTAAAAAAAGTGGAATGAATAACCACATTTATTCTTTTGTTCAAAATGATTGTTCAGTCTATAAAGATTTCAGTAGATGGAGACTGAAGACAAAAAACTTAAAATTTGTAGTTTCTATAAAGTTGGTGTTACCATTATGGGGGAGGACATTGAATAGGTTAAGAAAAAAAAGAAATCATAGATTTGTTTTATCTTAAGAACCTTTCACTCCACACAGAATCTTTAAAACAGACAATTATACAAAACTTATCTGTTGTTCTTATGACATTTAAATAAGTTAACACGATGTGGATAGCATGGTGTTAGTTTTCTTCTTCCTCATCCTGTTTAATGACTGGGGTACCTAAAATGAAAAAGAACATTATTTCTGGTCACTGGTCACTCTCAACAGATTGTTAAAATTCTAAATGAAAATATTTTCCCGTTAACATCAGAAGTTCTGAAATGCTGTGAAGTATGCCATAATAATTTCATAAAATAATCTCTTTAATTTCAAATGATCCAAAAAGCTTTTCAGGAGAATTCTCAAATGGATTAATATAAGGACTTATGAATATATTGCTCTCCAAATGCAGAGTTGCAAATAAAAATGCCTACAAATGCCAGACAAAAAATAAATAAATAAATAAGCACTAGTATTGATAAATATTTAACAACCAGCTGTGATTTGTAGTAGTTGCCACTTCCTGTGGTGTAAATACTCCCACCATGGCCATTTCAAGTACTAACATGACATCACCCAACATGGAGTTGAGAAGAGATACACACTCACTGCCTTTCAGAGCCTGTGCAAGGGCCTAAAGCTCACCACCAGCTCCACTACTGAACTACATGGTGGGTCTTGGCCAAGAGACTCCTCCTATCTGATCTCAGTTTCCAATCTTAGCCAGCATGATTGGCTAAGAGTGGGTGCCCCCCCCCCCCAAAAAAAAGAATGTAATAATAAATAAATAAAGCCCTATACTACTGAAACTTTGTATGTTAAATACAAAGAAATATTCTTCATTTTTCACAATAAAATATGCAATCCAGCATATCTGTTTTTTTATGTTATTCCCCAAAATATTAAACATTGGTAATAAATTGGGGGGTGGGGAGAACCAAAGTACAGAAAACAAAGTACATCTGCAAGCTCTCACTGGCTGGACCAAGGAATTTCTGAGCTCCAGCATTTGAAACCTGCTCACAATCTTGCCTGGTCAACTATTTAGTCTTAATTCTTCAGCCAACCACCTTCCAATCCAGCTAAATTAATAAACTCACTGTCTCCCAAGCTCATCTTGCACACTCTTACCCAGGACTCCTGCTTAACAAAGTTCTTCCAATTTGAAATGCCCTCCCCAACTATCCTTCCATCTAAACCACATGTGTCAAACACAAGACCCGCGGGCCAAATCCGTCCCGCCAGGCCTTGCAATGTGGCCCGCACCGCGCTGTCATCATTGCACTCCGCTGCGTTTCCATCACAATGACAGTTTATGACTGTTCAGTAAACCATTCGGCCCGCGATTTAGGCTGGATTTTAGATTTTGGCCCCTTCTCTGATTGAGTTCGACACCCCTAATCTAAACCCTATCCTTAATTAAGAACCAATTCCAGCCCAGCTGGTTTGGCTCAGTGGTTGAGCATCGACCTATGAACCAGGAAGTCCCAGTTCAACCCTGATCAGGGCTTGATCCCCAATGTGGGCATGCAGAAGACAGCCGATCGATGATTCTCTCTCATCATTGATATTTCTCTCTCTCTCCCTCCCCCCCCTTACTCTCTGAAATCAATAAAAATATTGGGGGGTAGGAGGGAGACATGTGGAGGAAGAACAGCCACCATTGTAAGCTGAGGTGGATAAAAGGGTTATTGAGTACTGACCTTTAGATAGAAGTGGTGAGGGAGAGATGAAGAGGCACAGAATAGGAAGGATAGAATGGCAGAGTAACAGGGGTGATGAAGAGGGGACTGAAGGGTTGAGGAACAAGGAAGCCTCAACCATAGATAACTAGGCCCTTTGGATTTGGATTGTGAATATCGGGTGAATATGGCAATAGGTAGGCCAGCGGGTTCTGTGCATCATTGCTTCGGGGGCAGTGTGGAAAACAGAAAGACCGTCAGACTTACTGGCTTTTGTCTTTGAAAAGCCTGAGAAGATAAGAGTTTGTGAGGAGATGCAGAATGATGTGGAAAAGAAGGAGGGGATAGTGGTTTTCCTCAGAATAGATATTTCCCTGGCTGGCAGAGAAAAAGGAAGTTTGTGGGTTCTGGAACAGTTGGAATCCTGGCCTGGGTTCCTGGTAGCACCACTGGGAATAGATTAGACCCCAAGAGGTCTGTGACAATTATCATTTCCAGTTCTTAGGTTAAAAACAAACAATAGTTTGGCTCAGTGGATAGAGCATCAGCCTACGGACTGAAAGGTCCTGCTTCGATTCTGGTCAGGGGCATGTAACTTGGATGAGGGCACACCCTGGTAGAAGGTGTGTAGGAGGCAGCTGATCGATGTTTCTCTCCCATCGATGTTTCTTACTCTCTATCCCACTCCCTTCCTTTCTGTAAAAAATCAATATATATATATTGTAAAATAAAATGTAAAAAACCACAACCATTTGTTACCACAATGACAAAAAAGACATTAAGTGGCAGAACTGGGATTAGAACCCAGTCAGTTAAGGATATCCACTGACAGAGACACCTATCTTACATCCTGTGTGTGGGGTTATTTGTTTTGTTTTTTGGTGTGTTTTTTTTCTCATTTTTTTTTTTTTTATTAAGGTATTATATGTGTACATACCTTACCAATCCCCATCCCCCCCACTGGTGTGTTTGTTTTCTTTTTTATTTTTTTTTGGGGGGTGGGGTGGGGGTAAGAGAACAATACAATTTTGATCCAATTGTGGAAAAGTAGTTACTCGCCATTTATGTATAATTATTCTGCAAAATAATGCCTATGATTTGAGAATAAGCCCAACTTTTCTTATAAGCTTTTGATCTAGAGATGATCTTATACCAGTCTAAAGTTCCTAAAAGTTTTTCACCTCACCCTGGCCCAAACCTGGACCATAAAATTTCCTGTGGACAAAAATGGCCTTGGAGGTTAGAGAACACCTATCATTTTCTTCAGTTCTGCTCCTTTTCATGATTCCGTGTCATAAATTCAACTCTTACACCTACAAAATGTTCCTAAGCTGGCTCAGAGACACTCACCGTCAAGCTTTTTCAGTTTGGGCACTCTCTTGGTTGCCTCTTCAATCCAGTTCCCCTCAGCTGAATGTTTCTCTTCCAAGGGATTGCCTACGAACACCAGGTCTTCCAGGCAGGGCAGTTCTGCCAGCTTCACAAATTCTGCTACAGATACAAAGAATACCTTCCACATTAAAATGGCAGGTTTTACTGCTATGCTTTGTGGGTTGAATTTCAACATCACTGATGGTGACTAGTCAAGACAATTTGTCGTTTAAGATTTTGAAGGAAGTAAGGGTAGTTTGACCATGTTGACTGATTCTCTGAAAACATTACAGAAAGGGAGGGAAAAAGACATACCTCTTTTACCTTTAGGCTAGCCTAAGGATAGGATAAGAAGAAGAAGTGGGATTTACAGTAAAAAAGAACAGCAGCCCCAGCTGGTTTGGCTCAGTGGACAGAGCGCTGGCCTGTGAACCAAAGAGTTCCAGGTTTGATTCCGGACCAGGGATGTACCTTGGTTGCAGGCTCCTTCTTCAACCTCGGGCCCTAGTAGGGGCTCATACAGGAGGCAACCAATCGATGTGTTTGTCTCACATCAATGTTTCTCTCTTCCTCTCTCCCTAAAAAAAGTCAATGGAGGAATATCCTGGGTGAGAATTATTAAAAAAAAAAAAAAAAGAAGAAGAAGAACAATAAATCATTCACCAGTGATAGGTCTTCTCTATGTTGTATTGCATCAGTATGGACTAAGCTAAACTGTCTCTACCCATTCCCTCTCTCATCTTTGAACTCTTAAAGCAACTCATCGGAGACTCTACTGTAGAATTTATCACAGTTTTTACAATTGTATTAGCTTATAAACTCACCTTTCCATTAACCTGTGAACTCCTTGAAGGCAGAGATAGTGTCTTATTCAACTATGTATTTCAAGAGTCTGGCCTATAGTTCATGCACATAATAGGGCTTTTATGTGTAAATACTGAATAAATAATGTACAATGCAAAAGCAAAGCTCTCAGCCATTATGGTTCAGCGGTTGAGCAGCAAACTATGAACTAGGTCATGGCTTGATTCCCAGTCAGAGCACATATCTAGGTTACAGGCTTGATCCCCAGTATGGGGTATACAGGAGGCAGCCAATCAGTTATTCTCTCTCATCATTGATGTTCTGTCTCTCTGCCTCTCTGAAATAAAAAAGTATATATATTTTTAAAAAGTAATATAGATGTCAGATAAAACTTCTACACAAGAATTATTAAGTTTAAACTGATTTCTTCCAGCCTTTGGACAATTAATTTAATTTTTCCAAGATTAATAGGACCAGAACTTATTCAATTAAAATCATTCTAAGTAAATATTTAGATGTAAATTTAAAGCATTTAGCTATTTCCCTCTGGGGTTAGAAATAAATGTCCTCCTTTTGTTCCTTGTTCCCTATTGGGCTATTTTCTATAAACAGGAGGTAGAAGTTAGCAAAGAGCCAGTCTCAGCTTACCCCAGTCTTTCACCTGGTTATTAGACATGTAGAGAATCTTCAATTTCTTCATTACATGGATTCCTTTCAACTTCTCGATAAAATTGTAGGATATCCATAATTCTTCCAATGTGTCCCCTACTGCTTCCTGAAAGAGAAAGCAATTTTATCTATACGCTTATTTTTAAGCTTTTTTCCTTCCTTATAAACATAAAGACAATGGTCTTCAGGGAGAACCAAGACCCACCTGTCCCCTGGCAGGAGAGCTGTAGGCGGTGTGGGAGTTTTTGGCATTAAAAAGCCAAGCGGAACATTCTCTTCCTCTCTTCAAACTGATCTGAACTAAGAAAAGGTACTGAAACCACCAACAGGGAAAATAATAGCACTATTTCATCACTTTTTTATAACTTATTTTTTTACTAAGGTATTATATGTGTACATATCTTACCATTGCCCCTCCCCCCCAATACATGCCCTCACCCCCCAGAGTTTTGCGTCCACTGGTTATGCTTATATGCATGCACACAAGTCTTTCGGTGGATCTCTTATCTTGCCCACCTCTCCCTAACCTTCTTGCTATAATTAGACATTCTGTTTGATGCTTTACTGTTTGCTGTATCTGTCTCTATTTCACCACTTTCATTGAATAGTATAGCTTTCAAATCACTTGCCTATATATTTTATTATTTTATCCTTGTAACACTTAAGATAGGCAAAAGCAGGTTATTTGATTTCTATTATAGAGAGCTTAAGGACTTTTTCTAAGATCACAATGTTATTAAATAGTAGAGCTGAGTCTAAATTTCAGGATTCCTCCCCCACCCCCCACCCCATTATTTATTAAGGAAACTTTCAAACATAAAAAAGTCAAAAAATTTCACAATTAAACCCCATATCCACTACCCAAATACTACCATTAATATTTTACTATCCTTTACCTATCAAATATCTGTCCATCTTTCATACAACTATCCACCCATTAATTCACCTTTTTTAATGTATATAATTCAGTTACCATTATAGTAAGAAAATTATATCATACTGACTCTTAAATGATAGATACAATCAGTGGTGGTACAAACGTCCCTCCTTCAGACGTAAGACAGACTATAGTGGTTCTTTCCGTCCTGGCACTCTTAAATCAGAACTTTGAGACTTAACCAAACCCCCCAGCTAGTATTCTGATATCTTCTTCCCCAAAGTGATCCAATTAGTGTATCACTTATGTCTTTCAGAAGGGGGAATCCGTATTCATATAATTTAAACTTTATTGCTTGCATTTTCATTGTGGTGCATCTGCATCCATTTTGTGTCTCCAACTTAAAAAGTGTGAAATAGCAGAAAAATTACTTTCAATACTGACTAGAAGATTTAGGCTCAGTTATGGGTTCTGACACTTATTTAATGTTGTTTTTATATGTGTAGATCAGGACTTTTGGTCAATTTTAACTTAGACAATTTGATCAATTCTCCAAGTATTAATTTAGCTTCTATTTAGTTTATAGCCATTTGGATGCAACTCTTTTGCCATAACCAAATTTCAGTTCATTTTAGGACTTTACTTGGGAATATTACTTTGTGGAATGAGAATTTCTTAAAGCATATTGACTTACAAATGTTGTACAGATTTTGAATGTCCAGGATGTGGTTCTGTCTTTCAGTACATCTTCAATCTATTCTACTGTTTTGTGTACTTCCCTAAATATAAGGGCTTGCTAGCCAGCTCAATTAGATTACTATTTTTATGTTTTAATAACTTGAGACTTGACCAGTGAAACCAACATTCTACAAAGATGGACTGACAAATCCAGAAACTGGATGAGCTGACACCAGTTTGGCTCAGTGGATAGATCGTGGGTCTGCGGACTGAAAGGTCCCAGGTTCAATTCCGGTCAAGGGCATGTACATTGGTTGTGGGTGCATTCCCAGTAGTGGGTGTGCAAGAGGCAGCTGGTCGATGTTTCTCTCTCATTGATGTTTCTAGCTCTCTATTCTTCTCCCTTTCTCTCTGTAAAAAAATCAATAAAATATATTTAAAAAACAACAACAACTGGATGAGTCAGCTGCAGTTACATTACCATCATTAAATAAAACCTTAAATAAAATTTCAAAAGGTGTTGAAACCATCCCAAGAAACACAAATTTCTATATATACTAAAAGTAAATAATAAAGATGAGATTTTGGTGAAGCAATCTGGTGAATATAATCAGTGAAATCTGGCTATGTTTGTGTGAACCAATTCAGTAAAAACTGTCATTCAATAAACTGGCCCTTTGGAGAACTGGGCATTGAGTGAACAGGCATTCAGCAATTTGGTTCACTTCTGCCAGCAAACAAATAATTTCTTAGTGACTTGCTCTGTAAAATGAGGAGGCTGGCACAATGAAAGACCACCTCACACTCATTAGAATGGCTACTATCAAACAAAGAGAAAGTGAGAAATGTTGGCAAGGATGTAGAGAAATTGGAACCCCTGCGCACTGTTGGTGGGCGTGTAAAATACTGCAGGCGCTACGGAACAGTTTGGCAGGTCCTCCAAAAATTAAAAATATATGATCCAGCAATTCTTCTAGGCAAATACCCTAAAGAATTTTAAAAAGGATTTCAAAAAGATATTTAAATACTCATGTTAATAGCATCATTTACAATAGTCACCTTTTGACATGGAAAAAATATTTACTGATATAAAAGTAGGTTTACAGCTATTAGTACACAAAACAGAATTTATTTGTGTATTATTACTAATTAATTATTGTATTATTTATTATTATAACCTATTTTTGCCCAACTCTCTATTGAGAAAGCAGAAAAACATATATTAACCCTGCATATCAATAGTACAAAATATATAACACACAAGCATACACATTTACACAGATATCTATTTGTATTTGCACAGAAAAAATATTAAAGTATACAAAACAATATTATTTGTTATCTCATGGAACTGAGGAAGTAGATACGGAGAAAAAAGACTTTCATAGTGTATTTCACGTACTTATAAATTGCTTGATTTGTTTTTTACAATGAATGTATATTACTTTTAGAATTAAAAATTTAACCTAATAGATTTTATAATTAGTAATAAGACATATTGAGTCACTCATTAAATACTTACAGAATGCCTACCACATGTATTAAGCACTAATATAGATACTAATGAACAAAACCAACATGCTCATTAGGATTTGTGCGAGTGACAGAGAGAGAGGGTGGGGGTGGGGGAGGAGATGAACAAGATGGAGAAGAACAAACCAATAAAAATTTCAGACAGTTTGCTCAGTGGATAGAATGTTAGTCTGCAAACTGAAGGGTCCCAGGTTTGATTCTGGTCATGAGCATGCCCAGGTTGTGGGAAAATGCCGATCAATGATTCTCTCTCATCATTGGTGTTTTTATCTTTCTCCCTCTCCCTTCTTCTCTGAAATCAATTCAAAAAATTTTTTCAGACTGAGATATATACATATACATACATATACATATGTGTGTATATACACACGTATATATGTGTATATATGTACAATACATGTGTGTGTGTGTGCATGCGTTGTCACATTTGAGGAAGTGACATCTGAGCTGAAGTGTGAAAGTTAAGAAGGAGCAAGTAATGTGAAATCTATAGTAAATAAGAGTTTTTTAGGCAGAGGAAACAGCAAGTACAAAATTCAAGTGGAAATGGACTTGGTATATTCCAGGAAGAGAAAGGCCAATAGCTGGAGAGTAGCAGCTAGAAAGAAGAATAATATGAAATGAGATCTGAAAGGAAGGCAGAGGCTAGATCATATATACATATGGGCTTATCATGTACCATAATAGTCAGTTTTCCAGTTTTTTTTATTTTTTTAATCTTTATTTTTGAAAGTATTACATATGTCCTCTTTTCTCCCCAATAACCCCTTCTAGCCCTCCTTGCCTACCCTCCACCCCAGGCCTTTACCACCCTATTGTCTGTGTCCATGGTTATGCACCCAGTAGTTTTCAATAGACCCCTTTCATTTAATTTAACATTCCATGTTTTACAGATTAGAGTGGTCATGCCATGACTGAGAATCGAACCCTGACTTCCTGGTTCATAGGTCAATGCTCAGCCACTGAGCCACACTAGCTGGGCTCCATTGATTATTTTTTTTTTTTTTTTTAGAGAGAGTGGAAGGGAGAGGGAGAGACAGAGAAAGAGAAAGATCGATGTGAGAAAGATACATCAATTGGTTGCCTCCCGCATGAGTTATGTGCCCTTAACCATGAACTGAACCCGTGACCTTGCAGTCTGAGGGCTAATACTCTATCCACTGAGCCCAACCGGCCAGGGCTATAGGTACTTTTTAAAGTTGCTTTTCTACTTTATAAAGTTTCTGCAATGGACAAGTATTATTTTTATACTAAGAAAGAAGTATATGCTTTTTTAAAGCAATAAATAGCAACCTACCAGTCCATTTAAGTTCTTTATGTTGTTTCTTCCTAAAGACAATATCCTCAAGTTTTCTGTAGCAGGGGGAAAAAAGCAATTTTTTGTTTATGAAAATCATATTACACAATTGTAAATCTAGTATAATGTAGCTTTAATAAATTTTATATAACAAATATATTTGTGTAAGAGTAAGAAAGGCTGTATTAATGAAAAGTGGTAATCAAGTAGAAAATAAGGTAAACATGCCCTAGCCTATTTGGCTCAGTGGATAGAGTGTTGGCCTGTGGACTGAAGGGTCCCAGGTTTGATTCCGGTCAAGCCACATGCCTGGGTTTGGGGCTCGATCCCCAGTCGGAGGCATGCAGGAGGCGGCCAATCAATGATTCTTTCTCATTGTTGATGTTTCTCTCTCTCCCTTTCCCTCTCCCTTCCTCTCTCAAATAAAATATATTTAAAAGAAAATAATGTAAGAGCTACAACTGTAATTTCACATCATGCCAATATTAATTTTTTTTAATTATTAGCTAAATTAATCATGGTCTTAAATTGCTGGCTAATAAAAATATTATAGGGATAAAAATAAGAGTAAATAAGATTTGAACTTTAGATTTGAGAGCATAGATACTCTTCAAATCTTTTATGGTATGAGGACTCATACTAGAAAACATATTTAAGTATAGTACACCTCACTCCACAAAGGATTAGAAATAAAATTAATTAGTATTTTTAAAATCTTTTACTTTCCATTTTTTAAGTAATTGATTGTGATTTGGTTTAAAAGATGCCTATTTGTATTTTTATAAGGCTGTTTCTACCTGTATACCTATAGATTATTTGTGGAATAGAAAAAAGGAAGAAGAAACAGTGATTGTTGTGGGGGAGGAACTGAGAGTGTATGGTCAGAAAAAGACTTCTTTTGAACTATTTACATAAAACCATGTACATGTATTATTTTCAAAATTAAAAAAAGATTTCTAATAAACATAAGAAATCTCATTTCTGTTCTAAAAAACTACTGGGATTACTTATGCATAAGTTATATATTTAGTTTTCACAACTTAAACTTCAATACACTTATTGAAACAATATGGTAACTATTAATCATATGGTTATTTAACTTAATTAAAAATAAATACAATTAAAATTCAGTTTCTCAGTCACACTAGCTTCATATCAAGAGTTTAATAGTTGTGTAAGAGTAGTGGCAACTGTTTCGGTAATGTGCACAGTTCTATTGGATGGCACTGTTCTATAACACCCATAAATTAATAGTTAAGAATACAAAATCAATTAACTGAGTTCAAATCCCCTTTCAAACCTCTTTGAATCTCAGTTTTATCAGGTAAAATAAGGAAATACAGTATCTATTTTATAAGCATATAAGAACTGAGATAGCCCTAGCTGGTTTGGTCCAGTGGACAGAGCATTGGCCTGTGGACTGAAGGGTCCTGGGTTCGATTCCAGTCAAGGACACATGCCCGGGTTGTGGGCCAGATCCCTAGTGGGGAGTGTATAGGAGGCAGCTGATAAGTGATTCGTTCTTATCATTGATGTTTCTGTCTCTCTCTCCTTCTCCCTTCCTCTCTGAAATCAGTTTAAAAAAATTTTTTTAAAGAACTGATAATTGTCTAAAACATTCAGCCTAGCTGGAACAGTGTGGCTCAGTGGTTGAGCACCCACCTATGAACCAGGAGGTCAGGGTTCAAATCTCAGTCAGGGCACATACCCAAGTTGTGGGCTGGATCTCAGTATGGGGCATGCAGGAGACAGCTAATCAATGATTTTCTCTCATCAATGATGTTTCTATCTCTCTCTCTCTCTCAAATCAATTATATATATATAGACATATATATATATAAATAAATTGTATTTGTGCCTGAGTGTGTATCAGGCATATACCTTATATAAACTTTAGTTTTAATTAATTTAATTACACTTTCTTTGTAAACGTTTATAAAAGACTATCTTGGATTATAATAATAATTACCTACTTCATAACTATTGTGTAAATCCTCACCTGAGGATATTTTTCCATTGATTTTTAGGAAGAGTGGAAGAGAGAGGGAAAGACAGAGAGAAACATCGATGTGAGAGAAGCACATCACTTGGTTGCCTCCTGCACAAGCCCCAACGAGGAGAGGAGCTTGCAACCAAGGTAAATGTCTTTGACCAGAATTGAACCTGGGACCTTTTAGTCCTTGGGCCAACGCTCTATCCACTAAGCCAAACCAGCTAGAGCACTACTGTGAATAATAAAATGAGTTAGTGTATATAAAGGACTTAGAATAGTGCCAGGTACATATAAATGCTCAAGAAATATTAGTCATTTTCATAGTTAATGAGGAATATGTTCTGTCTCTTTAGATAATGAACTCCTTGGGGGCAAGAATCACTTTTTATTAATCATTTTAAGAAATATATTTTTATTGATTTTAGGGAGGAAGGGAGAGGGAGAGATAGAAATATCAATAATGAAAGAGAATCATTGATCGGCTGCCTCCTGCACATCCTACACTGGGGATCAATCCCACAACCCAGGTATGTGCCCTGACTGGGAATCAAACCATGACCTCCTTGTTCATAGGTCAACCACACTCAACCACTGAGCCATGCTGGCAGGCAAATATTATACTTTTTTATTTCTTTAATATATTTTATTGATTTTTTCAGAGAGGAAGGGAGAGGGATAGAGAGTTAAAAACATCAATGAAAGAGAAACCTCAATCAGCTGCCTCCTGCACACTCCCTACTGGGGATGTGCATGCAACCAAGGTACATGCCCTTGACCGGAATCGAACCGGAGACCCTTCAGTCCACAGGCCAATGCTCTATCCACTGAGCCAAACCGGTTAGGGCAAGTATTATACTTTTTAAAAGTCATTGCCATCCTAGCCGGTTTGGCTCAGTGGATAGATTGTCGGCCTGCAGACTGAAGGTCCCATGTTCGATTCCAGTCAAGGGCACATGCCCAGGTTGCAGGCTTGATCCCCAGTAGGAGGTGTGCAGGAGGCAGCCAATCATTGATTCCCTCTCATCATTATGTTTCTATCTCTCTCTCCCTCATATACATATTCTCATCCTCTATGAAATCAATTAAAATATATATATATATAAATGTCATTACCAACTTGATAGGCAGAATATTAATATCTTGTTTTAATGTTTGTTTATTCACTTGTGAATAAGTTAGAAATCTTAAGGTAAGTATCCCCAATTATTCAGGTGTTCCCTAAATGCAATCACAAGTAAACTCAAAAGAGAAAAACTAGACACAGACCAAAAGAAAGAGAGAATGCAATATGACCATAGAGGCGGAGACTGGCTGGAAGTAGTTCAAGGAATGTGGCAGCCATCAGAATCCAGAAGAGGCAAGAACAGATTCTCCCCTAAAGCCTCCATAGGGAGTGTGGCTCGCAAAACCTTGACTTTGGCCCAGGAAACTGATTTCAGACTTCTGGCTTCCAGAACTGAGGGAATAACTGTCTGTTATTTTAAGCCATCAGGTTTCAGCAGCCATAGGAACCGAGCACAAGAGTCAGAGGCATTGGCAATGTGGTAAGTGATGATGTCATTAACAAAGTTAAGAAGCACAGGAAAAACAGGGATGATGAGAAATTAAAAGTTAAACATAACCAATATGAAACTGAAGAAAATCTGAACACAAAAACATAACAAAAAAATCTGATTTTTAAATTTAAGATATCTCAATTCAAGCCTTTAGCTTTAAAATATATTTAAAATGTTCAGGTCTTATATGTCATTTTCTTTGGATAATCAAACTTGAGACAAATGATTTATATATTCTCCCTGTCTTCTGACAATGACTGTAAAACAGGTGCCGACTTCTGGGATTACAGTGTCTCTGGAATGTTTATTCCAAAAACTAGAAAACCCAAGAACCATCTGCTATTGTGGATCACTTACTTAAGCCATTCAGGTTGGCGATTTTTTCAATGCAGTTTGTGGACAGTGAAAGCTTCCTTAAAAAGAACAGAGGAAAACTTGAATTAATATTAAAAAATTGCAAATAGTATATCAGATATTATTTCTCTAGTGCCCATAAAAGATATTTAAGTCACACTTCCTTTTGACAGTGAATTATTTTATCCCCTTCAGACATGGCATATATTCCTTCATTTTAAAATCTTCATAGTTTTTTCTGATTATAAAAGTTAATATATACTACTCATTGTAGGAAATTTTTAAAAAACCTCTTTGAGTGCAATTTGGTGTTATCTATTAAATGTTTTAATGCATGTATTCTTTGACCCAGTAATTCATTTCTAAGAATACATCCTATTGAAATACTAATGCAAATGCCAAAAGTTATATGAATTAGGTTATTGATTATTATGACAGCAAAAAAAAATGGGGGGAAATCTATGAACATCCATCAGCCGAGGATTACTATCCTGCCTTTAAGACAAATGGCATTGGGCTATTGACACCAACATGAGATGTCCATGATATGTAGTTAAGCTTTAAAACCATCTAACAGAACAAAACATTTTATTTTCTCATGTGTTAAATCTTTCAGAAATGTATGTTGTAAGAAGTCACATGTAATCCTAACCACCCCACACATTCCCCCAGAGATAACTATTTTCAATAATTCATATATATTTATTTAGATTTTTTCTATACATACTTTAATTATATAAAGACAATTTTTAAAGGGAGAATAATTACAATTCTTAGTCTTCCTTTCTATTTTTTTAATTTAATAAATCTTTATTGTTCAGATTATTACAACTGTTCCTCTTTTTTCCCTCATAGTTCCCCTCCACCCAGTTCCCACCCCACCCTCTGCCCTTACACCCTCCCATTGTCCTCATCCATAGGTGTACGATTTTTGTCCAGTCTCTTCCCGCACCCCCCACACCCCTTTCCCCACGAGAATTGTCAGTCCACTCTCTTTCTATGCTCCTGATTCTATTATATTCACCAGTTTATTCTGTTCATCTGTTTGTTTTTTATTCACTTGATTTTTAGATTCACTTATTGATAGATATATATTTGTTGTTCATAATTTTTATCTTTACCTTTTTCTTCTTCTTCCTCTTCTTAAAGAATACCTTTCAGCATTTCATGTAATACTGCTTTGGTGGTGAACTCCTTTAGCTTTTTCTTATCTGTGAAGTTCTTTATCTGACCTTCAATTCTGAATGATAGTTTTGCTGGGTAGAGTAATCTTGGTTGTAGGTTCTTGCTATTCATCACTTTGAATATTTCTTGCCACTCCCATTTGGCCTGCATAGTTTCTGTTGAGAAATCAGCTGACAATCCTGTGGGTGCTCTCCCTTGTAGGTAACTGTTTTTGTTTTGTTTTTGCTACTTTTAATATTCTCTGTCTTTTGCTCTTGGCATTTTAATTATGATGTGTCTTGGTGTGGTCCTCTTTGGATTCCTTTTGTTTGGGGTTCTTTGCACTTTCTGGACTTGTACGTCTATTTCTTTCACCAGGTGGGGGAAGTTTTCTGTCATTATTTCTTCAAATAGGTTTTCAGTATCTTACTCTTTCTCTCTCTTCTAGCACCCCCATAATTCAGATGTTGGTAAGCTTGAAGTTATCCCAGAGGTTCCTTACACTATCTTCATATTTTTTAATTCTTTTTTCTTTTTTGGTTTAGTGTTTTTTGCTTCTTTGTATTTCAAATCTTTGACTTGATTCTTGCGATTCTCTAGTCTGCTGTTGAATCTCTGTATATTTTTTATTTGTTAGTGTATGCTTAATTTCTAGTTGGTCCTTTTTCATATCCTCAAGGGTCTCACTAAATTTATCGGCCTTTTCTAGAAAATTCTTGAAAAACGTTATAACCATGGGTTTTGAACTCTATACCAGTTGTTTGCTTTCCCTCATTTCTTTTATTTGTGATCTGTTTCTTTGTCTCTGCATTTTGGCTGCTTCCCTGAGTTGATAAGAGTGGCTTTGTGTGCTAGGTGTCCTAAAGGGCCCAGTGTCTCAGCCTCCCCAATTAATTACCTGAGGTGGACACTCTTGGTGCACCCCTTTGTGGGTTGTGTGCACAGTCTTGTTGTAGTTAAGCCTTGACTGTTGTTGGTATCACTGGAAGGAATTGACCTCCAGGCCAATTCGCTGTTAGGATCAGCTGTGTCTATGATGGGAGAACTTCTGTGCTGGAGGCACCCTTATGAGACAAGACTTGCAAAAGCCTCTGTGCTCAGCTTGGACAGGGCAGAGTCTCAGGACGGAGCAGACAACATTGATTTCCCGTCAGCCCTGCCCTAATAGACCCCTGTGTCTCAGTGTGTCCCAAGGTAATCACTGAAGCATCTCTGAGAGAAAGCTGCCCTCAAGTTTCGTCCGCTGCCAGTTTCTCCCTGAATGAGTCTGGGTCCCCAGATTCTCGCCTGGAACTGGAGTTGGGAGCGCAGTTGGGAGCTTTTGTCTCCCTCTGGCTTGAGAAAGCCAGCCACACACTCAGTTGCCAGTCCTCTCCACACACACGCGCGCATGTGCACACACACATCTCAGTACCTCTGCCTCCTGCAGCTCCTCTGAGTCTCAGTGTGCTTTTTTCTTTCCTTCTAGTTGCAGCCAGCCTTCCTGTGGTTCTGTATGATGTCCGTTTTGTCTTTTAGTTGTAGTTTTGAAATTGTTGTGCGAGGCAGGAGTTTAAGTGTTTACCTATGCCACCATCTTGGTTCTTAGTCTTCCTTTCTTTTTTGTTTTTTTGTTTTTTTAATATATTTTATTGATTTTTTACAGAGGAAGGGAGAGGAGAGAGATAGAGAGCTAGAAACATTGATGAGAGAGAGACATCGACCAGCTGCCTCCTGCACACCCCACAACAGGGATGTGCCCGCAACCAAGGTACACGCCCCTGACCAGAACCGAACCTGGGACCTTTCAGTCCACAGACCGACGCTCAATCCACTGAGCCAAACTGGTTTTGGCTTAGTCTTCCTTTCTTGACAAAATATTTTTAATATCAGTAAATTTCATGCAAAAATATAATAAAAACTAGTTTTATTGAATATTTATACATGCCTATTATTCTTCTGAGTATTTTACATGTATTAGCTATTTTAACCATTACAACAATCTTGTGTGAAATAAGTATTATTATCCATATTTGACAAATGAGAAACTGAGGTGCAAAGATATGAAACAATTTGCCTAATATTACATAGCCAGAAAGTGGCACAGCAAATTTAAAACCCAAAAAGTTTGACTTTACAATATGTGATTGTATCCTCTCTGATTTGACTTAAAGAGGAACTGTTCATTTTTTTACTTGATACAGCAAAGTCAATTACTGTACAGTGTAAATTACTGATTAAATCTCCATATTTCCTAGTCATCCCCCTCTCCAAAGAACTACTAATGAAAAATTGAGTTCCTTAAGCCTGGGAATATGGTGGGGGAATAATTCTTTATTGTCTAGACAAACAGAAGGATGAATAAAGACAAAAACTTACTCGCAATTAGCAAGCATAGACAAGGACGCATCCATCTTCTCTATAGGAGGGATCTGGGCATAAAGCTTTACCTCTTTGGCTTCAGATGGCTTCTGACTGGTTTTCTCTTCCTACGATAAAAATTAATTTGGAAAAAAATGATCCCTGATTGCAATGTGGAGTTAAAGGAGGCTAGAAGGACGTCGGGAAGGTCGTTTGGCTGTCAGATTAATTAGCACATTATGCTTTTATTACTATAGATCCTTTAAGAGCCTATCAATTAATAAACAAAAGCAAACACAACAAAAACATCTTCCTGGGAAAAATTCATTGTCTCTAAATAACATTTCCTTAAATATCAGATTCAGACCTATAAGATCAACTGTTTTCTTTGTCATTTCATCTTTCTTTTTTTACACACAATTCAGTCTGAACCAGAACCGCAAATATCAAAAATTTTGGAAGATATCCTCTTTACAACACAGCTGAGGTCACAACTATTTACAGTAATATACTATTAAGTTATACCTTAGAGTTTAATTTTGGTACTAAAAATACAAAATTATGGGGAGGGAGGGCATGTAGGAAGTGGGGGGGGGGGAGGAATGGTAAGATATGTACACATATACCTTAATAAAAAAATGGAAAAAAATGAAAAAAAATACAAAATTAAAATTTAATTACCAGTATATGCTGCCTAATAATATTTTCCAAATATAATGTCACAGTCAGAATATTTATATTGATATAATACACTGATTTAAACCAGATTTTCCCCATTTTACATGTACTCACTTATATATATGGTGTGATTATATTTATATCGGTGCAATAAGCTCTACACATTTTTATCACCTGTGTGGGTTCATGTATATACCACCACAGCCAACATAACTAAATAGTTCCAATACCACAAAGATCCCTTTTACTGAATGGTCAGATTTAAATAACTACCTAAAAATTCTCCTTGTATGGTCTCTAAAAGAAGTTAAAAACTTATATACTTACCCATCTGGCTAGGGCTTCTTTGATTGTTGTTGCTTTTGCCTTAAAAAGAGAAGGAAAAACAAGGTCATCTTTATTGGTATAATCTGTTGATTAATTTTTCATGCAATAATTACTAGAGGCCCGGTGCACAAAGTTCATGCATTGGGGGGGGGGGGGGGGGAGTCCCTCAGCCCAGTCTGCATCCTCTCCAATCCAGGATTCCTCTCACAATCCGGGACCACTGGTTCCTAACTGCTCACCTGCAGCCTGATCACCCTAACCACTTCTGCCTGCCAGCCTGATTGTCCCTAACTGCCCCCACTGCCAGCCTGGTTTGCCCCCAACTGCCCCCCCTGCCGGCCTGGTTCCTCCCCATTGCCCCCCAACTGCCGGCCTAGCTGCCCCTCACTGCGCCCCTGCCGGCCTGGTTGCCGCCAACTGCTCCCTCTGCATGCATGGTCACCCCATGCTGCCAGCTGTTTGATCGTTTGGTTGTCCCTCACTAACCCCCTCCCACCGGCCGGCTTGCTCCAAGCAGCCCGCTATTCGGTTGTTACTGTGAGGGCATCCTGACCAATTTGCATATTACTCTTTTATTAGTATAGATAATATCTTAGATCCCATTTATTATTTTTAAAACTTTAAAGATGAGAAAAGGAAGTCAGCCATTGAATTACTGCCAGAGTTCCTGCCAATATGGCTCAGTGGTTGAGTGTTGACCCATGAATCAGGAGGCCATGGGGCTCAATTCCCTGTCAGGGCACATGGCTGGGTTTTGTAGGCTCAATCCTCAGTTTGGGGCATACAGGAGGCATGCAATCGTTGATTCTCACCCTCTCCCTTCCTCTCTGAAATTAATAAAAACATATTAAAGAGAGAGAGAATACTAAACAAAAACAAAGGCAAAGTTTTAAAAGTATATAGCATTATGTCTAGAAAATAAAGGCATACTAGTAAATCACTCTTGGGTTAAAAATTTATAAATTAAAGTAAAATAATAAAATAAAAGACAAGAAAGTAAAAATATGAGAAATACATATAACATGTAAAAGAAAACTTACAGCCTCAAATACATTTATTTTAAAAGAAGAGAGAAGATAGAAAACAAATAAGCTAAGCATTCAAGATATTTGAAAAAGTGCATCATTATAAAACCCAAAAAAGAAAATACAAAGGAAAAGTCAATGAGAAACAGAGCAGCAGGGAAAAGATTAAGAAAACTAAAAGTTAGTTATTAAATCTCTGGCAAGCCTGATTGATCAAAAAAGAGATAGTCCTAGCCAGTTTAGCTCAGTGGATAGAGCGTTGGCCTTTGGACTGAAGGGTCCTAGGTTCAATTCCAATTCCAGTCAAGGGCACCTACCTCAGTTGCAGGCTCCCGGTCCTGGTTGGGGGCATGTGGGAGGCAACCAATTGATGTGTCTCTCTCACATCGGTGTTTCTCTTTGTCTTTCCCTCTCCCTTCCACTCTCCCTAAAAATCAATGGAAAAAATATCCTCAAGTGAGGATTTAAGAGAGAGAGAGAGAGAGAGAGAGAGAGAGAGAGAGAGAGAGAGAGAGAGGTTAAAAATACCCTAGCTAATAAAGATGGAATGTAAATTGACTATCACTTTGCAACAAAATGGCGGTGCCCACAGCCAATAAGAAGGGAATATGCAAATTGATGCGACAAAGATGATGGCAGCTGGGCCAGGTGCTTGTGTCGTCACCTTGGTGATGACACAGGTGTTCCACCCCAGCCCAGCCACTCTGGCCTCTGGGCAGCGTGGGAAGGTGGAAGGTACTCCAGGCCAGAGCGAAGGCCTGGGTCCCGGTGCCGGCAGCCAGGGGAAGGAAGGCCTATTCTTGCACGAATCTTCGTGCCTTGGGCCTCTAGTAAACGAAATAAGGGGAAATAACACAGATACCATAGGGATTTTAAAATATTATAAGCAAATGCATGGTAATAAGTTTGAAAAGCTAGGCCAGGTATACATTTTTAAAAACAAACAAAAAACAGAAAAGTGCCAGAATTGTCACAAGAATCAGACCAATAATTATTTAAAACATTAAAAAGAAAATCAAAGAGATTTACCTCATCTTCCTCCCCTAAAGCTCCAAAGCCTAATTTTACAAATGAGTTCTACCAAGCTTTCAAGGAACATATATTTCCTGTTATACAAGTTGTTTCAGAAACCAGAACAAAAGGGAAAGCTGCCAACATATTTTATGAGGCTAGATTAACCTGATGCTATAACAAGATAAGGAGCCCTCTTCATTTCTCAACACAGATTTGAAAAGCCTAGATATGATAATAGCTCTCCAAAGCCAATGATGTATAATGAACATGATAAAGAAAAGCTTATCCCAGGAGCATAAGGATTGTTTAACAGAAAAAAATTATAAATGTAAATCATTTGTTATTGGATTAACGGGGGGGGGGGGGATCACATTTATATTTCAATAAGTGCAGAAAAGCACTTGATAAAGTTCTACATTTTTAAGTTTTTAATTTTTTTTCTTGATTTTAGAGAGAAAGGAAAGGAAGGAGGGAGGGGAGGGGAGGAGAGAGAGAGAGAGAGAGAGAGAGAGAGAGAGAGAGAGAGAGAGAGAGAGAGGTCAACTTGTTGTTCCACTTATTTGTGCATCATTGGTTGATTCTTGTATGTGCCCTGACCAGGCATCTAACTTGCAACCTCAGCATATGGGGACAACATTTAAACCAACTGAAAAACCTGGCCAGGGCCCATAAAGTTCTATGTTTGATATTAAAAGCTCCCATTGAGATTTAGAGGGTCCCGGGTAGCTAAGTTGATTGGAGCATCATCCCATACATCAGAAGGTTGTGGGTTCAATTCCTGGTCAGGGCACCCACCTACGTTTCCGGTTCAATCCCCAGTCATGTGTATGGGAGCCAACCAATTGATGTTTCTCTCACACATGATGTTTCTCTCTCTCACTCCACTTTCTTTCTAAAATCAATAAAAACATATCCTCAGGAAAGGATTTTAAAGGTAAAAGAAAAACTACATTCCAAAAAGCTATAATAAGCACCATACTTAATGGAGAAATTCATTCATTTCAGCAAATATTCATTGAGCATCTACCATATACCAAACATTCTTCTACAATACATATCTAGGATATATCAATGAATAAAACAAAGATCCCTGCCTTCATAGAACTATTAGCAGAAGACAAATGGTAATGCAATTTTTAAAATAAAGAAATTATATACTATATTAGAAGATGACAAGTACTAAAGAAAGAGAAAATGTTGAGCTTGGTAAAGGATATCAGGGTATGTGTATATATATATGTGGAGGATGTTTGTTTTAAATGAGGTGGTTAAGGTGGGCCAGACTGGGACAGTAACATTAAAAGTATTATCTTTAAGATCCCAAACACATCAAGGATGTCTATTATCACTACTACTATTTAACATGGTACATGAGATCTTTAAAACCTATACTAATATGCTAATAAGGGTAATATGCTAATTAGACCGGGTCAACTGGACATCTTCCAGCCATCCTGCCTTCTTTCCAGACAAAACCACTGTGGTGGGGGCCCAGGCAGAGGCTGTTAGGGGTAATCAGAGCAGTTAGGAGCAATCAGACAGGTTGGGGAAGGCAGTTAGGGGCAATCAGGCAGGCTGGCAGGCAGGTGAGTGGTTAGGAGCTAATAGTCCCGGATTACAAGATGGATGTTCTCCAAGGGGTCCCAGATTGGAGAGGGTGCAGGCCAGGCTGGGGGGACCCCCCCCTGCACAAATTTCATGCACTGGACCTCTAGTGCATGAAAGAGAAATACAAACTGCTATGGTTAAAAGGAGGAAATAAAATTCACTATGTGCAGATGGTCATCGATATAAAAATCACATAGAATAAACTCACAAATATTAGAACAAATGGAGTTCAGCAAGTGAAGAACACTGTTGACACAATAAATAAAAAACTGGGAGAAGATACTTTCTTTTTTTTTAATATATTTTATTGAGGGATAGAGAGTTAGAAACATCGATGAGAGAGAATCATCAATCAGCTGCCTCTTGCACATGCCCTACTGGGGATGTGCCCGCAACCAAGGTACATGCCCTTGAATCAAACCTGGGACCTTTCAGTCTATAGGTCGACACTCTATCCATTGAGCCAAACCGGCGATACTTTCAATGTAAATCCAACAAAGGGCGAATATCTAGATATATAAGGAACTCCTAAAATTCAGAAACAAAAGAAATATGGAAAAGTTGGCAAAAAACATAAACAGAAAATGCAGAACAATAAAAAGTTATTTAAAAAAAAGAAAAAGAAAGAAAGAGTGAGTTAAAAGTGGATGCGATGTGAGAATGACTCAGCCTATCATTGCTGATGATGATGGAGAAAGGGGCTGTGGGCCAGCCTCCGGAAGCTGGGAAAGGCAAAATAAGGGTTTGCCCCTAGGGCCTCTGGAAAGGAATGCAGTTGAACTGACATTTTCATTTGAGCCCAGTCCAACCCCGCAGACATTAAACCTACAAAATAAATCTGTGTTGTCTTAAGCCACAAAAAAAAAAGAAAAGAAAGAGAGAAAGAAAGAGAGAAAGAGAGAAAGAGAGAAAGAGAGAAAGAGAGAAAGAGAGAAAGAAAGAAAGAAAGAAAGAAAGAAAGAAAGAAAGAAAGAAAGAAAGAAAGAAAGAAAGAAAGAAAATGCACAGAAATGGAAATCCCGATGACTAACAAGAATATCTTAAGGTATTCAAAACCATTAAGAATCAGAGAAATGCAGAATAAAACAATGGAATGTTAAAATACATCCCCAGACTGGCCAAAGTTAGAAAGTTGGTGACAATGTAGAGAGAAGTAAAAACTTGTAAAACCAACCTGGAACTCAGTCTGACAGTGTGTAGGTAAATTAAGTCTGCACAGACCCTATGACTCTGCAATCCCACTACTAGTGTATTTCCCAGAGGAATCCTTGCATGGGTCCATGAAAAGTTAAGAACACTTTCAAGTTGGAAGCAATCTAACTATCTATAAATTGGTTTATAAGATCGCTAATTCCGTCTTAGGCCATACCATCCTGAACACACTTGATCTTGTCTGATCTCAGAAGGTCACTAGTTCCCCTCTAGAGGGCAGGAATCAAAAACTGAAATGCCTAAAGAACCAGTGGAACATCATTAATAGATAAAGCTGGCCGTGTAAAGAGGTTCTGCTTGGCTCAAGAAAACTGTTGACAGAAGGACTTGGGACAAGAATTATCCTAATATCACATTTCTTCAAACATGAAAACTCTATTAATGAAAGCTACATCCTTATTTTATGTACCATTAAGAAAAGATGCTGCCAATTATATGACAATAATACAAAATTTTTCAATAATATAAAAATGTAAAAAAAATTGTCTGATAGTGAAATATAGTATTTCTGATTTTTTTCAGAGAAGCCAAAAATCTCAGCTTTGTGAAATATGTCATTTTTAAGACACTGGAAGCTAATTTTTAAAAATATATATATATTTTTTATTTTTACAGAGAGGATGGGAAAGGGATAGAGTTAGAAACATCAATCAGAGAGAAACATCAATTCAGCTGCCTCCTACACACTCCCTAATGGGGATGTGCCCGCAACCAACGTACATGCCCTTGACCGGAATCAAACCTCGGCTCCTCAGTTCGAAAGCGACACTCTATCCATTGAGCCAAACCAGTTAGGGCAAGCTAATTTTTTTTTTATTATTAAAAAAAAAAAAAAAAAAAAAAAAAAAAAAAAAAAAAAAACACAACACAAAACTCTGTGAGGCCCTGGTCAGGGGGCTCAGTTGGTTAAAGTGTGGTCCAACTTTGCGGTTGGATCCCTGGTCAGGGAACATTCAGGAACCAGCCAATGAATGCATAAATGGGGGGGAACAACAAGTTGATGTTTCTTTCTCTCTCTTCCTCTTTTTCAAAATCAATCAATGGGAAATATTTAAGGAAAGCCTTTAACAGGTAAATAACACATTATGTGGGCCTGTATTTCTGGAGGGCACCAGAACTAACAGTTTGCAGCCTCAGCTAACTTCATCTAATTATCGGTTCTGATTCTTTATTTGAAGATTTGCAATAATTCTTACGGTTCATGCTTGCAGGGTTTAGAGCTTCTTGTTCCTTTGCCTGAATAGAAACCTAGGTTCCAGAACTTTTTACTTTCCTTGGCAGTGGTTTCAGCTAAATGCCTGTGAACTAAATAAGCAAGGAAGGGATGGGGACTTCTTTAAAAAAGAGTGGCATTTAATCTTGTCCTGAGGGTGCACATGAGTGACTTCCTTATCATTTCCGTTTCATGGGCTCAGTTTCTGCCCACCTGTATAGCACTGGAATCACAAAATGAAGACAACTAATTATACTTATCCTTCATAAACATCTCCATCCCAGCCAGACAATCACATCCTTTGCTAAACAACTTTGGCTGGGTCTATAACTAACCAACAATATATCCCTTTTCAAACTGCTAGTTGGAACTGTCAAATAGGCAAGCAAAAACAGTGCACATTTTATTTTTTTAAAAAATATATTTTATTGATTTTTTACAGAGAGGAAGGGAGAGGGATAGAGAGTTAGAAACATCAATGAGAGAGAGAGACATCGATCAGCTGCCTCCTGCATACCTCCCACTGGGGATGTGCCCACAACCAAGGTACATTCCCCTGACCGGAATCGAACCTGGGACCTTTCAGTCCACAGGCCGACGCTCTATCCACTGAGCCAAACAGGCTTTGGCAACAGTGCACATTTAAGTAGGAATTGAGGAGCATCCCTAGGTCAAGCCATTCCTTCATAACGGTTTTCGTTGGATAAACAGAAGATAAGATTTCAAAGCTAAGGCAGTATTTCTCAGAGTGTGGTGGGGCGCACTCCCATTTTAGGATACCTTGAGGTACATGGTCAAAGTGCACATTCCTGAACTTCCCCCATCAGTTTAAAAACTCCTAAGCTGGCCGAAACCGGTTTGGCTCAGTGGTAGAGCGTCGGTCTGTGGACTGAAAGGTCCCAGGTTCGATTCCAGTCAGAGGCATGTATGTTGGTTGCGGGCAAATCCCCAGTTGGGGGTGTGTAAGAGGAAGCTGGTCGATGTTTCTCTCTCATAGACGTTTCTAGCTCTCTATCTCTCTCCTCTCCCTTCCTCTCTGTAAAAAATCAATAAGATATATTAAAAAAAACAAAAACAAACAAAAAAAAACAGCCAAAACCGGTTTGGCTCAGTGGTTTGGCTCAGTGGATAGAGCATCGGTCTGTGGACTGAAGGGTCCCAGGTTCGATTCCGGTCAAGGGCATGTACATTGGTTGCGGGCACATTCCTGGTGTGGGGTGTGCAGGAAGCAGCTGGTCGATGTCTCTCTCTCATCAATGTTTCTAGCTCTCTCTCTCCTCTCCCTTCCTCTCTGTAAAAAATCAATAAAATATATTTTTTAAAAATATCACTTAAAAATTTTTTAAATAAATAAATAAATAAATAAATAAATAAATAAATAAATAAAAACCTACAACAACTCCTAAGCTGTATTCCAACAAGCTCGTCGTCTTTGGGCCCACTAAAACCATACATATGCATTCTGCAATTTGAGCAACAGCACCCCTCTCAGCCTGGGTGTTTACAACGCTACCTAATAACTGCCCTCACAGTCCTTCAGGACACATCCCGGGTTTAAATACCGCTGCAAGGGCGTGACACACATCTCTGTGGTGACCAGCTCCCACACTCCACCCCGCTAGCGGGGGAGAGGGGCATTACTTCTTTGTACACGATATCCTCCTTCACCCACTCCCTTCCATCACCGCTCCCACCCCAACCCCCACTTTTCCGAGAATCTCCTGCTCTTTGCCTTCCCTTCTCTTTGCCAGAGTCCCTCCACGTTAACCCCATCTCCAATCCGCCCAAGCAGCCCATGCCGCCGCCACCCAGACCCCCCCTGCTCCCCCTTCGCCCCAGGCCTCTGACTCCAAGGAGCCAGCATCCGCTCCGGGGCTCCCTTCCGCGGCTCCAGGGCGCCCTCCGCCCTCCCAGCCCTCACCACTCCACCATCACCCTTCCCCACTCCCCATCTCTTTTCGGCTTTTGCCGCCAGGCCTGGGAGATACGCACCATTCCGGCGGTTGCTACTGTCACTGCTCCGGTTGCTAGGGCCCGCCGGGGTCAGTGCGCTTGCGCACTTCGCGGAGTTCGGATTCCCTACCCCCGCCGCGGGCCGTTCTCTCCGCCCTCCGGTGGCTGGAGCGGGGCATTGTGGGACGGCGGGGCGGCCCCGGGTCCTCCGGCCCCGCTGCCCATCGCTCCCCAGCAGCTGCAGCGCCACTGGCTGTGCCGCGCCGGCTCGGGAGCTTAGCCGCGCCCAGGGGTCAGGGATGCGCTTTTCCCTGTGGGAAGCAGTGGCAGCTCACCCGCCTAAAGTGTAACACTGTGAAACCTCCCGATAGCTATGGCCCTTCCCATGATTTTAAATTATGGGAAGGGCCATGGCTTTCGGGAGGTTAAAAGCATTTGCAAAACTCGCTTTTCCCTGCTAATTGCCCTTCCCGACCTTCTCCGGACTGCCTGCTGCAATCAACCTGGCGTTCCCACCGAGGATACCCGAAGCCCAACTCAGCTGAACTGGGCCCAGTCTCTTCAGTGACCTCCCTCCAGGGCGCCAGAGGCAGCTGAAAACATAACATTTAGGTTTCACGTATAATCGAAGTGTCTTTTTACTCCCAACTCTCAGATTAGCCAAAAGTTTGTAAAAAATATTCAAGAGTTGCTAGGGGTATGGAGAAATGGGGCACAGTTTATAACAGATACGACCTTTCAGGAGGGCTGTTGGCAGTATTGAAAATATGGGCGGAAAAAGTTCACACACTAAATCTGACAGTGTGCAGGGCGGCCTCACAAACTCCAGGGTCCAAGGAAGGATGGTCTTGTTGTAGTGTACCCCGAATCTCACAAAGGACGCCTCAAAAAAAAAAAAAAAAAAAAAAAGTCGAATTATGGAGTCATTTATTAAAAGCCGGCGGCTGATGAGGGGCCAAGGCTCCAAGTCTCGCAGCCCCGAACAGCTTGCCTCATCTGGCTTATATTGGCAGAATATCACAAAAGTATTGATTACATCTTTGGGTCTGGAATGAGGAACCTATTTCGTGATTTTACAGAAGTGAAACTGAGCAAGTTAGTTATCTAAAGTATCTACGAATCACTGAATCAACAGAAGCCCATTATCTGGGACCACCAGGACAATTTAGAATAATTGTGCTGTCCAGATTCCGGGATCACTGAGTCAATAGGAATACACTATCTGTATCTACCGAGGCAATTTGGGATAATTGAACTGTCTTGGGTCCCAGAGGAATGTGTTTCCATGACCAGTGAGATCACAATCAATGGGACATTCAAACCATCATCAATGGAGTATTGGGATAGCACACATATGTCCAGAAAATCAAAATAACTTTATTGTTTTAGCAAACAAGTAAGTACAGAACCCAAACAGCAGTTTCTACTACCATACGTCAGCTGACAAGGAACCTTTCTAACCAAGAGCAGGTAATCAAGTTCCTAGACTGGTATTTCCCTTACAAAGGTCAGTCTTTCCCAACAAAGCCTGTCTGCTGTCTTGTTGCATCTAGGATAACATACCTTTGGAATGACAGGGTAATTTCCTCCCCACTCCTCATGGCACAACCACTGCACCAGAACAATCCACAAATCCCCTCACTGTTATTATCATGTTAATTGATTGTTAACCATCCTTTACCCACAAAAATGTAAAAAGAAGTATGTGTCTGTTTTACTTTTTATCCAATTCCAGAGACTTCTCTGCTTTGCTTTCTCTGCCTCCCTAACCTATCACCAATGTATTTCATGTAAACCCTTTAGGTATTGCCCTTCGATTTTAATATATCAAATAAGTGGTATATCAGCCATTTCCGGGGAGATTTTGCTTTCCTTTTATTGTTATCAGTTTGGCTCAAATAAATTCATAAAAAAATTCTTAGAAATTGGGACGTTTCTTACATTGAGAAAATGTTTTAAAAGTTTGCACCTTTGTGACTCAGCAGATCAACTTTTAGAACTTTATGATCAAGAAATAGTCACCCAAGTACACACAGATACATGTTCAAAGTTTTAACAGCAAAAAGAAAACAACCCAAATGTCAACATAACTGGTATTGTTGAACATCCAAACAATGACATAATACTTCCATTCAAAATGTTGCGGAAATGCACCTATTGACATGCATAGTCATGATGTGTTCATTTAAAATGTAAGTTATGAAACAAAATGATGTGATCCTCTTAAAAATTACACATAGCACACACAGTTATACATGAGAAAACTTAAAGGATATCAAGAGGGTTTAATGTTTCCTACAGACTGAATTGTGTCCCTCAAAATCCATGTGTTGCAGCTCAATGTGAATGCATGTATTTGGAGATAGGGCCTGTAAGGAGGTAATTATAGTTAAAAGAGTCCATAAGAGTGGAGCCCTCATCCAATAGGACTGGTTTCCTTAGCTAGAGAACCACTGATGTAGAGCCTAAGACCATCGGAAAACACAGATATTTACATTACGATTCATAACAGTAGCAAAATTACAGTTATGAAGTAGCAACAAAAATAATTTTATGATTGGGGATCACCACAACATGAGGAACTGTATTAAAGGGCCGCGGCATTAGAAAGGTTGAGAACCACTGTAAGACAGACATGAGCAGAGGAAGGACGATGGGCCAGATACAGGTCACCAGTGTGGAAAGCCCCAAGTACCTAGCAACAGGCAAAACTGGTAAAACAAGGACCTTGCCCCCGGTAACTTTTGTTTCAGTTTAGACCCCCTGACCTTTCATATTACAGGTCATGCAATTCGATTCAGACCCTCCCCTGACCTTTCTCAACCTTTCCACCCCTGGCATGTCACTAGTTATGCAGTAGGCTCCTTGGAGGAAGAACAAGGGTTGCAAGAGTGGCTCCATTCAACTCCCAGACGGGCTCTTGCATGAAGGTAACATCTAGTGATAACATCTAGGCCCCAGTTGTGTTTCTGCTCCAGGCCCAGAAAAGCAGCAAAACTAGACAAAGCGATGCCATGGCTGACATCAGGACCAGTTCATTGACGATGACCCCTGCCCTGGTACCGACCAATCAGCAGAAACCACAATCCTGAAAGGACACACCTGGAAAGCTGCGGACTATTTCACTGGGATCCTCCCCAGATAGATACTCTCCCCTCCTTTTCTTCCCCCAGGTGTGTTACCTTGAACTTCCTCTTTCCCAGGTTCCAAGGGCCCACCTAACAAATCGTAATTAATTTTTGGTGAAGGTGGTGAATGGTAAGTGATGAATTCTGTCTTCCCTAAGAGAATTACATTGCTACCTGGGATTAGGATCTGTAATCTACCTATTTTTGAAACCTAGTGTGGCCCTAACCTGTTTTGCTCAGAACCCAAAGGGTCCTGGGTTCAATTCTGGTCAAAGCCACGTGCGTAGGTTGCAGGCTCCTCCCCAGTCAGGGCTCTTGCAAGAGGCAACCAATCAATGTGTTTCTCTCACATCAATGTCTCTCTGTCTTTCCTTCTCTCTTCCACTCTCCCTAAAAATCAATAGGAAAATATCCTTGGGTGAGAATTAAGAAACAAAGAAAAAACAAAAACAAAAAAAAAAGGGAAAAAAGAAACCTAATGTGAAGAAAAGGTTTTTTTTTAAAGTACAAATACAGAGATAAACTGTAGAGAATCTAAGTAGTATTTCTTAGTAACTGATTGCCATTTTTAAAGCAGTATCTTAGGATTTCCAACTTTTCTTAAAGATCCTAGAATGGTTGGAAACTAGAAAAATATCAAAATCTGATTAACAACAGAAAGGATTCTATGAGTTCGGTCTACCACCGATTAACCTCCAAGTTATCTTGTTAGAATTCATTCCGGCCTCTGTTATGAGCAAGTTATCGTAGGCCAATTAATTGTTCCCCATGGTAAAACCAGGGACCTATCTTTATTTTGTTCAAAATAGTTGTAAAACCTCTGGGACGGATATAGCAGCCTAAATATATCAAGTTTTTGTGTGTGTGTGTGTGTGTGTGTGTGTGTGTGTGTGTTTGTTGTTTTTTTAAATCCTTGGAAGGGTGGGTAAGTGGCAGATTGAAAACCGGTTTTTAGCAATTAACCTTGAGTTCAAGCTCAAACATGGAGAAACGTGGATAGTACCAAAGCTTCAGGCTCTGATGAACTTGGAGTGTTTTTACTTCTGTTTAAAGCTTGCAGAGGCCATGAGATGTCCAGGATCTTGGCGGATTTGACCTGGGGACTGGGGTACCTGCCAGAGGGAGGGTCAGGGCTCCAGGATGTAGCCCAGCAGGGCAGGCAATGGCACGAGGGAATGGGGCGGGGCCAAAGGGGCAGGGTGGTCGAGAGGACTCAGCGAAGGACTGCAAAAAGGGGCGACCTCTGCAGGTCCTGGACCGCCAGAGAGAGGTACAAGTTCATTGCGAACCTACCCCTCTACCGAACGAGAATGAGAAGCTGATAGCTGGCAGACAATGCTGCCAGTTACCTTCTCTGAAATCCCTCCTGGCCACCAGGTGACACTGTTCCCTAAACCTAAAGGAGGCAACGTGAACTAGGCTCCAAGGTGGAGCATGGACCTAGGAACCCTTCCAGGGCTTGCCAGGCAGGGTACATGCTGGGGTTGCGGGCTCCATCCCCACTGGGGAGGGGGGGGGGCATGTAGGAGGCAGCTGATGGACGTTTCTCTCCATCCCTCTCCCTTCCTCTCTCTGAAATCAATAAAAACGTATTTTTTAAAATCAGCATTGGCTCAGTGGTTAGAGCGTCGGCCCTCGCACTGAAGGGTCATGGGTTTGATTCCCGGTCAAGGGCACATACCTGAGTTGCAGGTTTGATTCCCGGCCCAGATCCGGGCACCTGTGGGAGGCAACCGATCAACATGCCTCTCTCACATAGAAGTTTCTCTCTCTCCTCTCTCTCCCCTCCCGACCTCCTTTCCACTCTCAATGGGGGGAAAAATATCCTCAGATGAGGCCTAAAAATAATAATAATAAAATAAAAGTCAGAGATATCTTTTTAAAAATATATATATTTTTATTGATTTTTTACAGAGAGGAAGGGAGAGGGACAGAGAGCTGGAAAGATCGATGAGAGAGAAACATCAACCAGCTGCCTCCTGCACACCCCCTACCGGGGATGTGCCCGCAACCAAGGTACATGCCCTTGACTGGAATCGAACCCGGGACCTTTCAGTCCGCAGGCCCACGCTCTATCCACTGAGCCAAACCGGTTTCGGTAGCAGAGATATCTTGCTATAGAGATGCCCCCTAAGGAACGAAGGATCCCAGCACCACATCAGAATCCCCAGCAAAGCATTCCAGTGCTGGGAAGAGACATCCCCAGAACTTCTGACTAAAAGCCAGTGGGGATGGTGGCTAAGACAGAGGGCTCTGGAGTTCCAGGCATTCTTCTTTTTAAAAAATGAATATATTTTTATTGATTTTAGGGAGGAAGGGAGAGGGAGAGAGAGAGAAGCATCAATAATGAGAAAGAATTATCGATTGGCTTCCTCCTGCATGTCCCCCTCACTGGAGATAGAGCCTGCAACTAGGGCATGTGCCCTGATGGGGAATCGGGAACTGAACCATGATCTCTTGGTTCGTAGGTCTGATGCTCAACCACTGAGCCACTCAGGCTGGGTCCAGGCGTTCCTCTTAAAGGGCTGGCACATGGACATACTTGGACTCCCTCCCTCTGAGCTCCAATGCTGGGGCAGCAGCTCAAAAGAACCAGGGTCGTAAGGGGAAGAACTGAATTGTCTGGCTTCAAGGCAAAGGCTGAGGGCAGCTTTCTCCCGGACAGATGTGTTGACAAAGGCCATTGGTCTTTGCTGAGCCCTCCCCACGGACCCGACAGGCAAGCCATACCTGAGACTCTATCAACTTGGCTTACACTGATAGCCCCACCCTGATGATTCTCTGAGACCCTGTCCCACCCATTTCCATTGGCTTTTCCGTGCAAATGGCCTCTCTTGCCTCATACAACAACCCTGTTTAAGGCTCTCTGTCTTTAGAGAATACATATATATGTGGCTGACACCCCCCCACACCCCTGTTTTAGAAAAACAGCTCAAGATACTTTTCCTCCTGACCCCCACAACCATCATTATAGTGCCCATGAAATTTGGATTTTGTGCATTTCTGCATGTGCCATCTGAAACAACGAAATGCCTTTCACAAGCTTTTATCTTTCCAGTAGATGCCTGAAACCATGGATTGTACCAAACCCTATATATTCAGTACTGTTTTTTCCTATATGTATACATACCTATAATAAAATGTACCAATTAGGCACAGTAAAAAATTAATAATGAACAGAACAATTATAACAATACTAGAGGCCTGGCACACGAAATTCGTGCTCGGGTACCGTCCCTAGGCCTGGCCTGCGATCAGGGCCATCTTCCCCGGCTGCCCGCAGCTGCCCCATCCCCCGCTACCACCCACCCCAGTTCCCTGTTCACCATCAGGTGATCGGAGCCTGACGGCTGGGGGAAGGGAGCAAGAGGTCGGCTGTTCCCACCCACTCACCTGCCCTGTCCCCACCACAGGTTGCCCTCTGTGTGTGGGGTGATTGGTGGGGTGGGGGCCTTGGCCTGCTGCCACCTGCATCCCCCGCCACCCACCCCATCCCCCGTCACCCACCCCATCCCCCGCCACCCACCCCATCCCCCATCACCCACCCTGTTCCGCGTCACCCACCCTGTTCCGTTTGCCATGGGTGATCTGAGCCTGCCGGCCAGGAAAGGGGACCCAGAGGTGGTCAGTGCACCTCATAGTGACTGATCAAGCTGTTGATCTGGTCATTCTGCTGTTAGGTCAATTTGCATGTTGCCCTTTTATTACATAGGATAGGGGCTCAGTGTGCCTGTGGGGGCCGGCCAGCCTGCCCTGATGGGGGCCCTGGATAAGGGTGGGGGTCCCAGCTGGGAGGCGGGGCCGGCTGGGGCGAGGAGCCACAGTCGTTCTGGTCTCTGGTTGTTCCATCGTTTCGGTCGTTGGGCTTGTATTATATAGGATACCATAACAAAAGTTACGTGAACGCACTGTGTCCCGACCCGCGGGACAACAACGGGGGCACGCAGGAACCACCTAAGAGAATGAAAAAACAAGGAACGCGAAAGAATGAAGGCAAGACAAGGTTCTGATCAAGCCTCAGTTTTATTCTCTGAAATGGCTGTATTTATACAGCAGAGACAAAGGGGGGCAGGGCCGCCTATGCAGGGGGGTCTTTGGTATGGCAACACAGGATTGACTAATTGCCAGAGGCGGTGTGACATTACAAGGTGCAACATTCCAAGGCTGGGCTATCTAGGGGGGAGGATCAGGAAGGGGAAGAGGCAGGAAGACAGGAGATGCTAAACCCCAGGTTAATCTTATCTTCTGGCCAAGCCCTCAGGGCACCGCATAACTTCTGCTAGAAGGAACTTAATTCTATTGTATTTTCTTAAGACTGAGTTGCTTGCCTCAACTCTGCTAGCTCCCAACAGCACTGCTCTCTTTCTCAGAATCCATTATCAGACTGAACTCACCCTTCTTTTGAAGATGTGTGATCACAATGTCTATGTGATGAGATTAAGTGAGGTACTCAGGATAGCATGCCATTTAAACATTGAGTTGTTCATTTCTGGGATTTTTCATTTAGTATTTTCTTTTTTTTTCTTTCTTTTTTAAAAAATATATTTTATTGATTTTTTACAGAGAGGAAGGGAGAGTTAGAAACAATGATGAGAGAGAGTCATCCATCAGCTGACTCTTGCACACCCCCCACTGGGGATATGCCCACAACGAAGGTACATGCCCTTGACCAGAATCGAGCCTGGGACCTTTCAGTCCGCAGACCTACGCTCTACCACTGAGTCAAACCGGTTTCGGCTCATTTAGTATTTTCTGACCACTGTTGATCACAGGTAACTGAAACTGCAGATAAGGGGATACTACTGTTCCAATGTCCCAACAGCAATTCAAAAACAAGTCTTGAGCACACGTTCGGGAATGTGTACTGGTAAGAATTAAGCAGAGTTATTCCTTAAGGAGCTTGAGTGGGCAGGTTCCCAAAGCTTAGGTAAGGTCAGTTAGGGCCCAAGGTGTCTACAGGACTCTTAGCAATACGGAATCTGTCCATAGAACAAGAACACAAGGCCAAATCTAGGCCAGCCACTGAAAGCTGGGCAAGCACCTCTTACGTCTCTCCTGCTTCAGGTTAAGACTGTCCTTATAAATAAGATCAGGGTTAAGCCTATACACTGGATACAGTTCAGGGGGAAAGGGGTAGACCCAGCAGTGAAGAAAACAGGGTTGCAAAGGTTGAGAATCCAAGGAAGCCAAGATGTTTGCTTTGTTACAAAAAGACTCCTAGGTGCTCTGGAAAACCCGATACATGTTGCATTAATAGGATTTTTAAAAATATATATATATTTGATTTTTTACAGAGAGGAAGAGAGAGGGATAGAGAGTTAGAAATATTGATGAGAGAGAATCATCAATCAGCTGCCTCTTGCATACCCCCTACTGGGGATGTGCCCGCAACCAAGGTACATGCCCTTGACTGGAATCAAACCCGGGACCTTTCAGTTCGCAGGCTGACGCTCTATCCATTGAGTCACACCGGTTTCAGCTTGAATAGGATTTTTATTAACAGTATCTCACCTTTGATTGTAATGTTACATTTTGCTGTTGACAGATTTTTTTCCATCGAGATGTTTATGGAAGAAAGTTTGAATTTGCTGCCAGGCATCTACCTGTGCCCTTGAATGCGCTTTTGGCTGGCCTCCGTAGTATATTGCTAGGCCCAATACTGCATGCACAGAGGCTGTGCTAGGAGGGAAATAAGGTGGGTCGATGCAGTGGCCAGTTCCTGGATAGTGGATTATCTGGGGTCTGTCCTTCCCGCGTGCTTGTAACCGTTCAGAGGCTATATCAGCATAGTAGTCACTCCTCCAGCTGTAATCATCCAAGCCAACAATAAACAGGAAGGGTCCCTGAGCCTTTTCCAACGGAATAAGACTCTGGCAGTAGGGTTTTTCCAGTGGATCATTCCAAATATTCATGAAATCTAAAAGGCCTGACTCGGTGGTTGTATGCTTCCCTAGGTCACTGCCGAGGTCGGGAATAACCATGTCCTTGTAATGCAGAGGAGCTATGGTGTTGGCCACACAGGAATTGATAACCACCGTGGCTGTGATGCCCTTCAAGAAAGAGGCCATTGAGAGACACAAGTCACCTCCTTTGGAGAATCCAAGAAGCCCAACACTAGGGCCTTTCACCTGATGAGGAGAGAGAGAGAGAATAAGCTTAGAATTCATAAGTAGAGGACATAAACAGTGACTTTATATTCTCTAGGCAGTTTTCTCAAATGTCATTTGCTTTCCTTCCTTATGCAACAACCTACTGCAGTGTCCAAAAGTGTCTTCTAATAAGCAGATTAATTGATCTCCTAGTACACAGGCCTTCCACTAATATTTATGGGGTCTGGGTTAGGAATATACACAAAGAGCCATACACGCTATACCTAAATATTTAAAAGTTAGATATCAAGTGAACAAAATATTAAATAAAATATATTCTTTTCTCCTACCTTGATAATATGCCTCCGTAACAACTTACAAGGTTCGAATTTAAAATCTTGGAACTCATTTTTATATTGGAACATGACATAGGGGAGAGCCAGGCCTGGCCCCAATCCCTGGGCCCTGGCTCACCACTCTTCTCTTCCACCCCTAGCTCTCTCTGCAACTTGAGGGGCCTTTCACACATGTGTGAACAACCCAACCAATATGTTTAAAGCTCTATCAGTGGATAGAGCGTCAGCCTGCAGACTGAAGGGTCACGGGTTCTATTTTAGTCAAGGGCACATACCTTGGTTGCAAGCTCGATCTCGGGCCCTGGTTGGGGGGAATACAGGAGGCAACCAGTCAATGTGTCTCTTTCACATTGATGTTTCTCTCTCTCTCTCTGTCTTTCCCCCTCCCTTCCACTCTCTCTAAAAATCAATGAAAACTATCCTCGGGTGAGGATTAATAAAATGAAAACAATTTAAAGCCTGGTTGGTGTGGTTCAGTGTCTGAGCACTGACCTATGAACCAGGAAGTCACGGTTCAATTTCCAGTCAGGGCACATGCCCTGGTTGTGGGCTCTCTCCCCAGTGTGGGGCCAGGCAAGCAGGAGGCAGCCATTCAATGGTTTTCTCTCATCATTGATGTTTCTATCTCTCTCCCTCTCCCTTACAGGGGGGGGGGAGAGGGGGGGGAGAGGGGAATACCCCAAGGAGAGGCATTGGGCCTGGAAGCAGGAACAATGCTGTTTGGCAGATGATTATGGGGTTCAAGATCCCAAAGGCATAGTGAGCGAGGGGCCACATAGGATCCTGGTGAACACATTCCCTTGGTCCCTTGGAGTTCTTACCCTGTGGGCAGAGATGCAGCCAAAGAAAGGCCAGAGTGTGGTCATCTAACACAAAGGGTCCAAGGAAGAAGGCCCTCTTGCCTATGTTTGAGGGCAGAACTAATAGTACATACTGTTCTCTTCTTTTTTCTGGGCCCTTATGTCCCCGAAGTAAACCAGTCATCACAGTTCAAGATCATCTAGGTTTTAGCCGCTCTGCTAAAAGACCAGCCCATGAATTTTAGCAGAGTTAAATCATCCTACAGACCTTGTAGAACATCTTATTCCTTAACATAAAAATGTGTGGGTCTCTTAAGTTTAGATAGTAGCAAAGAGTATGTATCCCATTCATTATCACTACCAACATATTTTAATTCATTTTTTTCCACTACCAGATAAGAACTTTCTCTACAAAACCCTACTACCATGATCACACTTAACAAAATGAATAATGATTCCTTAATATCAACAAATACACAGTCCCCATTCAAATGTCACCAATTGTCTCAAAGATGTCTCTCTAGTCAAACTTTTCCCTCTACACACATTTACATTAATCTTAGACACGAGAAAAACTGAATCCCAGAGAGGGCAATTGCCTTATTCAGGATCATAAGGTAACTTGGTAGTAGATATAAAACCAGAACTCAAGCCGAAGCCGGTTTGGCTCAGTGGTAGAGCGTCGGTCTGTGGACTGAAAGGTCCCAGGTTCTATTCTGGTCAAGGGCATGTACCTTGGTTGCGGGCACATCCCCAGTAGGGGGAGTGCAAGAGGCAGCTGGTCGATGTTTCTCTCTCATCGATGTTTCTAACTCTCTAGCTCTCTCCCTTCCTCTCTGTAAGAAATCAATAAAATATATATTTTTAAAAACAAAACAACAAAAACAAACAAACGAACAAACAAAAAACCCCACCAGAACTCAAGGTTAGTCAGTTTTTAGTCCAGTTCTTTGAATTGTGGTCAAGAATTAAAGGGAACGCCCAGGTGAGGGCGGGGTGGGAGGGAGGATCAGTTGATTGGAGCATTGTCTCATACACCAAAAGGTTGCAGGTTCCATTCCTGGTCCGGGCACATAACCAGTTTGCAGGTTTGATCCCTGATCTGTGAGTGTACAGGAGGCAACTGATGTATGTTCCTCTCTCACATGAATGTTTCCCTCTCTCCCTTCCTCTCTCTAAAATCAATAAATATATCCTTGGGAGAGGATTAAAAAAAAAAGAATTAAAGGAAACTAGACAGTCAACTTTTAAGGAATTAGAGAGAGATGGGTAGACACTGAAATAATAATCCTTTTAATAAAACTTTTGAAGGAGCCTTTGTGTCTCATGCCATACTTGGGGCCTTTGGATCCAGCCCTGAGTCCGTTCTGCCTCTTTTCTGCACACACAGGAGCAGCAGCACCCACCTTTGGATGCTGCAGCATGAAGTCCACGGCTTCTTCAAAGTACTCCAAGTGCACAACATTCAGACTTTCAGGGAGGTCCTCAAATCTGAAATAAGCCAGAGCAAGCACAGCAAAGCCATGTCCCGCCAGGAGGCTGGCCCTGTATTCACAAAGGCCACCACCACTTCCAAACAGATCAATGACCCCAGGGAAGGGCCCTGCACCTAGAAGGTACCACAAAGAGAGAGGAGCTTTAGAGTCTCAAAAGACATCCTTGGGCTTCAGATTTTGGCAATCAGGAAAGAGACGTTTTTGAAACAAGGAAAGTTGAGATTGTGGGGGAGGTTGGTGGAAGAAGGATCCTTTTTTTTTATCTAACTTCAATATATTATACTTAATATAAATAGCTGGTCCTTCACCTGAGGACATGCCTGAGTGCCAGGGTCTCAGGAAGTGCCACTGAACTTGAAGAAAACCTCCCACCCAGAATCCACACTAGACTCTGGAACGCGGGAGACCAATTTTGGTTAAGGGCCACAATCACGTGGTTCCCAGGCCAGGCCAGAGGCCGGCAAGGTCTCGCACTCCACCCACCTCTAGCCCGGAACAGCCCAGGATAGACAGACAGCCACGGAAGCTGGGGGCTCACCTGGCGGCAGGAATAGCGCGCCGCGCACCCGGCCCGCGCGCACCGGTTCCCGCCGCACCCCGGGCGCCAGGAAGTGGCGCTCGTGCACCGTCCGGCCCAGCAGCCGCCCGCCCTCGGGCTCGTGGCCGTCGAGCACCTCCAGCTCCACGGCGAAGGGCGTCTCCACGTCCCGCTTCACCAGCCGACCCCACGGCTTCTCGGGCTCCAGGGCCCAGAAGAGCCCCATGGGCTCCAGCCCCGCGAAGCTGCCGCCCAGCGCGGGCGCGCGCTCCAGGTCCAGCTCGCCACCGGCGCCGGCGCGGTAGCGCGCGTGGGCCCGGAAGCGCGCGCCCTTCTCGTCGCGCAGGGACGTCCGCAGCGTGACCGGCTGCCCCGGCGCCAGGCCGCGCACCACGATGCGCACGGGCTCGTCCCAGCAGCTGCGGCCCGCGGGCTCCACCGTCACGGCTGCAGCCATCTCGGCCTCGGCCTGCCTCCGTGGAGTCGAGGGCGGGGCCTGGCGACCCTTCGCCTCCCCGGGGACCAGCCGCTATTGGACCCTTTGCGCTCACTCAGTGCGCGCCCCTGGGCCGCCTTGTGGTCACCCTCTCAGCGGCTGTGCGGAGTCTTCCAGAATCTGTGCACATTCACCAGGGCCTGAGTAGGATAAAGTATCTGCTAAGAGTTAATTACTAACCCTGCAATCCGACGCGTTGAGTGTTGCAACAGGGGTCCAAAGACTGCGGAAAGTTACAGATTGGGAAAGAGCCCGGGCTTTTAAAACAGCTTCTCGGACTTGGGCGAGTTGACCCTTGGACCAGGGGCGGGGTGCGGTTAGGGAAGTCAGCCTCCGGCACAGTCTAAATCTGTGTAACTGGTAATTAAGGGGATCAGTGGAGAAGCAGAGCCCTAATCCCTCCCTTCTCCCTCCGTCCTGGACGGAGCCTTTCCCCTAGCGCCCAGGGTCCCTAAAGCGGGATGTTCATGCGGTGAGTTTGACCCTGCTACTTTTAATAGAGTGGGGGTTCTCATCTAGCTACTTAATTAAGCCCGAGGATCCAGTTTCCTTATCTGTAAAAGTATTATTATTATTATTATTATTATTATTATTATTATTATTTTGTGACGATCACAGTTCTGGTCAATACAGGATTGAGTTGTATCAGATTACTGGCAGGAAAAAAGTGGCATTTCCAAACTGGGTAATTTGAGGAGTGTTTCCTAAAGGGACTGTTTGCAAAGAAATGCGCAAGGTTTAAAAAAAAAAAAAAAAAAAAAAAGGTCTGAAGGCTCATAGAGGGAGGCAGGCACCCATGGTGAGGGGGCAGGAGTGATGAGAAAGAAAACTTTGCCCTCATTCTCCTCTTGCCCTTGGATATCTTATGAGTTTTCCAAACAGCCTCTTGCTCTCTTTGGCTGAACCTACCATACAGCTCTGCCTTGGGTATGAAGCAGGGTGGAGAACAGTAGGTGGAGCCATGGAAGATGCCCAGCAAATGGAGGCTCAATAAATTTTACAGACTGAACAAGAAGATATCAGATGAGGACCCCAATCTCCAAGTTCCGAGCGAGAGCTTTCCCCAGTCCACCTCCTTAAGTAATTGCTGTAACATTTTTTTCCCATTTAAATTTTTTATTGTTGAAAGTATTACACGTCTCCTTTCCCCCCCATTGACCTCTTCCTGGCGCTCCCTGAAACAGGTTTTAAACACCTGTTGTTTAAAGTGTTTCAGGCTAGCCGAAACCGGTTTTGCTCCGTGGATAGAGCCTCAGTCTGCGGATTGAAAGTTCCCAGGTTCAATTCCGGTCAAGGGCATGTACCTTGGCTGCGGGCACATCCCCAGTGTGGGGTGTGCAGGAGGCAGCTGGTTGATGTCTCTCTCTCATCGATGTTTCTAGCTCTCTATCTCTCTCCTTTTCCATCCTCTCTGTAAAAAATCAATATATTTTTTTTAAAAATAAAGTATTTCAGGCTGGCCCTAGCTGGTTTGGCTCCATGATAGAGCATCAAACTGAGGACTGAAAGGTCCCGGCTTCAATTCCTATCACGTTTCCGGCTCAGTCCCCGTGCAGGAGGCAGCCCATCAATGATTCTCATCATTGATATTCCTGTCTCTCTCCATCTCCCTACCTCTGAAATATATGTGTATATATATGTGTGTGTGTGTGTATATATATATATATATATATATATATATATATGTATGTATTTTAAAAATAAAAAGTGTTTCAGGCTGTCCTCAATATAGAAACACAGCTTCCAAAACTTTATGTGGGCCGCTGCAGCCACTAGCACAATAACTGTAGATAACATGATAATATATGTATATATAAATATACATATATATATATCCCTAAAGATTCCACCAAAAAACTATTAAAACTGATAATTCAGTAAAGTATCAGGAGGCATAATAAATACCCAGATGCATTTTTATATTATTATCAATAATGAACTATCAGAAAAAAATGCAATGGGATACATTTTTTTATTGATTGATTTTAGAGAGAAGAAGTGAGGGGGGAAGATTTGTTGTTTCACATTTTTATGCATTTATTAGTTGCTGCTTTTATGTTCCTTGGTTAAGGGTTGACCCTGAGGCATTGGCATACCACGGCGATATTCTAATCAACTGAGATACCCAGTCAGGGACTTAGAATAAATGTAACCAATGATATAAAAGACCTGCACCAGGGAAATTATAAGACACTGAAGAAAGAAATTGAAAAAGATACAAATAAGTGGAAGCAGCCCTGGCCAGGTAGCTAAGTGAAATAAGCCAGTCAGAGAAAGACAAATGCCATAAAATTTCACTTGTATGTGGAATCTAATGAACAAAATAAACAAACAAAATAGAAACAGACTCATAGAATAAAAAAACAGACTGACACCTGTTAGAGAGGCAGGGGGTTGGCAGATCCATAAAAAGCTGAAGAGATTAAGCAAAATAACAACTACACACACACACACACACAAACAAACAAAAAACAACCCTCATAGATACTGATACTTTCCCCCATCTTTAACATCTTCCATAAACGTGGCAATCTGATATTTGATGAGTTAATATTGGTACACTATTATTAACGAAAGTCCATATTTTATGTTAGGGATCACTCTTTGTGTTGTACATTCTATGGTTGTTGTTTTTTCATAATATTCTTTTTTTAAAATATATTTTATTGATTTTTTACAGAGAGGAAGGGGGAGAGAGAGAGAGCTAGAAACGTCGATGAGAGAGAAACATCGACCAGCTGCCTCTTGCACACTCCCTACCGGGGATGTGCCCGCAACCAATGTACAGCCCCTTGACCGGAATCGAACCTGGGATCTTTCAGTCCGCAGACTGATGCTCTACCACTGAGCCAAACTGGCTTCGGCCATTCTGTGGGTTTTAACAAATGTGTAATGATGTATTGTAGGGAGCGGCTATAAGGTTAAGCCTTGGACTGACCTGTTGGCAAAGCCACAAACAAGTCCCAGCTTAGATGGCATAGCCCTTTTAGCATAAATAAGCTTGACCTTTCGAGCCACATGCGGTTTGCTACCACTGCCCTAAATCCATCCTGGTTAGCTAATGGGCTATGGGAGGTGCAGCAAGTGCTGCCAAAACAAGTGAAACTCACAAGAACATTGTAAGTATGTTGACAACTGCCTTGTTTACCTCTGGCTATAAAATAAAGCATCAGCATGCCTCTGGATCTGTTCTCTGAGGCCTCAGCCAGGCACAGGAGATCCATCTAGACCCAGCTTATTCTCTTTGTCTTTTCGACATCCTTTGCCGCCCTCCCTCAGGCTTGCCGAACCCTTGTCTATGCTGACACTGCACAATGTATACACACCATTACGGTATACACAGAATAGTTTCACTCCCAAAATTCCTGTAATGTTCCATCTATTCCTCCCTTCCTTCCTTCCTCCTCCCCAAGCTTTTGGAAACCACTGATCTTTTTGCTGTCTCCACAGTTTTGCCTTTCCCGGAATATCACCTAGTTGGAATCCTATAGTATATAGACTTTTCGGATTGGCTTCTTTCATTAGCAATATGCACTTAAGTTTCTTTCATGTCTTTTTGCTGCTTGATAGCTCATTTTTATTAATGAACTAGATGCCCCTTGCAGGAAGATTCCTGTAATAGGGCTTCCTGTTTTGGTCTCTGCTGCCCCGCCTGCTTCCCTGCCTTCTCCTCTGCCCCACTTGCTTCTTCGCAGCTTCTCTCCCTTCTGCAGTGCTTGGCTTCTTTCTATGCTGTCTTTAGTCTTCACTCTGGCCTGGATATGCAAATTAACTACTATCTTGGTTGGGTTAATTTGCATACTCACCCTAATTGGCTAGTGGGCATGGCTTGTGGCTCAATTTGCATTTCCTCTTTTTTTTAAAAAATATTTTTATTGATTTTTTTACAGAGAGGAAGGAAGAGGGATAGAGAGTTAGAAACATCAATGAGAGAAAAACATTGATCAGCTGCCTCTTGCACACCCCCCACTGGGGATGTGCCTAGAACCATGCCCTTGACCGGAATCAAACCTGGGACCTTTCAGTCTGCAGGCTGACACTCTATCCACTTAGCCAAACTGGTTTTGGCTGCATGTTTCTCTTTTATTAGAGAGGATGATATTTCATTGTATGGATGTACCACCATTTGTTTATTCATTTATCTATTAAAAGCTGTCTTGATTGCGTCCAAGTTTTGGCAATCATGAATAAAGCTGCTATAAACATCTGTGTGCAGGTCTTTGTGTGGACATGACTTTCAACTCCTTTGGGTCAATACAAAGAAATACAATTTCTGGGTTATATGATGAGTATACCAAACTGTCTTCCAAAGTGGTTACACCATTTTGTGTTCCTACTAACAACAAATGAGTTTCTGTTGCTTTTAGAGAGTGGGAGGGAGAGAGACAGAAACATAGATGTGTGAGAGAGACATTGATTGGTTGTCTCCTACACACCCCCTGACCAGGGCTGGAGATGGAGCCTGCAACTGAGATACATGCCCTTGACCAGATCGATCCCCAGACCCACCAGTCCAAAGGCCTAAACAACCAACTAGGGCTTCATGACCTTATTTGCCATGAGAGGTCCAATCTTATGCCTATTTAAAATATATATATATATATTTTTATTGATTTCAGAGAGGAAGGGAGAGAGAGAGATAGAAACATCAAGGATGAGAATCATTGACTGGCTGCCTCCTGCATGCCCACAATGGGGATCAAGCCTGCAACCCTGCCATGTGCCCTGACCAGGAATTGAACCATGACCTCCCGGTTCTTAGATCAGCACTTGACCACTGAGCCCTGCCACTCAGACTTGTGCGAGGTTTTTAATTGGGTTGTTTGTTTTTCTATTGTTGAGTTTTAAGTTATTTGTGTATTCTGGATACCAGTCCTTAATGAATATGTGTTTTGCAGAGATTTTTTTCATAGTCTACGGTTGTCTTTTCAATCTCTTAATAATATACTTTAAAAAACCAATTTGAGGCAGGTACATTGATACTATGTACTAGATGCTAGAGATTTAAAAAAATAAATGAGACTTTTATATCTGTAGGGATCTCACATGTAGAGGGGAAACTGACCCATGAGTGGTCAGTACAAACCTGTTATAGTAGCTGCTCTGCACAGGTACATAGACTGGGAACCAGGGACAGAATGGCCAACAGCACATGTTGTGGGTCAGAGATTTACAGAGGGACAGCTTATGTAAAGGCAAGAAGTTCGACATGATGAGAGTGTGCTGTTTTAAGAGGGGAACAGTGAGGGATGTGGCTAAGAGGAGCAGGAGGCAGATCATTGAGATTTTAATTAGATAAGCATACATGATCAGAATTGTATTTTGGGAAAATTACTTTGGCATCAGAGTGAAGATGATTTGGGAAAAGATTAAACTGTAAGACCAGGTAGGAGTTAAAAAGAGTGCCCAAACTGAAGCATGGCTTTGCTTTAGATATGGAGGAGACAATCTAAGGAAGGAAGTAGTAATATCGGGTTTCACTGATGGGTATAGGAAAGAGGGAAAAAAATGGTAATCAATAATCACCTGCCTTTTTTGCTTCTCCTGAATACATTTTGCTATACGTGTGGAGTAATATATTGTCTCCAGTAGTAATATTAATTTCACTTATACTAAGTCAAACCAGCTAGGGCTATCAACACTTCTTGATTCCACTTTTGGGAATATAGCTGAAGAAACCCAAACACTAATTTGAAAAAATACATGCACTCTTTGTTCGTTGAAGCATTACTTATAATAGCCAAAATATAGAAGCAACTCTCCATCAGTAGAGGAGTGGATTAGAAAGCTGTGGTACATATATACAATGGAATATTACTCAGCCATAAAAAAGAATGAAATCTTACCTTTTGCAACAGCACAGATGGACTTAGAGAGCATCATGCAAGTGAAATAAGTCAGTCAGAGAAAGACAAATACTATATGATCTCACTTATGTATATACTCCAGGGCCCTGGCTGGGGAGGAGCCTGCAATTGAGAATTGAACATATCCTTGACCAGAATCGAATCCTTTTGGTCCACAAGCCGACACTCAATCCACTGAGGCAAACTGGGTAGGGCTTTGTTGTATATCTTTAATTGAATCTTCTATAACAGGCATGTGCTACATTAGTAAAATCAGTGAAAAAAATAACGTTCAGAAAAGTTATCTAAAATATTACAGTAATACCAATGATATGAAGTTGATATTCTTTAGGGAATAACTTATTCCCTTAACAATTATTAAACACTAGTCTTGGGCTTGTATCTCTCATGTCAACAACAAACCAATGCATTACAATTTGGGGGAAGCTCCCTTCTGGGTACCTCCAAGATGTGTGCAGAAAAAGGCCAGAATTTGCTTCCAAGCATCTATCTGGGCCTTGGAATGAGCTCTGGGCTCCCCACCCCAAATCACAGGCTTGTTCAGTAACCTGTGCAGGGAAGCTGGGCACATGGGAAAGTAAGGAGGCTCAATGTAGTGCCCCGTGCCAGGGTAAGCGATGATCCGAGGTTTTTCCTTCCCATAGGTCTGTAACCGTTCCGAGGCTATTTGGGCATATAGCTCACTCCTCCAGTTACGGTCATCCTGCCCAACGATGAAGAGGATAGGCCCCTGGGCCTTCTCTATTGGAATCATGCTGGGGTGCTCACACCCTCCCACAATATCGTTCCGTATGTCCACAATGTCCAGGAGGCCTGAGAAGTCTGTCTTGATTCTCCTCAGGTCATGGCCCAGTGGGGGGATGCAAGTATCCTTGTAGCATATGGCTTTGCTTCCACTGAACCCAGATCCATTGATGGAAACTGTAGCTGAGATGTTCTTCAAAAATGAGGCCATACAGAGACAGATATCAGCCCCTAAAGAAATGCCCAGAAGGCCAATGCCTGGGCCTCTTACCTGGAAGAAAAGAAGGGAGAAGAGTCAAGAACCTTCCCAATGGAAAAGTGTTTTTCTAAATGCTGCCAGATGTGCCGCTAGATTTAATGGGTGAGCTGGGCACAAGAGAATCAAACTGACAGAGGAGTTTCTTCCCACAGAGTAAAGAAAATCTGGCTGGACACACGGCAAACACACCTTAAACTTACTGGCAAGTTTGGGAATTGGTTATTCACATTCCAGAGAATTTATTGTCCATTGGAGTAGTGTTTCCCAAACTTTTGACATACGTGTACTCCTTCTATAATTTTCATAACGCTGAGTATCCCTCGTACTCATGAGAACGTAGAATTAGGTGCAGCTAAGCACGGTGCAGTGCATATCCCCACCAAACTCCGGTGCAACCGTGTACCCCCACCAAACTCTTCCCGTACCCCTGGGGGCACGTGTACCACACTTTGGGAAACACTGCATTAGAGAATGCTGAGTCATGGAGCCTGTCAAGTGTAGGTGGGCATGGACACTGTCTCAACAAGCCTGGGTATCTAAGTTCTGGATTCAAGAAGTGAATCATTTATCAGATCCTATCAAAATATATCAGCAAATGATTAACTTTATACAAACAAAGTGAGATTTCAGAGTCTAACTTATTCTTAGCTTCTGAAATGGGTGGGCCAATTCTGATAAAAATCTGAGAACATACAATTCTGTTTTCAGAAAAGGATGAAAAAAAACAAGCATGCAAAACTAACAAACCAGAAGCTCCCTAACAAAAGGAATTTTAATATTACTAAGTACTTCCTTTAAATAAAATCTTATATGTATTTTATGGTTAATTCTGCATGCTGAATCCGACAGAGAAAGTGGAACAAGGCACATTACGTCAAGGAAGTCTCCAAGAGAAATCTCTGGGAGAGAAGAGTAGAGCACCATCAGTGCACCTGGCACAAATGCGTGCAAAGTGATGCCTTCTGGAGATAGTATATGGAGAGAGGATGATACAATAAAGGACATTAGGAGAACCTGGGGATGTTGAAGCATGTAGCACAGGGCTTCTTCAAAGTAGTCTGTATTATTGCTGTCAAATTCCTTGGGGAGATCTTCAAAGCCATAATAAGCTAGAGCCAATGTGGCAAAGCCATGGCCAGCCAGAAGGCTGGCTCGATATTCCAGCAGGCCCCCTCCAACGCCAAAGAGATCAATGATTCCGGGGAAAGGGCCAGGTCCTAGAGGAGGGAATATTACAAAATGAAGGTATTAATCAAGAGTCCAGAGACTAAACATAGAAAATGAAAAGGCATTTGGGGGGCCAGAGGAGCTTGGCTAAAGAAACCAAGTCCTCCCTTATTCTCAGGACCCCTTGCTTTTTATTAACACAAATTGTCCTAAGGCAAGGTAGATATACACATCTAAAGCTAGGGTTTAGTATGTAGAATCCATTGCCAGATTGGAAAATTGCCTACAGCTGTTCAAGTCCTTGGCCAGGAGGAGGCAAAAGCATGTAGATTAAGATGCCTTTAGCTGTCTGACAGCAATCAATCAATTTATGCATCCCTTTCAGGTTTGGGGAAATGCCCTCAGCCATCTCCAGGTGATTCAACCTTGCTGACATTCTGGAATTGGCTTCTGGTAGTATCTTCTCATTGATGAGTTTACCCTTCATATGATTCTATGGTAAATTATCTGCAAGAGAAGGAGACATAGAATTAAGAATCTTAAACCCTAGCAGGTTTGGCTCAGTGGATAGAGCACCTGAGTTGCAGGGTCAATTCCTGGGGATCAAGCAGGAGGCAGCTAATCAATGATTCTCTCTCATCATTGATGTTTTTATCTCTCCCTCTCCCTGCCTCTCTCTGAAATCAATGAAAACATTAAAAAAAAAAAAAAAAAAGAGAGAGAGAGAATCTTAAAGTTTTGGCCCTGACTGGTTTGGCTCAGTGGATAGAGCATCGGCCTTTGGACTCAAGGGTCCCAGGTTCAATTCTGATCAAGGGCATGTGCCAGCACATCCCCTGTAGGGGGTGCAGGAGGTGGCTGATTGATGTTTCTCTCTCATGGATGTTTCTGGCTATCCCTCTCCCTTCCTCTCTGTAAAAAAAAAAAGTTAAAACACACACACACACACACACCCTAAAAACAAAAAAGCAACAACAGTTTTGTGTTGTATTGCATCAACCCTTGGCTTTTTTGTTTATATTCATATTTCAGCTGCCTATTTAGATCGAGGAAAGAAAAATATCTAGAGATGACTTTAGGCGAAGAAGGCAGGAAAGTCTGAAGTCTGTTCTGTGGTAGAGAGGAACGTGAAGTGGAGGAGAGGCCCAGGGTACCCAGGCCACTAGGGAAGGGTGGCATGGCAATAGCTTCCTTGACCATCTATTTTGCCGGAGACCTGTAGAGTAAGTTCATAGCAAAGTGGACAACATACCTACCGACCCTGGTCCGTTTTTTAGTGTGTGTTTTTTAATCTGCATAACAGTACTCACCTCATTGAAATATCATATCAATGAAATGAGATTATGCAAACGAAGTGCATAGGACAGAGCCTAACAAATCCAAATGCTCTGTTTTGGTTGTGCGACCACTTATTAAGTCAAATGCCAACTTCTCTGACCTGCCTCGGAGCCAAACTCTCCTCACGCAGCACAGAAACGAAGTGCCAAGCGCACCTCCAAGGGCAGCAGCCCGGGCTCACCTGGCGGCAGGAAGAGCGCGCCGCGCACCCGGCCCGCGCGCACCGGCTCCCGCCGCACCCCGGGCGCCAGGAAGTGGCGCTCGTGCACCGTCCGGCCCAGCAGCCGCCCGCCCTCGGGCTCGTGGCCGTCGAGCACCTCCAGCTCCACGGCGAAGGGCGTCTGCACGTCCCGCTTCAGGAACCGCCAAAAAGGCTTCTCGGGCTCCAGGGCCCAGAAGAGCCCCATGGGCTCCAGCCCCGCGAAGCTGCCGCCCAGCGCGGGCGCGCGCGCCAGGTCCAGCTCGCCGCCGGCGCCGGCGCGGTAGCGCGCGTGGGCCCGGAAGCGCGCGCCCTTCTCGTCGCGCAGGGACGCCCGCAGCGTGACCGGCTGCCCCGGCGCCAGGCCGCGCACCACGATGCGCACGGGCTCGTCCCAGCAGCTGCGGCCCGCGGGCTCCACCGTCACCGTCACCGCGGCCGCCATTGTGGCCGCGCGCGCCGCGCTGTCCGGAAGGCGAGCCGGGGAGCACCGGCCGGGGAGCACCCGGAACCCGGAGACGCCCGCGGGGGCGCGCCGCGCGGTCGGACGGGATCGGGTCTCAGGCTCCGGGGGCGGCCGGGGGCTGAGTCGTCGGTGGAGGAGTCCGGACTCTTCGGAGCCGGGCACCGGGGACTGCGACTCCTCCGAGGCAGAAGCACCGGGCCCGGCGGTTCTCCTGGTGCGGGGCCGGGAGCGCAGGGTGGGCCCGAGGGCCGGGTTTGGCGTCCGACCCGAGGGACGCTTCTCAGCCTCGCTGCGCTCTCACCTGTGGAAGTGAAAGTTGTTGGGTAATAGATTCGCGGGGAAAGGGGAACTGAATGAGTTCAGGCAGAATTCCAAGAAGTCCAGCTCCTCCCACAGGGAAGGGTAACTGATAAAAGAACTCCCAGTGGATCCTAAGAAACGCACAGACCCGTTCCATGAATTCCCATCCCCTGAACGTACCCGCATAACCAAGCATCCAGATCCGGGAACACGGTGACGGCACCCCAGAAGCCACTGTAACCTCCCCTTCCCGGAGGAACTCTCTCCTGGCTCCATAAAACGTGTTTTTTTCCCCCTGATCTCTATGGGAATGATTCCTTCAGTGTGTGTGTGTGTGTGTGTGTGTGTGTGTGTGTGTGTGTGTGTTTAGTGTCCTTTCTTTCGTTTCTTCCTCTTTTTTTTTTTCCTAATTCGTATTCGAGGATATTTTTTCCCATTGATTTTCAGAGTGAGTGGGAGCGAGGAAGGGGGAGGAAGAAAGAAACACCAATGTGAGAAATTCCCATGGGGGCACCCCTGACTGGGGCGAGGGATGGAACTGCAACCCATGTACACTCCCTTAACCAACAATGGAACTCCGGACCCTTCTGAGAGTGGACAAGGCTCTTACCACTGAGCCACCAAAGCGCTGCTTTGGTGTCTGCTTTTGCTCAGTGAGGACACCACCATCTGCTCTCTGTCTGCTCTGCCTTTGGCGGTATCAGAAGGAGGTGGCTGTTAAAGTAATTGGGCTCTGTGCTTCTTTTGTTCCTGTTTAGTGAGAGTGAGAATTCGAAGTGTGTGACCTAGATCACGTACTCTCCACTGAGTGGGATGTTGAGATGGACATTACTGAATACCTTTGCCTCAGGGTGGGGTTGGCTTACCCTGAAGCCCTAGGGCAGTGGTCGGCAAACTCATTAGTCAGCAGAGCCAGAGATCAACAGTACAACGATAGAAATTTCTTTTGAGAGCCAAATTCCTTTTAAACTTCTAACGCCACTTCTTCAAAGTTGCCCAGGCCGTGGTATATTTTTAAAAAATATATTTTATTGATTTTTTTTTTACAGAGAGGAAGAGGGATAGAGAATTAGAAACATCCATCAGCTACCTCTTGCACTCCCCCCCACCCCCACATGCCCTGCCCTTGACTGGAATTGAACCCAGGACCTTTCAGTCTGTAGGCCGATGTTCTATCCACTGAGCCAAACCGGTTTCAGCTGGGCTGTGGTATTTTGTGGGAGAGCCACACTCAAGGGGCCAAAGAGCTGCATGTGGCTCGCGAGCCGCAGTTTGCTGACCACAGGCCTACCTGAATGAAAGTCAGGTCCTCTAGTGAAAGGGAGATGGGTAATGGATGCTGGGTAAGAACTTGACAATATCCTTGAGAGCACTGGAGGAGACGCATTATGGTATTGGTGGCCTTTTAGAAATGAGGGCAAGAAAGGAAAATTTTTTAAAGGTAGAGAAAGAAAATAGGTTAACAGAAGTTATGACTATTAATGGGACTTATGATGGAATTTTGAGGTTGACTTTTAGAAGATTGTTGTGTATTTAAATTTGAACAAGGAATTTGACATTAAAAAATACATTTCAGAAACATGAAATTAAGCACATAGCAAGATGAAAATTCTCCGTCAGTTTTTCTTCAATTTTCAAAATCAGGTGGGGATGATAGACACTTGTGGAAACAAGTCAGATGAAGGAGGGAAAGATTCCTCCAAATGTGTCATTATGGGATATTGATAATTTTGAGCTAAAGACACTTGAAAAACAACAAGTTCAAGAAGGGCACATATTCCATCCCTTTTCCCATTAAAAGCAGAAAATGGAATTCAGACTTATCACCAGAAATTCTGTACAAGACCTTCTATGCTAATAAAAGGGTAATATGCTCATTAGACTAGGAGACCTTCTGGACAAAGCCATGGTGGCAGAGCTGAGGCAGAGACAGTTCGGAACAATCAGGTCATGGTGGGAGGCGAGGGAAGCAGTTGGGGGCAAGCAGGTCAGTAGGCAGAATGGTTAGGAGCAATCAGGCAGGCAGGTGAGCAGTTAGGAGCCAGCGGTCCCGGATTACGAGAGGGATGTCTGACTGCAGGGATTCGGACATCCTAAACCGGCAGTGGGATGTCCCCTGAGGGGTTCCAGATTGGAGAGGGTGCAGGCTGGACTGAGGAATACCCCCCAACCTGCATGAATTTTGTGCTGGGCAACTAGTATTAAAATAATTTCCTTTAGTCTCGTGTATTTTACCACTCTGTTCAATCTAAGTACTTAGGTTTTGCCAACTCCTTGGGTCTTTATTTTCTTGTGGAGACTCTGTACATGTAACAATAAAATTGGTAAATTTAGTTCTCAGGCCCAACCAGAAACCCTAAGAGAACAGAAGTGAAGTTTCTGCATAGCAGTAATTTTTGTGATATTGGAATAGTAACAAGTATTAAAATAGAGAAAAAAATGTGTGTTGTGAAAATGGTGGGGAAGAAGTCCATGTCATGTTCCTAGAGCCTATTTCTGACAAATCTCTCAAGTATGGAAGAAACAATATTGTCGCTGAATGATGGTGTGTGATCATCTAAGTGGAGTCTAGGTTTCCCATAGGTGGTCCCTTAAGTGCTGCTGCCTTGCGTATATAAGTATAGTCAGAGTTCATTTGTCATTTCCTCATTTTTCAACAACAAACGTCAGGGAGGAAGTATCTGTCTGCCCGATGACCGATTTCATCAAAGCAGACACAACCTGTTAACAGGGAAGTTGTTTTGTGTGTTTAAAAAATATTAAATCGATTGGGGTGATAGAGGTTTCAGGCGTGGGTTTCTGTGTTACAAGATCTGTATATTGCACTGTGTGCCCGCCACCCAAAGGCAAATTTTCCCATCACTTCATATTAGGACACAATAGGGTAGTTGTTAACAGGCATAATGTGATTTGGTGCTGCTGGAAGTGGTAGTAATCCTTCTGGGGGGAAAAAAATTAAAGTTTTGTAGGAAATGAAATCACCTTGGAACAGTGAACGATTGTGGTCTCAATAAGACAGATATGGAGTGATAGAATTTTTATGTTACTCAACTAATATGAACACTGTATTTCCCTGTATAGTAATTGGCAACATTATTTCCATCAAAACTTTCTCCTGTGCTTAAATTCTTCCTATAAACATATTTTTAATAATTAAACATAATTTTGTTAATTTCGTTAAAAATATCTAGGTTAACTAAAATATCATAGGTTAACTAAACTATGAATCTTCAAAAAAAACCCAAAAACAATATTGTCAGCTCAATCAGCAGTCTGTCTTGACGCTCTGAAGAGCTGATGCAACGAAGAGATATCCAAGAGTGATGGGCAGTTGATTGTGAGGCTGACGAAATCATCTATTTTTTTCTACACCAGGTGGGGTATAATTGAATCTATATAAAAGCATAATATCGATATGTTAATTAGACCGGATGACCTTTTGGATGAAGCTGCAGCTGCCCGGGTCCTGGGTGCTGACTGGTGTCTGGAGGGAAGCCCGGGTCCCGGGTGCCAGAGGGAAGCCTGGGCCGGCTGCTGGGGGAAGGAAGTCCTACTATTGCATGAATTTCATCCATCAGGCCTCTAGTCTATAAAAGGCTAAGTGACCGGCCAACCGATGGGGCCACAATGCTCTGCAATAGTGGTTCTCGGGTGACACCCACAACCAGAGAGGAGAGAGCCAAATTTCTCGTGGGCGTGCAATTTCTAATTAATTTCCTTTCAATGTGTGTGAATCCGTGCACTGGTCCACTAGTTTGTTTATACTAGTCAGGAAGTGAAGTAAACTCAATATCTGTGGTAGTATCACCACAAAACTAAGACAAAAAAATAAGAACAAAATATTAGACAATGATGAACTTCAATAAGTAAAAAACAATGAAATGTGTTTGTTTTTTTTATGAATAAACAAAGAAATTACACTGGTTGGATAGTTTACACATCCTTGAAATGCCAATGAGCTGGTTCAACTTGGCCACTATTCTCCACAGTTCCCAATTAGTTATCCTGCGGAGAGCATGGATGGGCTTTAAGGAAATTCACGATGATATACCTGAAGAACACACACTGTGTGTGAATGTGAACAAACTTACACAAATGTGCATTCCACTGGGTGGATGCGAAGAGGCGGAAATTGATGGGCCAGTGGCTTTGTGCTCACATAAAATGAAGATCCACAGAGCTAAGGGAAGCAGTTTAACAAAGAGAAAAGAAACCGGATTTGGGGATGTGAGCCCCAGTTCTACATATATTTTACTACGTGAAGAACTTCTCTGAGACTCCGTTTCCGCATTGGTGAAATGAGGATGACACCTGTTTTACAGGTTGGTGAGGATTACATGACAAGCACACAGTAAGTAGTATACAAGAAAGAGCTGACAATACAGAAAGCACTGTACTGTTTTTGAGTTTCAGGAGGAAAAAATGTCAAGAATTGCTTTACTGAAAAATGTAATTGAGGGAATAACACCATAATCACAAGGTGAAGCATTGTTTATTTTAAATACAGTAAGCTTTAAAAAAAAAAGTGTTGTAAGTCTGTTGTGGAACTATTTATAACAAGTGTTATATGTATTAAATCAGTTTATTTTCACACTAATCATTGTTAAAATCCCTTATGTAATTCATCTAAATAATGTTTTGCCAGCTTTTAAAATAACTAAATCTTAAAGGCCCTTATGTGTAACCAGAAACATAACTTAAAATTTATTTACACTAGGACAATACCTATTCATCTAAGAAGATATCAAAGAACTGAAAATATATTTGCTATGAAAATTTTTAGTAGTTTTACAGCTAAGTAGTAGTTTAACTAGTAATTTACAGCTAAGATGTTCACTTCCATTTTTTTTGTTTATTTGTTTTAAATATATTTTTTATTGATTTTAGAGAGGAAGGGAAATGGAGAACAAGAGAACTATTCATAAGAAAGAAACCTCAATCATCTGGCTCCTGCATACCTCCTACTGGAGATTGAGCATGAAACCTGGGTATGTGCCCTCTCTAGGAATCTAATCTGTGCCCTCTTGGTACATGGGACAACGTTCAACCAACTGAACCACACTGGCCCTGTTTACTTCCATTCTTTTTGTTGTTAATCCTCACCTGAGGATATTTTCTTTTCTTTAAAAAAAAAAATAATAATAAAAAAAAATATATATATATATATATATTTTTTTTTTTTAATTGATTTTTTACAGAGAGGAAGGGAGAAGGATAGAGAGTTAGAAACATCAATGAAAGAGAAACATCGATCAGCTAGCTCCCTCCTGCACACTGCCTACTGAGGATATGCCTGCACCCGAGGTACATGCCCTTGACTGGAATCGAACCTGGGACCCTTCAGTCCGCAGGCCAATGCTCTATCCACTGAGCAAAACTGGTTAGGGCCCAAGGATATTTTCCAATGATTTTTAGAGAGAGTAGAAGTGAGGGGGAGAGACAGAAACATCAATGTGAGAGAGACACATGGACTGGTTGCTTGCTGTAGGGCCAGGGATCGAGCCTGCACCCAAGGTTTGTGCCCTTGACTGTAACTGAACCCTCCAGTTGACACTCTAACCACTGAGCCAGACTGCCTAGGCCTCTGGTAATATTTTTGGTATTATATGCTTTTCTTGTATGGTAGGTAATCATTTAATTATTACTAGAGGCCTGGTGCACGAATTCAGATCCCTTGGCCTGGCCTGTGGGATTGGGCCGAAACCAGCTCTCTGACACCCCTTGAGGGATCCTGGATTTCTAGAGGTGACAGGCCAGGCTGAGGGACCCCACCAGTGCATGATCAGGGTCAGAGAGGGATTGTGGGAGGGCTATAGAGCATGTCCACCCATTTTGCTCAGTCCTGATTGGCTGGACCCCAGCAGCAAACTAATTTAACAGTTGGAGTGTTTGCCCCCTGGTGATCAGTGCATGTCATAGCAAGCAGTTGAGCAGTCTTAGCATATCATTAGCACATTAGGCTTTTATTGTATAGGATTAAACAAATTCAATAAGTAATAGTAAATAATTAAGTAATTACTGAGCATCAATTATGTATGGGTCACTATTAATCAGCGTTCTCACTTTTCCTTTCAGAGCCTTATGATTTGGGAGAGACTGAAAGGTATGCCTTGTCCATCTGTTATGTCTTCTTTTCCTCCTAAACAACTGAAAAGGCATGTCGTCTATAAAAATCTTGAAAAACTCATTGGTAAGTTCGTTTTAACAGTAAGGATGGAAAAACTAAGTACTTATTAAAAAGAAAAAAACAAACACACTACATTTACACACTAATCGCAACTGCTGTTCCCAGGGTACAGTAACATCAGAGACGCCACACAAATAAAAGATCACAGTGTTGGCGGGATCACCCCAGGTGTTTGTGGAAAAAAGCCTGGAGTTGCTTCCAAGCATCCACTTGGGCTTCGGCATGAGCCCGGGGCTCTCCTCCCCAAATGACATTTTTGCCCACCAGGGCGTGCGGGGAAGCCCGGCACAGGGGGAAGTAAGGAGGCTCGATGTAGTGCCCCGCTTGTGGGTAACAGATGACCTGCGGCTTCTCCTTGCCGTGGGCCTGCAAGAGTTTGGAGGCCTCGTTGGCAAAGAATTCACTCTTCCAGTTGTGGTCATCCAGGCCTACCAGGAACAGGAAGGCGCTCTCGGCCCTTTCCACAGGAATGAGGCTCTTCCGGTCAGGTCCTTCCAAAGGGTTGTTCAGGGCATCCAAAATGTCTGCAAAGCCGTCTTTGGTCACCTTGACGCGAGCGAGGTTGAAACCTAGCGGTTTCAAGGTCTCATCCTTATAGTGTAGGGCCCCTCCGACATTGGCCACCGAGCCGTTGATGATGACCGCCGCCGTGATGCCCTTCAGGAACGAGGCCATGGAGAGGCAGAGATCGCCTCCTTTGGAAATCCCGAGCAGCCCAACTCCTGGGCCCTTCACCTGAGAGAAGGACAGAGAAATAATCACGAGTCCGCAGGCCAGTCTGGTGAGTAGTGCGTGGAGTTGGAAGTCAGTTGGAACTGACCCTAATCTGGGCTCTGCCGTTTACCAAGGCTCGAAACCAGGGATATTTACTTACTCCTCCTTTCTCTCTTCCTTTCCACAGTGTCTCCATCACCATTGTTGGTGACGTTAGCCTCTCGGTTCCTTGACGTCCATACCTCCAAGCACCTTTTTTTTTCCTACCCTGCTTTAGCCACCCATTCCCGTTGTCAGAACCTCTACCAAGCCATCATCAGTAAACACTTCCATCTCCAAAATCTCAGCTGCAAGCGCTCTACTCTCTAATCACCATCTTAAATACTTCTGTTCAGCCACTTTATGCCACCTGCTCCCATTTCTTTGAGACCTTGACAACCATCATTTTTTTTTTTTTTCTATCAGTATCTCTCATGCTCATTTCCTACCCCTTCCAGTTTAGATTTCAAACTTCATTGTTATTATCCCTCCCTTGTAAGCACCCTTAGCGAATACCTTTCTTCCTTTGGCCATACTTGCCTGGAAGTGATAACCTTGGTTAAATCCACCTTCACTTCCTCTAGGCCTGCATTTGTACAAATAAACACTGAAGGGGGGAAATACACATTTGTGCTGGCAAATCTTTAATTCCATGACCACAAATTTCAAGTATGCATTCAGACTGCCTATCACTTCTGCCACACTTCACAGTGTGTTTGCTTTTCACTTCTCTCCTGACAATGCCATAGCTTTTCCTATTTGCTCAAGCCTCTTGAATTCCTCTCTGTTCTGCCAGAAACCAATCACTGTTTCCTTATGTGGACAGGAAGCCGGGATGCAGGTCAACAACCTAATTGCTCTAACGGCTCACCTTTTAGTTGAGGCATTGTTAGCTGAAGCAGCCTCCACCTCAGTTTGTCCTATGTAAATTTCTGTTATTTCTTGCCTAAGGGCTATGGGTGTTTTCCCCATTGCCTCAATAAAAGGGATAGCAGGGCCAGAGCGGTGTGTAGTCCTCCCAGTCCTCCCGCTAGAGGTGGGCTCCTGCCTGGGCCCCAATCACCAAATTAATACTTTTCTAGTCTCTTGTGTGTGGCCTTCTCCAGAACCCGAACCCTGAACTGGAACCCTGAACCACGTGGGACGTGAAAGGGGCTCCTGCACTATTCCCTTTCAGTTTCAGCCGTTCGTACTTCATGGAGAAAATATAAGCTGTCCGGTAGGAACTCTTCCTCATTTCCCCCCTGCCAAGTATTCATAGTTCCGAATGAACTGAAGCTCTCTGCCTTCCTTCCTGGTTCCAAAAGTCTCTTTTACCAAAAGCCATCCCTCTGCTTGGTTTAGGATCCCATCCACTCTTATTCTCATAGCCTTTGCTCCTGCAACTGCTTCTCTCTTTCTCCTCCTTCATAATTTTCTTCTCTCCTGGCTCATTCCATCAGCGTACTACATGCTATAGTAACCTTACATTTTAATTCCAATTCCTTGTCTCCCAAGCTACTCTGCCATAGTTTCCTCTCTTTCACAGCAAAACTGTGGGAAAAGTTGTTTGTAGTTGTTCTCTTTCTTGTCTTCTAATCTCTACTTAGCCTCCTCCAGGGTAATTTGGATTTGCACTATTCTACAAGGACTGATAATGTCATAGTTTCCAAAATCCTGTATTATAAATAGCTATTTGATTGACTTCTCAACAGCAGCCTTTTTTTTTCTTTTCTTCTCAAGGCTTCTACAACAGCACTTTTGATGGTTTCAAACATTTATTCATCATGAAAGTGCTAGGAATTAAATATTATTATTATCCCAGTTTTTCAAATGAGGAAACATAAACCCCAAAGCTAGTATTTGGTGAAATCAAAACTCAAATTTAACTTTTCTCTATCCACATCTTATTCTGATTCCACTTTTTCTAAGAGCTCCTTTACTTCCATTTATCATGAGCTCTAAGTGAATTGCAAATTAATCTTCTGTCCCTCTGATCCATTAAACTGGCGCCATCTGGAGGCAGTGATTCCTTTCCCCCTTTCCCACTTCCTGTGTCAAACCTAGGGTTCTCAAAGGTGTTGGGGCTTATTATGAAATGCTATAAACCACTAGAATAGGGGTGTCGAACTCAATCAGAGAAGGGGCCAAAATCTAAAATCCAGCCTAAATCGCGGGCCGAATGGTTTACTGAACAGTCATAAACTGTCATTGTGATGGAAACGCAGCGGAGTGCAGTGATGACAGCGCGGTGCGGGCCACATTGCAAGGCCTGGCGGGACGGATTTGGCCCTCGGGCCTTGTGTTTGACACATGTGCACTAGAACGTAAAATCCCATAATGCCGACTAAGAACTTCTTTACTTGTAGGAAATTTGTCACAGTAAAATATGAATGCATAGAAACTGTATATGGGAAGTGACTTTAAAAGTTGGTATGTTGGGGTTAAGGAGTGGCTGTCATGAATTAGTCAAGTTTTTGAGGACCAAGGGCATTTATGAAGAGGAGAGCTGCTATGTAGACCACAAAACTTAAGAGAAATTCCAACCTGAGGGTGATTAAGCAGGTAGTTCACAGCTTCTTCAAAGTACTCCAGGTGGAGGGTTTCTACGCTCTTGGGGAGGTCTTCATAGCCATAATAAGCCAGAGCCATCACAGCAAAACCTTTCCCAGCCAGGAGACTAGCTCGATATTCTGGAAGGCCACCTCCCACTCCAAAAATGTCCACAATCCCAGGAAAGGGTCCGGGTCCTTTGAAAGAAACAAAACACAAAATTAAACTATTCCTGAAACACTTTTTTTTTTTTAAAGTCCAGGATGTTTAATATATTTTATTGATTTTGTACAGAGAGGAAGGGAGAGAGATAGAGAGCTAGAAACATCAATGAGAGAGAGAGTCATCGACCAGCTGCCTCTTGCACACCCCCTACTGGGATATGCCCGCAACCAAGGTACATGCCCTTGACCGGAATCGAACCCGGGACCTTTCAGTCCCCAAGCCGACGCTCTATCCATTGAGCCAAACCAGTCTTGGCTTTTTTTTTTTTTTTTTTTTAATATATTTTATTGATTTTTCTACAGAGAGGAAGGGAGAGAGATAGAGAGCTAGAAACGTCGATGAGAGAGAAACATCAACCAACTGCCTCTTGCACATCCTCCACTGGGGATGTGCCCACAACCAAGGTACATGCCCTTGACCGGAATGGAACCTGGGACCTTTCAGTCCACAGACTGACGCTCTACCACTGAGCCAAACCGGCTTCGGCCCTGAAACACTTTTTAAAAAAATTAATTTTAGAGAGACAAGAAAAGAGAGATAGAAATATCTATTGGGTGCCACTTGCACACTACATACAAGCCCACAACCTGAGCACATGCCATGACCTGTGATCTGGTGCGTGGAAGGACGCTCCACCGAGCTACACCAGCCAGGCTGTTAGTGAAACTGTATAGCAAGCATGTCAAACTCAAAGGTTAACACGGGCCAAATAAACAGGGTTTAAGTTTATGTTGTACACACCAAACAAGTCAGTACAAAAATAATGGCATGGCAATCAGCTGCTAAAATATTCACTGCTAGTATTGGTCCTGTCGTAAGGCAAGTAAGGGAAATGAATGCAACACGATTGTAGTAATCAGTCATTAGCGGACATTGCAGTTCATTATTAATAATTATGCATAACTGGGTATTGTAAGAATTAAGTTATGAAATGTGTATTAAAATGTTTCTTACATATTGTTATTAGCTGTGCTGCAAAAATATTCATTGTGGTCCCTGGGCCACGAATTTGACATGCTTGCTCTACAGTGATGTCAAAAGCCAATTGTTGCCTACTTGGTAATGTCAAAGTTTTCTTCATAATCAGAATTGTGGAAAGACCCCTGGTCTTTAGAGATCCAGACAATGGCATAGACTAAAGCCCCACAGGTTTTCATGAAGATTATGAATTACTTTGTGGTTAAAAATAATTTACGGACAATGAAAACAGCAAAATCATTGCCCTCCCCCCCCAAAATTGACAATGCCAAATGCTAGTGAGAGTGCAGGCCAATTGGAACCCTCACACATTGCTGGTAAAAATGCAAAATTGTACAGCCACTTTGGAAAACAGTTGGGCAGTTTCGTATAAAGTTAAACATAAACTTACCATATGATCTAGCAATCTCACTCCTAGGTATATTTACCAAGGAGAAATGAAGATTTGTATCCACACAAAAACTTGTATGCAAGTGTTTGTAGTGACGTTATTCATAATCTTCAAAGATTTGAAACGCTCATGTCCTTCAAGTGGTGAGTGAATAAACAACCAGATAATGGCGTACTACTAAAAAACAAGATACATCGAGCAACACAAATGAATCGCAAATGCATTCTGCTAGACAAAAGGCTACATACCCTGTATGAATTTGATTGTTTCATCCAATTTATCATTTTTATTGTTGTTGGACAGTTGTTTTTGCTCTTACAAGCAATACCTCTTGGTGCACACGAACCAGGAGTAGAATGATATAGTCAACTTTCTAAGTAAAACATTTGTTTTCTTGCCCTGGCTGGTTTGGCTCAGTGGATGGAGCGTCAGCCTGTGGACTGAGGGGTCTCAGGTTCGATTCCAGTCAAGGCCATGTACCTTGGTTGCGGGCATATCCCCAGTAGGGGGTGTGCAGGAGGCAGCTGATGGATGTTTCTAACTCTCTATCCTTCTTCCTTCCTCTCTGTAAAAAATCAATTATATATATAATTGTTTTCTTGCCCAGCCAGCGTGGCTCAGTGGTTGAGCATTGACCTATGAACCAGGAGGTCATGGTTTGATTCCTAGTCAGGGTATATGCCCAGATTTTGGGCTCACTCCCCAGTGTGGGGCATGCAGAAGACAGCCAATCAATGATTTTCTCTTGTCATTGATGTTTCTATCTCCCTTTCTCTCTGAAAGCAATAAAAAAATATTTTTAAAGAGTTTTTAAATTATTTCCAGCCCTGGTCAGTGTTGTTCAGTGATTAATATTGGTTTGTGGACTGAAGGGTCTTAGATTTGAATGCTAGTCAAGGGCACGTACCTGCATTGCAGGTTCAATCTCTGGCCCCAGTTGGGGCATGTGCGGAAAGCAGCCAATTGATGTGTCTTGTTCACATGGATATTTCTCTCTGTCCCTCCTGATTTGCCCACTTGCTTAAAAAAAAAAAAAAAAAAATCAGCCCTAACTGGTTTGGCTCAGTGGATAGAGCATTGGCCTACAGACTGAAGGGTCCCAGGTTTAATTCTGGTCAAGGGCATGTACCTTGGTCGTGGGCACATCCCCAGTGGGGAGTGTACAGGAGGCAGCTGATTGATATTTCTACCTCTCTATCCCTTTTCCTTCCTCTCTGTAAAAAGTCAATAAAATATATTTTATTTATTTATTTATGGATTGATTATGGTATCACATAATTGTCCTCATCCCCCCATTCCCATTCCAAACCCCTCCCCACATATGCCCCCACCCCCCTGTTGTCCATGGCCACTGGTTAGGCTTATATGCATGCACACAAGTTTGGTTGATCTCTCCCCTTTACCCCCACCCTCCCCTACCTTCCCTCTGAGATTTGAGAGTCTGATCGCTGCTTCTCTTTCTCTGGGTCTATTTTTGTTCATCAGTTTATGTTGTTCATTATTTCCTCTAGATGTGTGAGATCATGTGATCCAAGAAATACCCTTGTAAGAACCGAAACTGAGACAAGCCATACTGGTTATGCTGAGAGGCAAATTAATCAGTCTGTAGTGAGTTCCTTTCTGGGCCAATAAAATATATTTTAAAAAATCAATGGAAAAATATCCTCAGGTGAGGATTAACAACAACAAAATTTTTTTTCCAGGAATAGATGAATATATTCCTTTGAGCAGTGTGAACTCCTTTTCCTCTACATATTTGTTAACAATTGGTAATATTAGCCAAAACTGGTTTGGCTCAGTGGATAGAGCATCGGTCTGCAGACTGAAAGGTCGCAGGTTCGATTCCGGTCAAGGGCATGTACGTTGGTTGTGGGCATATCCCCGATGGGGGTGTGTGCAGGAGGCAGCTGGTCGATGTTTCTCTCTCATCAATGTTTCTCTCTGTCCCTCTCCCTTTCTCTCTGTGAAAAATCAATAAAAAATATATTTAAAAAAACAAAAACAAAAAACAATTGGTAATATTAGACTTTTAAATTTTGAGGGTTTGAAATGTGTAGTTTTATTTTGCATTTCCCTGATTCCTAATAGTATAAGTATCTTTTAAAGAAATCCTCACCAAGGACATGTTTGATTTTAGAGAGGAAGAAAGAGAGAAAACAAGAAGTGATGTGAGAAAGAAATATTAGTTGTTTGCCTCCCATTCTCTCCCCAACTGGGATCAAACCCTCAACCTAGGGATATGTCCTGATTGAGAATAGAATCTGCAACCATTTGGTGTACTGAGCCACTTGGTAAGGTCAGGATAAGCATCTTTTTATTTTTCTCATTGGCCAATTGCTTTTTATGTAATGGAAAAATTATCCAATAACTTCAAAAGATTTCCAGTTAATAGCAAGAGGCCTTCCTCCTTTGCTAATTTTCTTAAGCCTTAATATATATACTGTGGGAGCCTGGCCTGTATGGCTCAGTGAACCTAGGAACCAAGATGTCATCAGTTCAATTTCCGGTCAGGGCATATGCCCAGGTTTTGGACTCCCCACTTGAGGCTGTGCAGGAGGCAGCCAATTGGTGATGTTTCTCTCTCATTGATGTTTCTATTTCTCTCTCCCTCTCTCTGAAAATCAATAAAAACATATTTTAAATATATACATATATATATATATATATATATATATAGTGGGAATTATAAGCAAAATTGTAAAATTGAGAAACCTTTAGGAAATTAAAAACTTGAAACTTCCTATAAATGTTTTTTTTAATATATTTTATTGATTTCTTACAGAGAGGAAGGAGAGGGATAGAGAGTCAGAAACATCGATGAGAGAGAAACATGGATCAGCTGCCTCCTGCACACCCACCACCAGGGATATGCCCGCAACCAAGGTACATGCCCTTGACCAGAATCAAACCTGGGACCCTTCAGTCTGCAGACCAACGCTCTATCCACTGAGCCAAACCGGTTTTGGCAGTTTTTGTGGGTTTTTTGTTTGTTTGTTTTAATTACAACTGTAAGTGAAGATAAGTGAAATAAGCCAATCTGAGAAAGACAAATATCACATGATCTCACTTATTTGTGGAATCTAATCTAATGAATAAAATGAATTGACCAATAAAATAAGACCCAAAGCATGGAACAGACATACCTCAATGTGTGACCTTGCCGCATCTAAGGGGCCTGGCATATTACTGTGTGAGTAAAAACAGCCAAACGAGGTAATAATCATTGTTGTATACTGGATTCTCATGTTATTTCTAGGCAAATGGTATCTCCTCCTCAAGCTGGGCCACTCTGGAGGGGCAGGATATCTTTTAGCTGATCTCTCAGCTTTGAAACTGGCAGAGCCACCTCCCAGCCAGCCTTACATTCCGTTCACGTCTCCTTGACATTTTAAGGCCCCGAAGACCTCCTGAACACTGGGAGCTACCTCCATCCTCTCAGTGGAAGCGGAGGAAGTAAAACATATATATATATATATATATATATATATATATATATATATATATATATATATATATATATATATATATATATATATATATATATATATATATACACACACACACAGAAAAAATGGGAGTGATGTCACTCACCTGGCGGCAGGAAGAGCGTGCCGCGCACCCGGCCCGCGCGCACCGGCTCCCGCCGCACCCCGGGCGCAAGGAAGTGGCGCTCGTGCACCGTCCGGCCGAGGAGCCGTCCTCCGTCAGGCTCGTGGCCGTCGAGCACCTCCAGCTCCACGGCGAAGGGCGTCTGCACGTCCCGCTTCACCAGCCGCAGGAAGGGCTTCTCGGGCTCCAGGGCCCAGAAGAGCCCCATGGGCTCCAGCCCCGCGAAGCTGCCGCCCAGCGCGGGCGCGCGCTCCAGGTCCAGCTCGCCGCCGGCGCCGGCGCGGTAGCGCGCGTGGGCCCGGAAGCGCGCGCCCTTCTCGTCGCTCAGGGACGTCCGCAGCGTGACCGGCTGCTCCCCGGCCAGGCCGCGCACCACGATGCGCAAAGGCTCGTCCCAGCAGCTGCGGCCCGCCGGCTCCAAGGTCACCGATGCCGCCATCCTGGCAGGGGCCCAAGAGAAGGGTCCTTGAGCGCCCAACTTTGGAGTTCTGCAGGGTGCCCAGCGCCTCAGGCCCCATCGGCAGAGTCCAGACACTCGCAGGACCGCGAGAGAAGAGTCCATCGTTTTTTGCGACTTAATTTCAGACCTCCGACCAACTGAATGTGGGGATCTGGAGAAAGTTAGAACCGGTTCTTGACAGCCTCTACTGGCAGGCTGCCCACCTGCAGGCTGAGAGCCTAATAGGCCAGGGCAGCCTGCTGCGTGGAACCTGGCCCTGCCAATCAGCAGCCCAGTCTGTTGTTTTTTGTTGTTGTTAATCGTCTTGGGGGGGGGCGGGGGAAGGGGGAATGTTCCCATTGATTTTTAGAGAGAGTGGAAGGGAGGGGGAGAGACAGACGCATCAATTGGTTGCCCTCTCATAAGCCTGACCGGGGCCATGTAGTACATGTAATAGACAAGAATCGAACTTGGAACCCTTCAGTCCGCAGGCCAACGATCTATCCACTGAGCCAAAATGGCTAGGCTGTAGCCTATGTTTGAAAGCAAAAGAGATCAAACACACATGAACATGCTCAAAGACTCCTGGCTGAAAAACCTCCACCCTTTTGGGGAAAGAATTTCCTAGTTCAAAACACAAACACACACACACACACACACGAGAGAGAGAGAGAGAGAGAGAGAGAGAGAGAGAGAGAGAGAGAGAGAATTTCCTAGTTCTGCCTTTCAAACGTCCTTGGGCGTGGGCAGAGGATTGTGCCAGGGTTGCCACTGAAGGAGCCTGGCATAAAGCCGTCTCCAGTCCCCACTCTTAATGGCTAAATAGTGCAGGGCTGGAATCGAGTTTTAGCACTTTGTTGATAATGATCATAGGTCTTTTAAAATGTGCAGCAGGGTATTTTGCTTGTAGTATTTGTGCATCTGATTACCTTCCACACCTTGCCACATCTAAGGGGCCTGGCATATTACTGTGTGAGTAAAAACAGCCAAACGAGGTAATAACTATTGTTATATACTGGATTCTCATGTTATTTCTAGGCAAATGGTATCTCCTCCTCATCCTGGATTTTCCTACTTTTTCATGAATTACAGATTTTTACTCTGTGGTGGATTTTTTCATCAAATTTCAGTTCAGGCCTCTTCCAATACCTTGTACTTGATTTTACATTTCTAATTTCACTAGAGGCCCAGTGCATGAAATTTGTGCACGGGAGAGGGGGTGGTCCCCTCAGCCCGCCAGGACCCTCTCCACTCTGGGACCCCTCTCACAGTCCTGGACTGATGGCTCCTAATTGCTCACCTGCCTGCCTGCCCGCCCTTCATCGCCTCTGCCTGCCAGCCTGATCACCCCTAACTGCCACATCTGTCGACCTGGTTGCCCCTAACTGACCCCTCCCTGCTGGCCTGGTTGCTCCTAATTGCCCCCCCCCCCCCCTCCAGCCAGCCTGGTCACCTCTTACTGCCCCCCCTGCTGGCCTGGTCACCCCAACTGCTCCCCTCTGCCGGCCTGGTTGCCCCTAACTGCCACCCCCTCTGCCACCTAATCACCCCTCACTACCCTCCTGCCAGCCTAATTGCCCCCAACTTCCCTGCGCCTGCTGGCCTGGTAGCCCCACACAGCCTACTGTTCAGTCGTTTGGTTGTCCCTCACTAACCCCCCTGCCTGCCTGGTTGTAGGCAGCCATCTTGTGAGGGTGTGATGGTCAATTTGCATATTACTTCAATATATAGGATATCCTTTTTAGTAGAGAAATCTGCAAACTGCATATTCTTTAAGCACCCTATTGACCCCAAGCAAATTACTAACCTAAATTGTCAGGAGGCAAAAATACAGAAAAGCATTTATTTGGGGTTTAAAGGAGCTGCAAATCTGGGGACACTGATTCAGGTAGCAACCCAAAGTGTCTGCCAGAGAAGTCAGGGGATTTTTATTTTATTATTATTTTTTTAAATATATATCTTTATTGATTTCAGAGGGGAAGGGAGAGGGAAGGAGAGACAGAAACATCAATGATTAGAGAGAATCATTGATTGGTTGACTCCTGCACATCCCCCACTGGGGATCAAGCCCACAACCCAGGCATGTGCCCTTGGCTGGAATCAAACCTGGGATCCTACAGTCTGCAGGCTGACGCTCTATCCACTGAGTCAAACCAGCTAGGGCAGTCAGGAGATTTTTAAAGGCAAAAAGGGAGTTTGCATAAATCATTCATAAAGAATTTAAATTGGTGCTGGGGACAGAAAACTAACCTTGGCTACACAAAATTAATTGCTAAAGCTATCTGGAAGTAAAAAGTGCATCTCTGCGAGGAGTTGCAGGTGTTCTTACAGCATCCTAGAATATTTATAGTTTTGCCTATTTCCAGAGTTCATGTTCTGTCCAGTAAGGATGTGCATAAGACCCCCCCCCCCTTTTTTTTTAATGGCCTCTAGGTTCCATTTTATTTATTTTTTATTTTTTAATATATTGATTTTGTACAGAGAGGAAGGGAGAGAGATAGAGAGTTAGAAACATCGATGAGAGAGAATCATCGATCAGCCGCCTCTTGCACACCCCCTACTGGGGATATGCCTGCAACCAAGGTACATGCCCTTGACCAGAACCAAACCCGGGATCCTTCAGTCCCCAAGCCGACGCTCTATCCATTGAGCCAAACCGGTTTCGGCTAGGCTCCATTTTAAAGCTCCTTAACACAAGTGACTTCATTTTATTTCACTTTTGACAAAATCGCCAGGTATTTCTCCAGCAAAATAGCTTTAATTGGGAACAACAGAAATTTGTAATTTGAGACATGCGATCGAAAGGAAAACCACTGTGAGTCCAGAGACACCAAGGAGAGAAATGCTCTCTCATGGACGTGGGAAGGGCAAAGGGTGTTGCTTAAGGCCTCTGCCTCCCTGGAGAGCACTGTGACGATTGCTCAATCAGAACATGGTTTAATTTTATTTTTTATTAACAGTGCCGAGTGGGTTTTAGTTAAGCAAGCTGTAGCCACCCACAGGAAAGACTGTCACGCATGGTTTAGATGCGTGACAGTCTTGAGACTATTGTCCAGACGATCCAAATTCAACAGACCTGACTAATCCCGAATCCCTTTCTACCTGCTCAGTTAAATTTTCCTTGTTAATCCCAAATCACAATCATCTCTTTTGCCTCCAAAGTCACAGTTCCCTTGAAACCACCCCTCTGGTCCTATTCCGCTGCCTTGGAAAGGGTAAAAGCACTGGCCTCTGTAGCAGTAAGAATTGGGCTTGAACCCTCGCTCACTTGAGTAAATTTTTTAACGTAAGCCTCATTTTTTTTTTTTTTTTCATCTTTAAAACAGAGATAATGGCCGAAACCAGTTTGGCTCAGTGGATAGATCGTCAGCCTGCAGACTGAAAGGTCCCAGGTTCGATTCTGGTCAAGGGAATGTACCTTGGTTGCTGGCACATCCCCAGTAGGGGGTGTGCAAGAGGCAGCTGATCGATGATTCTCTCATCGATGTTTCTAACTCTCTATCCCTCTCTCTTCCTCTCTGTAAAAAATCTATTTTTTTTACAATAGATTTTTTAAAATATATTTTAAAAATAAAAATAAAACAGAGATAATGGCAGTATCTATGTCACTGCATTTTTATGAGTACCTGCCATTAGTAAGACATGCAGCCCTAGCCGGTTTGGCGCAATGGCTAGAACCTCGGCCTGTGGGTTGAAGGGTCCTGGGTTCAATTCTAGTCAAGGGCACATGCCCTGGTTTTGGGCTAACCCCCAGTAGGGAGCGTACAGGAGGCAGCCAATCAATGATGCTCTCTCATCACGATGTTTCTACCTCTTTATCCTTCTCCCTTCCTTTCTGAAATAAAAATATATTCTTTAAAAAGTAGTAAGGCATGTAATACTCCAGCAAAGGGCACCTCTTTTCTCCGAACCCTTAACCTGTAAGCCACTCCAGAGCAAGAAGCCTGACTGCAATGTCTGTATCTTTATTCTTCCTACCGCAAAGAGTTGTACCAAACAAGGTAACATATCTGAAATACTGAGCACAATGCCCAGCATAAAATGCTCAGTCAACATTAAAGATTACTTCATACTTTTGTTCCTTTGCAACGACTAACACAGAACCTCATCTAGGTGACAAACCAGGGTGTGATTGCCAAGCCTTCCCTAGCTGGGCACACCTCGGTTTCCTCATTCCCATTAGGGTGATGACACACAGCTGGCAGCCTGTGGATGCTCAGTAAATATTAGGCCAGCTCCCTTTCCTGTCTTCTATTTACCCCTGAAGGTCCTGGGCCCTTCAGATGGTCTGCAAGCTGGCAGCTCCTCAGGATGAGAACCTGGAAGATGTCAGTCTTTTCATTTGTAACGCTGACATTATTTTAGGTGCTCTTCTTGCCCCGCTTTGCCCATCACTTTACCCTCTCCGCCTGCCGCCTCCCAAGGCTCTGAGGTCCTGAGGAGTCCGCTGGACCACACCCATCAGAGCACAGTCCCCGCCTGGTCCCTCTGTGTTCCTGCCTTCCGCCCCATTTCCTCTCCGCCCTCCCAAACGCCAGACTCCATTCCCTATGGCCTTTGAGTTCCCAATGCAGTTCCTTTCTCAGTCTCTGGCTCGCCTTTCCGCACCTCCCGGCTCCCCAACTGCCGCTCCCCCTCCGCACGCACCCTCCGGCTCCCTCCCCACACCCACCTGCACTTTCCCAGCGCCTCCGCCGCCCGCCGGCTGCTGGTGCGGCCCTGCAGCCAGGCCGCCTGGGCCTGTGCACCTCCCGCCGCGGGGAGGCCTCGCCAGCTGCACCGGCTGGACCAGCCGCCTCCGGGAACAGCCACAACAGCCTCCGCCAACGTTCAGTCCTCGCGCCAACTCTCTGGTTATTATTTTTTTAATTATAATTATTATTTAACTATATTTTCTGGTTATTTTTTAAATTATAATTATTATTTAAGTATATTTTCTGGTTATTATTTTTTTTAATTATAATTATTATTTAAGTATATTTTCATTGATCTGACAGGGGACCCAAACCACTCACTGGGCATTGAGCAGGGAATGGGACAACACTCAACCAGCTGAGCCACACCGGCCAGGGCTTTTGTTTTGCTTTTGTTTTGAGAGTACGGTTATTAAAGCTGCGGACACTGGAACAAGGAAGCGCCCAGGGTAGAGGAAGTAACAGGAGAGAGGCTAGGCGGGATGCGAGCCTCAGGCGGGCTGCTTAGGCTCACTGAAATGGCAGAGGAAAGGGTGTCTTTGGGAGAGGTTCAGAGGGGTTAGCTCAGTAGGAGCTGCTGCTGCTGCCCATTGCTCCCCTGTTTGCCAGTTTCCTGGCGCCCCCCCCCCCCCCCCCCCTTCCCCAGAGTTTAGGAGAGGCATGCCTGTGGAGGAAGAGGAGGTGGAAGGGAAAGACAAGGATGTGCTCCCAGGAGGGAGAGTGCACCGAACACGGTTAATTTTGATAGAGGCATCAGTCTGAAGGGTCCTGGGTTCGATCCTAGTCAAGGGCACATGCCTGAGTTTCGGGTTCGATCCAAGTACAGGGGCGTACAGGAGGCAGCCAATCCGTGATTCTCTCTCATCATTAATGTTTCTGTTTTTCTCTTCCCTCTCCCTTCCTCTCTGAAATTATATATATTTTAAAGAAGCCACTCACAATCTCTACATACAGTGTATTAAAAAAAAAAAAAAAGTTCATGTTATGGCCCTGGACTGTTTGCTCACTAGTTAGAGCATCCGTCTGCCAGGGATCTTAGGTTCAATTCCTGTTCAAGGTCATGTACTTCTTTTTTCTTTTTAAATATATTTTATTGATTTTTTACAGAGAGGAAGAGAGAGGGATAGAGAGAAACATCAATGAGAATCATCGATCAGCTGCCTCTTGCACACCCCCTGCAGGATGTGCCTGCAACCAAGGTACATGCCCTTGACGGAATCGAACCTGGGACCTTTTAGATAGTCCACAGGCTGATGCTCTATCCACTGAGGCAAACCGGTCTCAGCAAGGTCATGCACTTCTGATGAAGGTTCTGCAGCCCCAGAAAAGCTGTGTGTGGGAGATAACCAATCAATATACGTCTCTCAAGTCCATGTTTCTCTCTCTCTCTCTCTCTCTCTCTCTCTCTCTCTCTCTCTCTCTCTCTCTCTCTCTCTCTCTCTCTCTCCTCCCTCCCTTCCACTCTAGAAATCAATGAGAAAAATATCCCCTGGTGAGGATTAAAAAACAAAACAAAACAAGACACGAAGAGTCTCCTTATAAAAAGAGTACAATTTGTTGATAATCTACCCAGGATCTGGGGAGCAGGGGAGGTGGAACTGAACTGTGAAAGGAAGCAGATTAAGTGGGGACAGAGATGAAAGGGGAATGGGAAAGGCCCCAAGACTGAAGCATGCCAGAGCTGGGTTCATGTGTTCCCTGCTTTGCCAAGACTCTATAGGACTTAAGAACTCCTGTGGGGGGAAATATTGAGCTGCACAGAAAGATTTATCTTTCCTCCCTCCCTCCCTCTCTCCCTCTCTCCCTCCCTTCTTTTCTTCCTCCCAATCCTCACCTAAGTTATTTTTCCACTGAGTTTTAGAAAGAATGGAAGGGGAAACACTGATGTGAGAGACACACCGATTGATTGCCTCCGCCCGGGTCCCAACCAGGGCCAGGACCAGCCTGCACACATGGTCCATGCCCCTGACCAGTACTTACCCAGGACCCTTCACTTCACAGGCCGTCGTTCTTTCCACTGAGCCAAACTGGCTAGGGCTAAAGATTGATTTTTTTTTCTTTTTCTTTTCAATACTCTACCCACTGAGCAAAACCAGCCAGGGTGTAAAGATTTATTTTTCAAAGAATGATGAAGAAGCCCACTTTGTCAGCAACCAACGAAATTTCCAGAAGCTCAGCTCCCAAAGAAGGAAGCTTAGTAAATAACTGAACACACCCCTGACTGAGCCCCAAGGTTCTGTGAGCAGACACATGAATTCTAAAGCGGCGGCTGCCGAGTAACCAATGTAAACAGCTTGGAACATAGGAAACGAAGGCAGGCTTAACAGCAAAATCCTGCTTCCCTTGGAAGACTGTTGTGGGAGGCTATTTTGAAGGTAATTTCAACACGCTGCTGCTTTCCTGGTGTCTGAAAGGAGTTTACTGGCAGCTGACTGAGGAGAGACGGTCTGAAGCAGATGGAAAGGTTTGGGATTAGGTGTCAAAGGATCAGGATTGCTCACCAGTCCTGTGATCTGAGTCACGTTTCTGCTCTGGGCCGCAGTTTTGAAACTTGTAAGATAAGAGTAAGAACAGGTCTCCCCTGTGGCAGTTTCCACAGCGGACAGCAGTATAGTTGTGTGATTACATGGCTAAGAATGGGAATGAGAAGGCAGAGGGGGAAAAAGGAAGGAAAATTTCTGATGAGAAAAAGGCAGCAGGGAAAGGATTTAAAACAAGTCCCCTCTCCCGCTCTCCCTACCAGCCAAACTTCCTTCATATGCCCCACAGATACTTCTTTATTAAAAATTTCTTTATTGATTAAGATATCACATATTTGTCCTCAACCCCCCATTCCAATCCCCCAACCTCCCCACTCATGCCCCCATCCCCCTATTGTCCTTGACCACTGGTTAGGCTCATATGTGTGCACATAAATCCTTTGGTTGATCTCTCCCTTTTGTCCCCACCCTCCCTTTGAGGTCTAACAGTCTGACCCATCGCTCCTTATCTCTGGGTCTGTTCTTATTCATCAGTCTATGACAGATACCTCTTGGTGCTGTGATTTCTTTAATGTGTTGTAATTTCCCCACCCCCCATCTTGATGCAGAGGGTCCTTTAATAATATCTAGGATGGGTGGGAAGAGATCAACTTGAGAACTTGTATGCATATATATGCATCACCAATGGACACAGACAGTAGGCCTGGGTGTGGGTGGGATAGAAGGAATCAATGGAGTAAAAAGGGGGCATATGTAATACTGTCAACAATAAAGGTTAAAAATAAACAGCCAAGACCGGTTTGGCTCAATGGATAGAGCGTCGGCTTGGGGACTGAAGGGTCCCAGGTTCGATTCTGGTCAAGGGCATGTACCTTGGTTGTGGGCACATCCCCAGTAGGGGGTGTGCAAGAGGCAGCTGATCGATGACTCTCATCGATGTTTCTAACTCTCTATCTCCCTTCCTCTCTGTACAAAATCAATAAAAATATATTTTAAAAAAATAAAAAAATAAAAAACAAACACTATGAGAAGCTGACTGCCCTCTGGGTGCTACTTCAAAATTTGAGAATCTGTGGGTGGAGGTGAGATTGTATTACCTTTTTAAAGCTTTCAGACATGAACTGTGCTAAGGTTTATCTCTTTTTAATCTTTCCTTCTTTG